CATTACATTACTGAAGAAGATTTTCGTGATATTGCTGCAGCTAACATGAATACAGTTCGTATTCCTGTTGGCTATTGGATAATTGACTTTGATAATCAACCAGGTGGTGATCCAGAGGGTTGGAAAGTTTATGCACCTGGTGCAGTTAACTATATAGATTGAGCTAGTCGAGAATGAGCTCCTAAATACAATTTACTAGTATTAGTTTCTTTTCATGCTGCTAATGGTAGTCAAAATGGAAACGATCATAGTTCACCTGCTGACCCAGGCAATTCACATTGGTCCGCATATTCAGAAAATGTTGAAAATGCATTAGACGCTGTCGAATGGTTGGCACAAAGATATTCAGCTGATGATGTTGCACTTTTAGGTATTGGTTTACTCACTGAACCCGAAGGTAAAAATTGAGAATTATATATGTGTAGATGTAAATGAAATCTCATTTTTTTTCTCTCTCTAATAGAAACGTCAAATGAAGACGTTTTGAAACAATATTATTATGATGCCTATGGCCGTATTCGTCTATTTTCAGATTTTTTTTCTTAACTGTAGCACCATTGCTATATCAACAAGGACCTTATGCTAGTGACTGGGCTAATTTCATAGGATTCGCCACGAATGGCACCGTTATCAAATTTGGAAATACGAAGTAAAATAAACTATGATTTATTTTCTTATTGCTTGATACATGATTGCAATCATAGGGTTGAAGTAAATGATGATGATGATTTGCGTCTCTATGCTCAAGCACAAATTGATGTATTCAAACTAGCCACTGGGGTGTGGACATATTGGACATGAAAATTTTATAATGATGATAGTAATTCTTAGGGTATGAAAGCTATGATCAATCGTGGTTTTATAGAACTTTGAATAACTATGACGAGAGCATAAATTTCAAAAAGAAAGCAATATTTCTCTTGGAAAATATCATGAATCTGTATAACATTAATATTAAATTGAGTTTCATTCAAATAATACAATAGTGCATCAAAATTGAAAACAACGTTAGAAGATAAGATAAAAATCCATAGATGACATGCGTATTAAAGCTGATTTCTTTGCTATATAGTTGACTCATTCCTTACGAACCGCTAGATAAAAAAAACAAGTAAGAAATTCAAATAAAGCCATAGCGATAGATCCTGTATTTAATTAGGAAATCTGCTTCACAAGTTTATCTAGCTCTTTCTCTATTAAAAGAAAACGAATTTTGATTTTCAGTTCAATAAAATATCTGTTTAAGGTAGGGATGCACCAGTACCAGTATATACTGGTCACCAGTAATACTGGCTTTCTACTTTCGAAAATAACTATTAGCTAAAGGAGTCGTTTTCTCAGCCGTCACTTCCTTTATCTATATTCAAGTGAAAATTTGAGTTTTGCAGCAGGTTGCAACAGTATAAGACATTGTATACTCAACTAACTGATAGCGTTATCTAGAACACTTTTCAATTGTTTTCAACGTGTTTTGAAGAAAGAAGATAATTAATTCAGGTCATAGTCATCGTAAAAAAAGAAATTGTGCTCGAAAATCTATATTGAGCATATTATATAGCACTAAAAGTCAGCCAATCGAGAAAACAATAAATGTATATGTCGGAAAGAATGACAATTGTCACTCGTATTGGTATTAAATAAGAAAATACTATTGATACGAGGGCAAGTTATGCGCTGATTTTATTCAATACTGATAAAACTACTATATTGATGTGTCAGGTTCAACTTGTATGTATAAATCCAAAACGATAAAGAGTCAAGGACAGCATTTTTGATTGCATAAGTTAAAAGATTCTATAAAGTTATTGGTATCGTTACAAAATTGAGCAGGTAATAGTGACACTGCTTGTTTACCGTGCTGTAATTTTCATTTAATATAATTATGTATTATCTGTTCCATATCCGATATCGTGAACAAAAAAGGTCTAGCCTTAGCTATGCAACTTATATACATAGCCCAATGCAATAGATATGTGAAAATAGTGCCATTCGACTGAGAGAGAAGTAGAAAAATCAAGCAATTTACTTATATGAGATTTATGTAACTAAAAGTTGATAAAGTTCACTAAATATACAATTACTTTTTTCGTGATCGATTAAACCTAGGTTCAGGTTGGCATGTTAAACACAGTATTCCGATTCATCGGTTTATCTCATAAGATTGTTTTACTATCTGACTAAGTGCATGAATGAAATTATTTTTTTCTTCTAAAACGTTGAAAACTATTGAAAAATGTTCTAGATAACGCTATCAGTTAGTTGAGTATACAATGTCTTATACTGTTGCAACCTGCTGCAAAACTCAAATTTTCACTTGAATATAGATAAAGGAAGTGACGGCTGAGAAAACGACTCCTTTAGCTAATAGTTATTTTCGAAAGTAGAAAGCCAGTATTACTGGTGACCAGTATATACTGGTACTGGTGCATCCCTAGTTAAGGTCACTCCTACTTTTCTCCACCTTCCATATTTCTGAAGGGGGGCTTTTCAGGAAAGAACTTAAATTTTCAGAACATATCGATTTTGGCAAGTAGAAAACAAATTGCCGTAGGCTTCAAGTTCATCAATGCAGTCTTCTGTGACATACTGGAAATATATTGACAAAGAATAGCTAAAAATTGACTTTTTCAAGTTTCTTGAGAAAAAAACAAAATATGGAATACAACCTTTAGTCAACAATCGATCTTTGTTGAAAAATACACTTAAATACATAGTTTCTTTATATTGTTTACGAAAATTAATGAAATAAATTTTCTTTTATAAAAATCATTTCGAATTATGAAAATAAATACATCAAACTATGCGTGATGAATTGAAATCTTTAGAAGCCATAAGATGAAAGATGATCTCTTTTGTTTTTGCTTGAAAAATAAACATAAAGAGAAAACAATGAAGCTATGTGATTCTCAATTTCATTTATTTTATAATATATAAGCACATCTAATATTAGAATAATGTATCACGTGTTCATTGACGTAAGTGTCTTCTATAGACGTTGACCGAAATCCTAACTAAATGCATCCACATTCATATTCAAAAACACCCTTAGTTATGAATTCAGCTTTACATAGTCATTTGGGTGTGTATTAACGCTTGATCAATTTAAATAACTGCGACATACAGCAGAGAAAATAGCCTTGATAGATGTAAGACAGAACAGTTGTTTGTGTGTGTAACTGAATGATTTCTAATAGGCGTGGCAACAACGAAAACAAAATAAAAGAACGAAACATTCATGCGTATCAAAACGTATTAATGATCCAGTCCTGCAAGACCTCGTTTTTTACATTTTAAACGGTTAACATACGCCCTTGTTACATTGAAAATCAATTGAAAGAAATAATATTTATTTTTGCAAAACAGAAACAATTTTTGTTTTCGAGAACGTGAAAAGTGTGCAATTTACCGCTTAGCAACTAGCTGCTCTAATGATATTTTTAATTGTTTGATTGAATCGTGTCAAACTGTTTTCTTCGTATTAAAAAAAAGATCTTGTGTGCAAGGTGGAACTCTAAGCCTGGAATTTTACATGCAATGTGTTTCTTCCACAGATTAATGTTCTATTCTGCAGAAACGTCAGCATTATTCCCGTACTCAACATAAAAACGAAGAAGATTTTCTTTTAGTTTGCTACAGCTCATTCGATTGTCAAACTGAGCTTCTATATGCTACATAAGTAATCCCTCGATTTTGCTAGGGCCTGACATGTGGGTTGAGTAAATCCCGACAAACCAACAACAATAGCAAGGGCAGCAGAAAGAAACAATTTCTGACGTCTTATACGATTTTTGTTGCACTCATTCATATAGCTCCAATCAAACGACGTCAAACCAAAAAATATAAAGCATGTCGGTAGAAATAACATCAATTTCTGATTGAATTCGAAACAGTTGGCAATCCAGGTAACATTTTTCTTCTGAAGCCTTTTACATCTATTTACAAATAGTGAATGATCAATAGTTTCATAGGCCATTGGTTAAAATTTATTTGTAATTTTGTTTTGGTAAGTTATTACTCGCGAGTAAATATGTTAAAATTCACATCACAAAGAACAGGATAAATGTCAGTACTCCGAACAATTTATATCACAAAATTGACATACACTGTAAAAAAAAAGGTTTATAAAAGTGTAACATGACATACCCTTTTCTCTGTTTTTAAAATATCTGATGAACCCTTTTTCCAAAATAGAAACCTGAAAACCGTTTATTATAATTCGTCGTATACGGAAAAAAGGGTTCACGATGCGTTGCACTTTCATAAACCCTTTTTTTGTTAAATAACCTATCAAAAACGTTTTTTTCCGTTTATTATTCTCCGGATTGTTTTTACAATGTAGCTACAATTATAAGAAAGATTGCTTACTCAATGTAAGTATGAATAATAGAGAGTTATGTACATAAAGATACGAATTAGAGCAGTATTCTTTGAGCTAATAAGATCTTATTCATCTTAGAAATTATCAAAACAGCAATATTATTCATGGCGCATACTTGTAACTATTATTTGATTTTTTCTCTTTCAATAGTTGTATGTCATATTTCAGCAGTATAATTTACGGAAAGCTTCTCAGCTTTGTTCTGATTTCTAAAGAACGCAATACCGTTTATTGAGTTCGATTGATACGAGTGCATGATTTTTTTCAAATGTTAAAGCTATTAGAGAATAATCTGTAATTGCACCATGGCTGATATTTAATCTACCATGTATTTATTAGCTATCAGTTGGGATCTTGATTTCATAATTTTATAGGTCGTTTGAATTTTTTTCACATGGTTATCAAATAGATAAATATTGTTTCATCTCTTCTTAATTTCTGTCACCAAAACCTATGATAACAATAGTACAAAGTACAATTATAAATTTTATCAAGTAAAGTTATCTTCAGAGAGAGCCCTCTTTCAATTGAATTCAAGTTAATATTACTCTACTTCACTGACATACTATGTTTACCTTCTATTTCAACATGAAATGATGAATATTTTATTTACTAGTAAGATTTTAATTATATAACGCAACTCAGAAGTTAAATATAAATATGATCTGCTAAAATTAGATATGCGTACCTATCGTCTCCATCACTCTCATTTCATTTGACAAAAGTATGTTGTTTTGTTTTTTATAGTTTCGTACTAACTTTTGCGAACATATTTTCCTTTTCCTAAGTATACGTAGGTTTTGCAACTTAAGTGCTGGTAATTGTTTGAATAGAAAAAAATTTATTCCTATCAATCTGAGTGTATGTGTCAACATTGATGTAGTTGCATATTATCTTGAGTTTTATCGTAGTTAAAAGCAATATCAATAGCACTTTTCGGTTTTAACTGTTTCTCAAGTGAATTTTTCATCCAAAAAAAGAACTCTTTCACGTTCTATTTGCTCTAATCAAGGTTAACAAAACATAATATTTCTTAAGATTCTGATAAGAAAAATGCCCGAGTGAAGGTCGTTTCTACACTTCACCAGCTGATATATCTAAGTGCCAATTCTTTTTTTTTCGAAATACCAGTGAAAAATGTAAAAAAAATACTCTTCATGAATAAGTACGCACTCTACCGATAACAGGCGCATGATACGAGTACGAACGTATAAAGAACATAGTGATATAATTTCTCTTGCCAGGTTATTTTTGTGCAGCAATCTTTTATATTTAAATCAAACGCAACACTCCTTTTTTGTTAAATCTCAAAGATCGATGATAATATTCACATAAAAACATTCACCTAGATTTATATTTGAATAGTAAGGTATCGAGTACGAACTAATAATAAAAAGCAGCTTACAAAAAAATGTTAAGGCTATTAATAAATAAATAATAATTCGTTCTTCATAGATTATCTAATCTGTAATGTATATGAATTTATTTGATATTTCATGCTTACCAGTGATAAATTTTCAAGGGGACGCGGGACATTTTTTTACTTATAGAGAGTAATGTGACTCAACAAAAATTTTATCTAAGTAAGTTTAAAGTGAAAGCGTGATTAGAATCATCAATTTTTCATATAAACAAATCTGAGCTATATCTCTCTTAATAAATTAACCTAAATATAACATCTTAAATATTCAGTGCGTTGATGCCAGTTTTCAATTAATCTTAAAGCATCTATAAATAAGATTGTTAAAAACACAAGCTATAAACAACTAAGCTTTAATGGTAAATCTAATTCTATTCTATTGATATGTGTAAAGTATTCGCAGCTTCGTTTTGTTGAATAATTAGATAAAACTAGTACACTGCGTTTTGAAATCAGTTTTATTTTTATTACTTATTGACATCTTGTTTTTTTCTTCCATCGACCTTTTACTGTTCTGCTAGATACTTGAGCCACACTGAGGGTTGTTTATTTCTTCTTATTCAAATCGATTGGTGGCTTGAGAGAGTAACTTTCATGAAGTGTTCTGTTTTTTTTCTTTTTCAGTCGACTAAAGTGAACTAGAAAAAAGAAACATTAACCTTTCGATTGTTTTACCTTTTGTGCATGACAACAACGCAAGCGCATGTTCATATATCCAATGGGTGCGGCAGAATAAATGAGCCTCTCAGCATTTTAAAATTATCTGTCTCAAATTGAGACCTGTATACTTGAATCTTTTCTCAAAAGAGAGTCCGTACAATTCTCTACAAAACCTAATGCTAACACATCCGTCAACGAATAGCTATCAAATTTTCCTTAACTATCTCTATAACGCTCCAAAATGACCTATTTTCAAAAGTACTCGTTTTCATATTAGTGATTTCGTGCTGCTTTTTTGATTGAATCTAAAGAAGCTGAATAGGTTATTTTGTAGTTGATAAAAAGTTGTATCCGCTCAAGAAATACCTTTTTTTGACATACTGCAAATTTACTCGGGGAAAAACTTTTCTTTACTTTCCTGTATTCATATGTTGATAATCCTCCATTAAGATTAACGCATTTTTCATTTTTCTATCTTCAATGAAAATTTATTTCACACTAACGTTTATTGCACAGTTGAAGGAAAATATTTTCTCCATCATTTCAATACGAGTAGAATGTCGCGAAATGGCTTTTCTGCAATGGTCAATGTGTATAACAAGAACGATCGATGGTTGCATCTCATTTTTCAGGAAGATTGACTATTGAAATGTCACAATTATATCGGAATATCTCCTTTTGAGTTTTACTAGAAATATTACAGCTGAAAACACTGGAAAATTGCACTAGACTAGACACTTGTATCACATTTAATTGAAAATTTAAATCATTAGTTTTGTAAAAAAAAGATGTGCTTTTGAAAGTGAGCTGTTTTAAAGCATTGCAGAGTTAGGTAGGTAAACTTCGATTGCTTTTCGCTGGAAGATGTGTTAGCATTAGGTTTTGTACAGAATTATACGCACTGCCTGTTGAGAAAAGATTCAAGTAGACAGATCTCAATTTGAGACGGATAATTTCAAAATACTGAGAGACTCATTTATTCTGCCGTACCCGTTACAACACAATAGAAAATATATTTCTTTCACTGATTAAATTATCAATCGTTAAACTCATGAACGCATATTGAGTCACGATTATTATGTGTCGTTTTCTTCAGATTCAAAACAACCTAGAATGTTCCAGATCAAAATAAATCATACTCATTCAAGTATATTGCGCAATTGCCTTCAAAAAATAGTATATATATATATATGTATATGTCGTATCGAAATTACACTAGTCGACTAAGTTATAACTTCGATGTTCATATCTATTGAAGTTACAATTTCTGTCGAAATTACTTTTCCATCGTTTATCAATAAGCCATTTGCTAAATTGAATATCCTTCTACTGAATGTATAATCAAAGTAAATTTTTTCCCAATAGATATTTATTGATTTAACAATAATTATTGTTAAATAAACGGATATTTATTGGAAAAAAGTTTAACTTGATTATACACCCAGTAGAAGGATATTCAGTTTAGCAAATGATTAATTAAGGAATGATTTAAAACTAACTTCGAGAAAGTTCTCTGTCGAAATTGTAACTTCGATAACAGTGAGCGGTGCAGCGATAACTTAGTGGCATTTATATGGCGAATTTGGAACGTCGTCATATAAATAAGATGAATATGTCACATATTCGTCATATTTATTTGACGCAGTTGTAACATTGCCAATATCGCACGACGACGATTTAACTTTGTCAACCTGCGTCACTTCGATACGACATATATCATACCAGAACCATACTATTAGATAGGAGCAATAGATCGTACATATGCAATAGTACATATTCTAGTTTAGGCGACTTATCGAAGTTTTGTAAATAAGGGCGACACTTAAAACTAGGTCATCAGCTTTGACAATACAGTAGTTGGGCAATGACTTAAAAGCACGAGGCAATTACCTAGAAAATTGCGATTCATTTCACATAATTGATTTCAAGTTAGTCTATTACGCATCAACGAGAGATTGAGTTGCAAGAGCCAAATAATTCCTACAGTGTGAAATTCATTAAATATTTTTTAACATTTCTTTTCGAAGATATTTTCGATGTCACGCACACTATCTAGTGAATGTCATTGGAGAATATGTTCTTCATAGTTATATTGTTAATTAATCTTTTATGCAATTTAAAATTAATCGATCATCTAAATGATGAGAAATAAATTATGAATATGCGACAAACAGTAAGAAAAGTTTAATGAATTCCAATGAAAACCGATGGAAGCATTTAATTGTTTTTAAATCACTTTCTTTTCCATCTTTTTGAGTACATTTAGTCGGACAGAACCGCAAAGTAGAGAAAGAAAAAGAAGGGGAACAGAGAAAGAAGCGAAAAACGAAAACTTTTAGAGTTTATTTGTATTCTTTGTTTTTGAATGCATTTGCCTTTTTCTTTTTTATAGAAAACCATAAACGCAACAAAATTTAGAGCTGAATTCATTCGCGCGATCTCCTTTTAAACTTATATCATATTATATACAACAATAATACAAAATTATGCTTTCGTTCAATAGTGAATATTCATATTTACTAGCCATAAATTTGTTCATGCAACCAATATTAATAGTGACGGTGCTTTCACTTCTTGTAATTTACATATATAACTTTAACAAGATTTATAATACATTTCAAGACATGGGTTTACCTGGACCCAAGCCACGTTTTTTCTTTGGTAACTTGATTGAGTTATTTAGTCATAGTCGCCATTCAGCTGCGTGTTTATCAGATTGGACAAAAGAATATGGAAAAATCTATGGCTATTTTATTGGTCATACACCTATTATCTGTATTTCTGATCCAGATGTTCTTCAAGAAATATTTGTAACTAAATTCAGTTCTTTCCATTCAAGACGGCCGTTACCGCTTCAACAAGAAGATCTTCGGCATTTATTAGCTTCGAAAGGTAATCGATAGTTTTGTTCAAGTTATAAAAGATCTAAAAAAGAGTCCGAAACTAGTCTACCCGAAAGAAAACCGAGTATAGATATGTATATCAAGTTCGTTCCTTTGTGTATTCGATCCTTTTTATTTTGTATGTCAGTCGATTGACTATTCATTTGATGGAAGCACTCTGTGTTATATTTCATCGGCTCAAAGTTTTCCATGCGATATCGCTATCAGAGAAAATAAAAATTCCTGAATGTAGACGCAGATCTATTTAAAAGAATCCTGTTTCTAAATGATACATTAGCTTAGATGATGAATGGAGAAGACAACGATCAATAATACAACCAACATTTGGTCCAAATAAATTAAAAGAAATGCGAGCTACAATCGAAAAATGTATTAATGAATTAATGAACAAATTAGATAATCAAACCGTCGATATTGAATTTGATATATCACATTTGCTAAAACGTACATCAATGAATATTATTTTAAATTGTGCATTTGGTATTAATCCCGATAAAAATAAAAAATTAGCCGAATCATATTTTCGACGATGTATACAAGTATTTGAATTTAGTATATTTCAAAATACGTTAACAATATGTTCAATGCTGGTACCAGAACTCAATTTTATATGGGTTACATATTTTAAATATGTCAATATATTTCGTTTATGGTTATGCAATCGCATACCATTGATGAACCGTTTTATTGATACAGATCCAAATACATGGCTCTTATATCATGTTGAAAAGGTCATTAAACAACGTTGTCTACATGGTATTGAAAAAATCGATTTATTGCAATCAATGATTGATGCGACAGATGTTTTTCAAAAGATGTCTTCGGTAAATATTTTAAGCGGTAAAATTATTTCTTCAATGATTATTCTATTTTATAGCCGTCAACATTATCAAAATATCGTCTAAATTTAGATGAACTATTAAATAATATCTATCTGTTTATGATTGGAGGATACGAAACTACAGCAACAGCTTTGGAGTATCTTATGTATGTACTAGCTACACATCCCAAAGAACAGACACGTTTACAAAATGAACTCGATGAAGTTTACGATGATTATGAACAATTAGTAGCACTTGAATATCTCGATTGTTTTATACGTGAAACATTACGATTGTATCCTATTGCGCCATTTATTGTCAATCGACAATGCAACAAAGAGTGTCAAATTGGTTCAGTCAAAATTGCAAAAGGCACAAATCTTACAGTTGATATGTTTAGTATTCATTATGATGAGAAACTATATGGTCCAGTAAGTCCATTTCAGTTTTATCCTGAGCGTTTTCTTGAAAAACGTCATCCATTAGCTTGGCTACCATTTGGTGCTGGACCTCGAAATTGTGTTGGAATGCGTTTTGCCATGTTAGAAATCAAATTAGCATTAGCAAAAATTCTTCATCGCTATACGATTTTATCCGGTGAACATACAGTAAGTCAATTTGTGGAACAGGAACGGTTTGTTATTGAACCAAAAAATGGCATTTGGATTCGTTTACAGCTGCGAGAAAGCGAGACTACGGTCAAGTAAGGCAATGCAGTCAGTCCGGTGATTTAATCTATATATTAGTTATATAGTTAAAAATATTGTTTATCTGTTTTAATAAATTCAATGTCTTAAAATTAACAAAAATTATAGAGCACCTTTTAAAACACTACCGCATGAAAATAAAAAAATCCAGGTAATAGATGTTTCTGTTACTCACAAAACACAAGTATTTTGCATGTGTACCTATGCACTAATATCATGGTATGGGAATATTGTAAAATTCGTATTCATACTTAAGAATAATTATGTTAAAATATGTGAATATGTGAGTGGGCCTTAGATACTATCTATGAAAGAATCTCATTTAATGATTTCAATAAAAGACATTGTTCCTATTCGATTCTGGTTATCTGCACAGTAATGCCCCCCCCCCCCTCTCCCCACATCTAGCCTGAAACATTTTCAAAAGCAATCATATAAAGTAAACATTTTTGCACGATAACTATTACTTATTTTTCACTAATTGACTGTAACATCGAACTTTGCTCTGTTATTGTCTTTTTACCTTTCAATCAAAAAAAAAGATTCAGAATAACAACTCAATTCATCGTGATGCATTCAACTATTCGCTTAACCGAGGTCTAATATAAATAAATACTTAAAATAACTCTGTGATTACTGTAATAATTTGGTAAAACATCAAGGATGAACATGAAATATGTGTTAGGTTTAGAAATTCGTAAAAATAATCAAGAAGAAATATTCATCATGATCTCATGTTTTCTATCTATTACGTATGTTTCGTACTTGAATAGGAACATTAGCAAGATAAATATATTATTTTTAGATATTCTGAAGGTCATCTAAAATCAATTCTGAGTTTTATCGAATAATAACACAGCTGTTTTCTATACTCGATACATTATCTTTTATTCTCAAACTATGCAGCTGAAGTCAACAGTGCTTTATGGTATTGAAAGATAAATTTCAACATCTGCATAAATATATTCTATTAAATATAAATCATTAACAGCACTTCCTATTTGCAGTTCATCGAAAAAATAGAAAATAATTGATTTTCACCGTATTTTACTCCTATCGACAATTTTTTTCTCGCTAATTTCAATGCAGCCCAATGAATCCATAATTGTCAACCGAGTTTAAATAAAATATTATCAACCGTGTACATAATATTTCATTATAAATAAATAATTAATTAATTAACACACCCATTGTTCGCTGTCTTCATTGGACAAGATACTTGGTCGAAAACATAGGTGTGAGTCCGATTCATTTCTCAATCTATAGTATCTCATTCGGTTTTCGTATTGTATGAAAGGTGACTAATCTCGTTTGGCCTATATTGTGCAACTATATGTAAATAAACAGATAAAATTCCATTTAGTTTAGAGGATGAGTTGAGAATGTGCCTAATCGTTCGGTTGATTTATGTTCTAATGCTTCGTCAAGCACATGACTAGATAAAAATAAACCCATTTTTAGAAACAAAGAAATGTTATTTCATCCTATGTAGAACAGATGAAATGTTCTTTCATCCCATGTAGAACAGATGAAATGCTTATAAATGATTGAAATTCGACAGCGATAAAAATGCTATCGTAACGATGAAGTAGAACATCTTATATTTATTCAATACGAAGAGATAAATTTTTGCAGGCCCAATGAATTGATTTGCTGGTGTGAATATTTTTGCTACGAAGTAGCTATGAGAGCAGCAATATTGATTAGATTGAACGAAATGAGAAATACTTGAAGTAATAATGATTGATACAAGTTAATCTTCAATTGACAATATTAATCATTGGCTTTAGTTTGTCACATGAACTAAAATCATCGAAACTCACAACCATTAATTCTACAAATAAAAGATCATGATAACAGAATTTATCCAAGTCGATATAATCTATGTAAAAAAAAGAATTCACTATGTTTAAGTCATTGGTAATATATCGCTCACCGAAAGTGTAAAAGCTGGGCGGCGATTCAACCTATATTTCCTCTATTTTCAAAAACGTCCTATTTTTGTCCTATATTTTAATGAAAATTCCTGTTTTTCCTATATTTTATCGAAGAAAGTAGAAAATTTCCAAAAACCTCTTAAGTTTGCTATTGTCTTTAGACAAAAAAAAACTTTTAATGCGTACAATCATGTGTTTTGGACAAATTCTTGTATTATAGTGACATTTGTTCTGAACAGTATTTTTCCTTTCGCCTATTTAGTGGACTGATTGAGAAATTGTTTAATACTAAGTACAAAATACAAAATAGTTCAAAAGAAAAAAACATTCACAAAATGATCATGTACTAGTTTCGGGGTTTTAGTGAAGTTTTAGTTAGATATAAAAGTTGTATATATATATATATATATATCCCTGGAAAAAATAAGTTTCACTCTGTATTTTGAGGATATTGTTACCAAAAGAACATCTTTTTTTTTAAAGTAACGACATCTTCTGAAAGCTCGTGAAATTTTACACCATCCTGTATATATGCATTTTCATTTACACTTATTTATTACCAGCTGGCATCGCAGCGGCTCTCTCAAAAAATATAGGAATTCCTATATAGGATAGGTCTAAAATATATAGGATCGCCCTCAACTATATAGGAAAAATATAGGATGACAAATTGATTCCAGAAAAAGATTTAGACACCGAAAAATCACTGTAACAGCATTGAAGATGATAATGTGTTGTTTTTGCACGTATATCTAATCAGCTAAATAAAAATATTATTGAGTTTTGAAAAGTAATGGAGCAGCAAGGTTTTCTTAAAACTTAAAAAAACTAATTAATGTTCGATTTATTTTCACTATTGGACATGCATGCACTTTAGGGTGTGGGCGAGTTTCTGAACAAAATACTCACACCCACACCCACACCTTTTTGGTATTCAGTCTTTTAGAATTTCATAGTAAGCTACATCAAATTTCATCGAAAAATAAGCATCCGTTCAGGAGTTATAACGTTGTGCATTTTTTTCAAATACTGCCAAGATTTTAGCAAAATTTCAAACCGTTATAACTCCTGAATGGATGCTTATTTTTCGATGAAATTTGATGTAGCTTACTATGAAATTCTGAAAGGCGGAATACCAAAAAAGGTTAAAAACATTTGCCGGTTGGGCAAGCAAAAAAATTATTTTGTTTTCGCAAACTACAATCACAAACTTTTGACCACAAAACCTCATTACTTAGCTCCAATATGACCCCTCATAAGTTCCATCTAGGTCTCATGCACTGACGCTGAGATCTAGCATACCCAGAAATTCTGGATAAAACACTGATACAAAGACAACTAATGCAAAGAGTATACTATATACATTATCTAGATGAACCAATAGGAAATAAGAGCCATACAAATTGTTACTGACAATATTTAAATGATGTGTTGAACACTTATCAGGAGTTTTTTGAATTTTTTTAGAAGAATCTTCAATTTTTTCAAAAAAAAATAGGAATACAGGAAAAAAGCTCAAAATATAGTCTATTATAGGATAAATTTTTAAAATATAGGAAATACAGGATATATAGGACTGCTGCGAAGCCAGGTCTTAACTTAACTTTATATATCCCGAGCATTTTTCCCCATCCCAACGTAGCCGACAGATGATACCCGAGGTACCTGAAGCTCGATGGTCAAGTTATGGGATGTTCCACCATGGCTATATTGAACCGTGGGCGGCCCACGGCCCTCGCTGTCCAGAGTAATTCCGTCTTATAATTTATCGACTGTATCGCTAGGGTCGAGTAATATTCTAGGTAGTCACACAGTCCCCTCAATTTTACCTCTAGGTCAAGACATTGGCTCGTGTATTTGATCCCCTACTACATCCCCCTACTACACAAGCTAGGTCGTCTGCAAAGAAATTGGGGAGGGAGCTTTGGAGATATGTCCAAATGTCACTGTGGTACGTGATAAATATGGCAGGCGTTAGGCACGACTCTTGAGGACCATCTTTACTGATTGGGAACCAGCGTGAACGCTGATCGTTAATTTCTATGAAGCAGGATCTCTGTCTCAGCCAGCTATCAATCCATGCCAAGTATTTCCTTGGGATTCCTAGTTGGGACAATTTGCCTATGCAACCTGTCCACCGTAGCTGATCAAATGCTTGTTTAAAATCTATAAAAACTGTGGCCACGGGAGCACTTGTGCTCATTAGTGACGATATTTGATCTATCAAGACCAGTACGCGAGATTGCAGACGAAAGGTCGACCTAAAATCTGACTGCGAATCATGTAGTATTCCCCTTTTATCTAGAATACTCTTGAATCTACTAAGGAATAATCTTTCTAGTACCTTCAGAAAGATATCCAATAATGAGATCAGTCGAGTCTCTGTTATCGAGCATATCGAGTCCTTTTTTTGTTAGAAGTTTCATCTTAACGTGTTTCCAGTAAGAGGGACCTAAGAACGTGGTGAGTGAGCCATTGAAAAATCTTTAGCAGAGGCACCATGTAGTTATTCGGGATAAATTTAAGCATGTATGGTGAAATACCATGTGCGTTCATGGAATGCTTTTTCTTAACTTTTCTTATTGCATTCAACAGTTCCGGTATTGTTATAGGTGTAATTTCTTCATCCCAGTTATCCCACTTAATTTCTGGACTATCCACATATGGGTGAGGTCTATAAACGTGTGATTCTGTGAACAGATTTTCATAGTGAGAAGCTGCTATGTCTAGCATAGCCTCGACATTTTTAACCATGCCATTATTCTCGTCGATTAAAGCTTCGAGAGAGTTCGTCGTCTTGAAAATTTTCTTTATTTTTGACCAGAACGAATTTGACGACGTTGTTGATGCGGATCTTTCATTGAGTGTGTCTGCCAATTTTTTTGTTCTTATAGAAATTAGTTCTATTTTATTATTCCTTCTCATTTCTTTAATTTTCTTATGCAGCATGACATCCCCCGTTCTTTTATGTTGGAATGATAACGCTCGAGTTAGCGACAAACTCATCCTTAGTTCTTTGGGGATAGAAACGCGGTATTTTTTCAGTGGAAAATATGTCGTGCATCTATTTTTCAAACTATCTAAGAGATTAATAAAATTCTTATAGTATTAGTCTGCTGTGGCGATTTTATGTTTCTTCTCCTAGAATTCGACAGTTAATGATATAAAATAATTAAAAACTTTCCAGCGTGTGTTACTTCCTAGCGTATTCTCTTTACATTCATAGTTAAGTATACTTATAACCGGTTTATGGTCACTGGTGGTGATATCCGTACACATCTGGATCGTGAGTGGGGTACCACGAGTGAACACGTAATCAATTACACGGTTCGATCTAAGGGATGTAGGGTTATCTTGTACCACTGGCGCTAGTGCATTTGAATCCGCCCATTTGAGTAGGTCCTTGGCTGCCTTGTCATCTGCTTTATCTTCTAGGTCGGTGTTAAAGTCTCCCCATATGCAACAACTATCCGTTATGTACTTATTTAATGTATCCCACCCCCATGTCTTACTTTTGGGAGCATACACACCAATGAGACGCTTTACTTGTTCTAATTTAATATCGACTATACATATGTTTGGGGTTTTGCAATTTATTCTCACTACTGATAGACTCGATTTGTATAACATTAGTACTCCGCCCCAAGCGTTCTCGCCTTTCTGCTAGAAATATTTGTAATTGACGAAGATGTGATTTATTAGAGGGAAGTCAAAGGTGCCTACTTCATTTAGGATTATACAGTCCAATCCATATTTGTCAAGAAGAAGCAGCACTTCGTTCCATCTCTCCTGTAACCCCCTAACATTGAGCAAAAGTATATGTAATTGCGATGAAAGAGAATAGACACTCGACTGTTTAAGAGATTTCCAATGTGAACAACATGAACCGAAAGTAGGAAAGAAGAAGCATTCTTTTACAATATCAGATAATAGACTAAATTCAAATTTAGATACAAGAGGAAGTACTAGAGAAAGCGAGTATTCACTATCGAAGTCGTTTTTTCACCTCAGAATATGGTGTGAAGAAAGGAGCAAACGGAGAGAGCTCATACTGTGAGTCGTATTGGCTATTGTTTGGATGTAGTACGTTGGTCGATGTTGAAGTCGCTGTTGGTTGGGGGGGGGGGGGGGCGCAAGCCCCGGGGTTTTNTGACCACGAAACACGAACACCAACTACAGATTCAACAATCCGATATAACATTCCAACACGATTTTATGAGTCAATGTATCTCGCCGATATGCCAACTGCTGGTAGACGTTATACGGGTGCAGAAGACAGCTGGTTTTTCATATTAAATTCGTTGATAAGTTTCATTTTGAGATTTTTGTTTTGGACAAATCTGTTTGTCCATGTTGGTAAGTCGGTTGCGAATTTTTTGCACACTGCCATTAATGATGGACATAGCAATGTATAATCTTTAATTGTATTTTGTTTTATCTGCACCAGTATAACGTCTACCAGCAGTTGGCATATCGGCGAGATACATTGACTCATAAAATCGTGTTGGAATGTTATATCGGATTGTTGAATCTGTAGTTGGTGTTCGTGTTTCGTGGTCATCTGATGCATGAATGTGATTTGTTGTAGTTGTTTGTTGTTTAGATCCATTAATCCATTCATGTTATCATCTAAATGTTTCATTTTTGTAAATAACTTATCAATCCGTTTACCTGTATTGATCAATGTATTATTCGTATAATTCCAATTTTTGTTTGAACTTTCGTTCAGTATTGGATAATCCGTAGCATTATGATGATAAACAGCACGTGTATGTTGGTGATGATGATTCGGTGCCGCAGTTGTTAGAAGTAGAGATTCGGTTAATGTTGATCGATACGATTTAATAATTGGACATCTAATATCATTTGCGTCATGTAATCCTTGACATCTAATACAGCATACTGGGTTGGTACATGTTTGTACATGTTGTTTGATGTCCTTAACCCCCATACCACATCTTCGACAATAGTCGAGCTTACGTCTACATGTGCTTCTGAAGTGACCGATTTCAAAGCACTTTGTGCACACCAGGACCTTGGCTGGAGCTAGGTATACAGTTATAGCTAAAAGGAGATGTTCGTGGTAGATACATTTCTTACTGAGTAACTTGTCAATGACCGATATGTTTTGGATATCTAGTCGGACCAGAGTTGAAGGTGTTTTGTTTGCTCCCATTATTCTATATGCATTAAGTACATCAGGATATTCGATTTTAATGTTTGTTAATAATAAATGCATTTCGATATCAACCGGGACGTTACGTAGTACAATTGAGAATTGTGGTGGTAAATGTTTTGGTATAATTTTTTAGTAACTGAAGGCTACTATCGATGTTGGTCACTTTTTTTTCGCTAAATAACATTATAAACGTTTCTCGATTTGCGCTAAATAATAGTAGTTTATTTTTGTTCTTCAGACGGTGACCTGCAAAGTTCAAATTTATTTTATATTCTGATAAAAAGTGATTCACCATATAGGTGATTATGGTTTTTTCATCGACATCATTGTGGAACTTGATAACGAATGGAGGAAATGCAAAACGCGTTTCTGCGAACGACGTGATTGATCCGATATTTCCGTTGTACTAGCTTTCGTATTTGTTGATGTATATTCATTTGTACGAGTTTGTGCTTGACTGTTGGCTGAGATTGCTTTATGTGGTGGTTTACCATTTGATGTCCCACTATCTGTGTTTGATGACGATGTCGACTGGTCCGTGTTACATGACGAGGTTGAGCTGGACGAAACAGGAGTGCCGATATCCGATGTGACCACCGGTTTCGGAATAACTTTTTCTTTTTTTTCTTTTTGATAACTGTAATAAATTGTTCTTCGTTATCATCGCTTTCCATTGGCGTGACGCCATTTTGAGTACATTGATGACGTGCTCTATTCTTGATAAGTGGATGCGCGTCACCTGATGTCGTTAGTTGTTGATTTTTTGTACTAATATTCGATGGATTTCCGTGTTGTTGCTGGTTGTAGGTAAAGTGTGGATGGTGGTACATGGGGATCCCCAGTGAAAAATATTACTAAAAAAGAACGGTGATGAATGCGTTCCAAAAGAACTGAAGCTCTTTTTTTAAGAAAAGAAAACGTTCCACAACAAATGGAAACCGTTCTCAAATGGAACGCACTAGAACGCATTTTATCATTCTAAGAAGGTGTTCTTGGTCGTTTCGAAATGGAACAGTGAAGAACGCATTCTGCCACTTGTGGAACGCTTTCTCTTCTTTAAAACGGTTAACCTTTCTGGTCATCTGGGTGATCATTAATAGATGAATCTACAATTAGTCAAAAGACTGTTCCTGATGCAACTTGACGAGCTCTATCGAATGGCGTACTCCAATTCGTTGTAACTGAAACCGTTATTAAAATAATAANTATGATTGTAAAAGAGTGTTACTCCCGCACTTCTTAAAATAGTTATATCACCTGTTGGTTGTAATTTTGACACAAAACAAATTCTGGATAAACGACGAATTCATTTTTTTCTATCTTACTAATTAATTATATAATCATTGTTGTGTAGTATTTCGATGCGGGATATATTATGCTCATCTGGGATTTTCATAATCGGTGCTCGTTTAATCTTTGGTTTTAGGTATCATAAGAAAAAAATCGATCAAACTTTAATCGTTCGATTTATCAAAGAAATAAAGCAATAATATGAAAATCATTGATAAAACACGAATGCTTAAAAAATTTGCGCTGTGTATCTACTGTGAATAACTGACAAATCTTGAAAGGGGTTTTCAATGAAATTGAGCAACAGTTTCTGATCGAAATTCAATAAAACCGCATATACAAAACAGATACTCTTCTGAGTTAATATCGTCTTATAGATCATTGAGATACAACAAGACTATATCTAAAGATTAAACGATAGATCATTTCAAACTCATCATCGTTTATTTTGAAAGTTTCTGTTCGTTTGAGTGATATTATAAAATATCGTATCATCTTAATTAGATGAAACAATGACGTAAATTTGGGTGTGGATATGGGTATAGTAAAGGACATGTAACACACCCCACCCAGATATAGAACTAAAGAAAAACAAATTTCCAAAACTAAAAGAAATGGTAAAAGAATAAAACAAGCAACATATGTGTATGATTTATTCTGATCGACGAACTGCACGAACCCAAACACCATTTTTGGCTTTTAAAGTATTCATTTTCCCCAATTGCAGTGGAACCTACAGAAAACATCAACAATTGAATCCTCGAACTATAAAAAAGATGATTACTCACTTCTGTTTTTTCACATTTTTGAAGTTCTACATCACGAAGTGCTTTAGCAATGGCAAGTTTTGCCTCTAACAAAGCAAATCGCATTCCAATACAATTGCTAAAATAGAATATTTTGTGAACATTGGTCAGCCCGATACGATTCTTTCTTCAGCTTACCGAGGTCCATCGCCAAACGGAAGAAATGTCATCGGATGCCGTTTTACTTTCTCAGCTGGTGAAAATCTCGCAAATAAAGATCATTTCCTAGAATATCATTGAATAAATTTTTAATTTTACCGTTCCGGTATGAATTTTTCCGGTTCAGGCCAATATTCAGGGTCATGATGAATTTGGTAAACAGGTACATTTACAGAAGATCCTTTCGGTACATGATAATCACCAAGCTGATAATCATATGATGCCACACGATTCAATCTATTGTAGAGATTTATTTATCTACGGCGAAAACCATAAAAGAAATTTACCTTATGAACGGTGGATACATTCGAAGCGTCTCATTGATAGCCATTTCCAAATATTGAAGTCGATTGAGTTTCTCATAGGTAATTTCATCCTAAAAGGAAATTGTATTCAACATCATACTGGCATAGAAGATTATTTTCCTACATTTCCCAATTCTTGTTGAATTTCTTCATAAATTTTTTCTTGTACAACTGGTTCTATGGTCATGAAATAACAAAAGAACGATAATAGCGCACTTGTTGTTTCAAAACCGGCAGTCAAAAACAGAAGTCCTTGACTAAATATTTCTTTGTCATTCAAAGCTAAAAATCGAAAAGTAAATGAAAGTGTAAAAATAGTTGATTTGTACTTTTTTTAAGTGTTCCCCATTGTTGTTGTGGGTCCTTTGCTTTTGTTTGTTCAGTCATGGCTTCCTCGACTTTCACCGCTTCTTCGTGATCAATCATCATTTGAATAAAATCATTTCGTCTTTCCAAATGTTGTCGACGTTGACTTATTACATGATTTACAATATTCGATACATAGTTAATGGTGTCACTTGGGAAAATTGAATAGCCTTTTTTCCCCAGATATCTAGCCAATCGAGGTGATATAACTATTTTAAGAAGTGCGGGAGTAACACTCTTTTACAATCATAAACTTATATTTACGAAAAATATAAAGAAATATATTTTTGAAATCAACAGTGAAGAATTTTTTCAAATGCTTAATCAAAGTGGCATTTTCGTTTTTCAATGAGTTTGTTTCAATACCAAAGAGACATGAAGAAATTGAGTCAAGTGCGTGCTGTCCGTTAAGTCTAACATTATATTGCAGGACAAGTATATGTTAAGTAAAAAGAAAAATATAGACATACTCATTGATATTAAACAGTTCTTGTTTATCAGCATACTCTAAAAGACGATCGCGATACGTATCACCTACTTCGCCCATAAGAGTATACATCTATATGTAAACAATAATCAAATAACACTGTTTAGTTTCCGAGTCAGGTGATTACTGCTTTCAGTTTTGCTGACGAGAATGTCGGTGATACAATGGATCGAGCATTTTTCCATTCTTCATCTTTTAATGCGATAAGTGAATGTTCTAAGGGACCTCCTATACCTTCCATACCCTACGAGACATAACAATTATATGCAATAAGGAAAAACAGTTTTGTTATATTTTACTCGTCGATTGATAAATACGTGAGAGTCTTTAATAAGTACGTTTCGAACTAAGTCGAGATCGGTCACAAGAAGAGCTGGGGCTGTTCCTTCATAAATCCTGAAAGGTACATGTGACTATTTAACCGATTTGTTAAAAGCATTACTCACCCGACAACTTTCCCATATTGCCGGACCAAATCGGTGTCATGCATTGTCATGTGCTAAATACAACAAAGTTAAAGCTACAGGAATATAAAGTTCTGCTAAAGGATACTGCTCGTAACCTTCCTGATAACGTGAAACATTTCTCCAAGAACCGGAATACGTTCTGGACCAGGTACACCAAGACGATGAAATATGTTATTCTTACGAGCACGATAACTATAATTTGGGAGATTAAAATTAAAATAATAATTGCATGAAAAAGTAGTACTTACAGATAATAAATAAAAGTAACGACAAGTAAAATTAGTAAAGCCGTAGTTATCGAATCAGTAATGAGAAAATACGCCATTGTTTGGTAAGTCTTCTAGAATGAATACACTTTTGAATAAAGATGCAAAAACAAGAAAAACGGGTGAGATGCTAAAAGGCTCAAATGCTTCCTTTTGTAAGTCTGTTAATGAGTTTTTGGTTACTATCATTGCAACCAGTCGAGAAAAAAATATCGAGGAGCAAACCTTGTTGACAACGCTTTTTCCTTTTACAGGCTACTTACTACTTTGATATTATCATATTGACAATGTTTTTTATGATGCGTTTGCCACGTTATTTTATATGACTGTGTTGTGATGCAAAAGTGTTATTTAGTGACTCACCACAATCATAATATTGTCTCTTTCAATATTGACAGAAGTAATGTGCATTACACGTTGCAAGAAGAAAACATAATAAAGGTGTAGGTCATTGTATTTTATTCTTGATATGAAAGCTGTATCATTTTATCGAGGTATATATATTTCTCATTTATAAAGTATCATGCATCCAGGTGTATACTCTCTATTAATATTCCATCCCTCGTAAGTATTGTTTTTCACATGACGCAAGACAAGTGTATATAGGCAAAACATTTGTCAAGTAAAAACATGGGTTAGTTGAAGATTGTAATGAGATCTACAATGATTTTCTTAGAAATCTTTATGGCGATTTTCACATGTAGCTGCTTGTATGGATAGTACGTTTCCTATTCAAAAAAAAAAGAAAGAAGAACACATTGTGATACATACGAACAATAGGAAGAAGAAAATTGTAATAATAATGAGAAGACATTCATATTTAAAAAGAGCGAAAAAAAAGAAAAATAGTTAGACTATGATAATCTTTATGAATCGACGATATCATCATAGTGGCAATCATCATTGGCAACTCTTTCATTTTGTTTTGTATTGCTAACCGGTTTTGAATTTGTTTCATCATCATCATCATCTAATATTACACAACTGTTACTAGGATGTGGGTGTAAAGGTGGATTTGAGCTTAATAAATAAGTCACTGTTATGAGCCTGCCCTCACATATCCTAATATCATTTCTGTTTCATCGATGTGGCGTCCTTCTTTACGTATTCAGATATATCTCTTTCTTGGGTGCAATATCTTTCGATCACATTATCTTCATTTTCTTGTATTCGTTTTCTCTTTCGTTTACTCTGGATTTGCGTAACGGACATATATATATATGAGTGTTTCTTTCTGTTCTAGTTGGCCTGATGTAGTGTAGTCGTTGTGTGTATGTGCATCCGTACGTGTTAAGTAGTGATTTAATAAAGAGACGGGGAGAACAATATCTTTCCCTAATAGTCACTATGGTCCCTGTTCTGTATGTCAACGAAATAATCACCGTACAATTGATTGTTATAATAAAAAAAAAATTGGATGTTATCAATGTGGATAATCTAATCATCGAATGCGTGGTTGCCCACAGGTTTTATACTAGCTGGAATCCGTGATGGTGGGCATTCCAGTAATTTAAAACAAAATCCATCAACAAATTATAATATTACATTAAAATTATCAAGTCCTATATTTATTAATGTACAAGTTAATGGCAAACGTCAACATACAATTATTGATACCGGATCTGCAGCCACCATCATTAACCAACAATTATTTTAAAGTATCCATCATAAAAAATTCATATATAAACGTAAATCATACAAATCAGCTAGTTCTATATCGATTATCATTATTGGTGAAATTCAACTTGAAATTAAAATACAAGATCATAAGACATTAATTCAAGGGGGGAAAAGCGGCTCCTGGTGGCTCCTGATGGATTCTAGAATCCACCAGGAGCCGTAGATTCCATCAGGAGCTGTAGATTCCACCAGGATCCATTTTGATTAGTGAATTTATATCAATATTTTAAACAATTTTCAGTTGCTAAAGAAAACAACGAGACTCATATATGTCGGATCTATATGACTTTGATCTAGTTTTGAAAAAATTACAAAAGTGATCATGCATTTTGTTTACAGATCTAAATGGTCTATCTATCGTTTCTTGAATCTAAATGCTTAGAAAAAAACTTACAGATTTTATTGTACACAGAAAGAGAAGAGCTGAAGGATTCATTGTTCATATTATTCTATGACTGAGAATGTGTTACAATAGTCCTGAAAAAGATATTTAGCCTTTTTGTAATATAGACAATATTGTTGGAAAAATAATATTATTTTGTTTCTACCGATGACTTTGTCTGTGTATTGATTAATTCTTCATGTTAAATTGCAAAGTTCTAACAAGTACATAAATATGACTGGGTTTACAACGATCGGTTCAAATATATGAACTGACAGCTATGAACAAGTTTTGTTTCAAATATAGTAGGGAGTGCTAGCTATTGCAAAAAGTGAAAAAATCCATGGATTATTGCTACTTACTACATAGTTTGCCACTACTTACATATTGCATCATCGGTATGAAGAGGACAGGAATCTTTCAACAGAGATGATGAAATTATAAATGTTATTATGCAATAATATATTTGTTAGATCAACAAAGTGGAAGTGACACGATTTTTGGCGTTATAAAGTGTGAAAATTAAAGCAAATAGCCATTAGTTCAAAACCAGTACAGAGTGAGGAAAAAACCTAGCTACTTCCTAGCAAAGATGTCATAAATGAGAGGTTTGATTTTTATGGATACAACGGTTGAGACTAACGATGAAGTCGATGACAACATGAAAAATCAACGGTGACGGCCGATAGATTAGATAGCATTAGCACTGTCTCTTAACAGAAAGACGGGAGGCTGCGCAAATACGGATACAGCTTGTATTCGTATTTACGCATCTCTGGAAAGACGTCTACGCACTATAAAAAACAGTCATTAAGACAAGCTGCTGACTCATTCACTGAGTTTACCAGTCTTAACGATAACGCTTAACAGTGCATCCTCAGTGAGTTTAAGATTCCGTTTCGAGGAACCGGGAACATCAACTGGGGGTTACCTTTCTTAAAGCGCTAAATTTTGTGCGGATTCTCGTGCTTATGAATCCGATCTAGGCTCCTGTATCTAGATAAAAAATCGAAACTCAGTCTGAGTTTTTAGTGCCCAGGAGCCCATTATGAATTCCCACTCATTGGAATTCAGTAACGCATAGTAACTTGATACAAGCTGTAAGAATAAGCATGTGTAAATATCTCTGAATTGTCCAAAATGCGTGAAAAAGAATATTCAATTGGGTTTCTGTTCTTTGGGAACAGAGTCTAATGGAACAAGAATCCGGACACTACTAGCTATAATCTTATCACATTGAGCATCGATATTTAAACGTTATAACACCCACACCCTCAAATTCCAACTCATTATGTAATCAGTAATAGAACTAACAATTTTAACTTATTTCCGTTAATTTTATTGTGTTTTTCTTAGTAAACCACGTTTAGCAGCTGTTCATCACAGATTATACATTTTCTAGGCATGGATTGTAACGATTTTTAGATAGAAGAGATGTCTGTGCTGATGGCATTGCGCTTTATTTAACTCTTCAAATCACAAAATCGCTCTGATTACGTATAAAGCACACATTTAAATACTCAAGCATTTGAGAAAACGAAGGAGAATAAGAAATAAAGAGAAATATCAAGGACAGAACGATAAAGGTAATAGGTACCATAAGAATAAATGGCGCCATACTCCCAAACATCATGTATAGATTACACTAGAACGGGAGCGTTACATCCCCGGATGGGATTTGGACACTCTCCGCATATATCGTTACATGGATCAATTCCATATCTGCATGATTGTTGTTGAGTGATTAGAGTTAGAGTAAGATTCACACTGTTCTAGTCGCTCCTCTTATACGAAGAGACGTCTTATTAGTTCAGAATCATCAAGAAAAATAGCGATCAACTTCGTTTTGCCATACGATTTTCAATTATTTTGTCAGTCTCTGTATCAGATATTGCATAAAGCATTTGAAAATTACTTTGATGATGTCACTCTGGGAGAGGGAAGGAGGAAATCTCGGGAAAATGACAAGTAACCGCAAAAGACGGAGACGCTCCATAAGAAAATAAAACGTGATGACCTAATATGTGAAAGATCCCTGCCACTACTTACATATTACGTCATCAGTATGAAGAGGAGAGGAATCTTTCAACAGACATGATGAAATCATAAATGTTATTATGCAATAATATATTTGCTAGATCAACAAAGTGCAAGTGACACGATTTTTGGCGTTATAAAGTGTGAAAATTAAAGCAAATAGCCATTAGTTCAAAACCAGTACAGAGTGAGGATAAAACCTAGCTACTTCCTAGCAAAGATGTCATAAATGAGAGGTTTGATTTTTATGGATACAACGGTTGAGACTAACGATGAAGTCGATGACAACATGAAAAATCAACGGTGACGGCCGATCGATTTGATAGCATTAGCACAATCTCTTAACAGAAAGACGGAAGGCTGCACAAATACGAATACAGCTTGTATTCGTATTTACACATCTCTGGAAAGACGTCTACGCAGTATAAAAAACAGTCATTAAGACAAGCTGCTGACTCATTCACTGAGTTTACCAGTCTTAACGATAACGTTTAACAGTGCATCCTCAGTGAGTTTAAGATTCCGTTTCTAGGAACCGGGAACATCAACTGGGGGTTACCTTTCTTAGAGCGCTAAATTTTGTGCGGATTCTCGTGCTTATGAATCCGATCTAGGCTCCTGTATCTAGATAAAAAATCGAAACTCAGTCTGAGTTTTGAGTGCTCAGGAGCCCATTATGAATTCCCACTCATTGGAATTCAGTAACGCGTAGTAACTTGATACAAGCTGTAAGAATAAGCATGTATAAATATCTCTGAATTGTCCAAAATGCGTGAAAAAGAATATTCAATTGGGTTTCTGTTCTTTGGGAACAGAGTCTAATGGAGCGAGAATCCGGACACTACTAGCTATAATCTTATCACATTGAGTATCGATATTTAAACGTTATAACACCCACACCCTCAAATTCCAACTCATTATGTAATCAGTAATAGAACTAACAATTTTAACTTATTTCCGTTAATTTTATTGTGTTTTTCTTAGTAAACCACGNACATGAAGAATTAATCAATACACAGACAAAGTCATCGGTAGAAACAAAATAATATTATTTTTCCAACAATATTGTCTATATTACAAAAAGGCTAAATATCTTTTTCAGGACTATTGTAACAGATTGTCAGTCATAGAATAATATGAACAATGAATCCTTCAGCTCTTCTCTTTCTGTGTACAATAAAATCTGTAAGTTTTTTTCTAAGCATTTAGATTCAAGAAACGACAGATAGACCATTTAGATCTGTAAACAAAATGCATGGTCACTTTCGTAACGTTTTTCAAAACTCGATCAAAGTCATATAGATCCGACATATATGAGCCTCGTTGTTTTCTTTAGCAACTGAAAATTGTTTAAAATATTGATATAAATTCACTAATCAAAATGGATCCTGGTGGAATCTACGGCTCCTGGTGGATTCTAGAATCCATCAGGAGCCACCAGGAGCCGCTTTTCCCCCCTTGGTTTCTCACTAGGCCCATTCATTCGTGAAAGTTTCAACCCAAACCTATACTCCAAAGTGGCAAGTCGATTCTGAGGGCGGAGGCCCCCTTAAACGGAAACTCTAAGTCCGAAGCGTATCTTGAGGGTGTGAGTGAAGGTGAGGATGTGGTAGTGGGTGTGACTGAGGCGGTCACCGTGTTCTCAAAACAGGTAATCTTACTAAAATAATTAGAAAGTCTTCTTCGTAAGTTCTAAACTACTTTTTGTTTATTATGCATGCCTAATTTATTTGTCCGAATCACTATTTTCCTCTAATATTAACATGATAATGCAATTAGTGCTAGTTTCCGCTTTACACTACAAAGTTCGGACTGCGTTAAAAAAAAGGCTTTTGTTCTTCTATTACAAAATTTTCGACCAATTTTCGTAGACCCTTTGGTATGCACTTATGCTTGTATATCGGACCAAGTAGGTAATGTTAGCACCGGATTCGTGTATTTTGTGTCCGGATTCGCCTACTGCCCGGTGCTGGCTCTCTAACTGGTTGTGCTGGATTCAGAATTTTGAGCTCTGTCGAACCATAACAGTTTCAGGCGGTTGTCAAGCAAAAACTGCGGAGTCTCACAAAAATACTGCTTTTCCTCCCATGTAAAGGTTTCACAAAATTAATATTACCAGCCAGGATTCGCCTATGCGCCTCTGAGCTTCCTCAACTTGATTGTGCTGGATGCAGAATTGGAAGCTCTATCCAACGGTATCAGTTTCACATGAGATCGTCTGGCCAAAATCAGCGTTTTCGCCGAAATACTACCACAAAACCATGTTTTCACGCGAATAACCTGTCAGGATTCGCCTATAGACCTGTACTGAGCCTCTACTTCCTTGCAATAGATGCAGAATTTCGAGCTCTATCTGTCGGTGTGTTTTTCAGGTGGACTTGTCGATATAAGCGGAGATTATTGCGGATATACCACCAGAAAAATATGTCTTCAGGAGAATATCTTGTCAGGATTCGCACAGAGCCTTGTGTCGATGTTCTACTTGATGGCGCTAGATTCAGAAGCTCAAGCTCTATCTGTCGGTGTGTTTTTCAGGCGAAATCTTCGATCTAAGCGGAGGTTTTTGGGGAAATACCACCATAGGTAACGCGAGAATTTCAGTTGAAATTGAAATTTTCAAAAAGAAATTATAAAAGAAATTTTCCTTTCTTACAGTTCTGATAAATAATACAGCGTTCCGTAGTAAAACAATCTTTCATAAATGATGCATAAGAAATGCAATTAATTAAAATTATTTTTATGTATAATTCCTTTCAGTATTTTATATAAAACTGTAGCAGAAAAAGTCCGTTTTTCTTTGTTTCCTTGGTATTCGATCTATTTCATTATGATGAGCGAAAAGTATTTATAGATGAATACTATTTGAGAAAATACATCTCCTACAGTGATGCAGTAGCGATGGGTGGCAGAATTTTCACAACCAGAATGTAAGAATTCTGTATTCACCGCAGAATTCTGCTACAACTTTGCTTATATTGAATAGCAGAATTCAAGAATTCTGCTAGGTGAGAATTCTGTCACTGCTGCCACCCACACTCACACCCACACCCCACACCCCAATCATACACCATTGGCTTCGTTTATTTGTGGTTGGTTCAATTTTGTGAAGAATTTTGCAGGTAGGCAAGGAAGGCAAACAAATTTAAGTAGCTGACTACTTTTAAAATATTAAAGGAGATGTTGCATTTGCGCCTGGCTTCAGCGGCGTAACTAGGATTTTTAGACCAATGGGCAAACTTCTATTGTGTCGGGAAACCATGATGGGCAAAATGGGTAAGATTTTTATTGATGGGCCAAAAGGTTTTGGTTCAACAAAGTACTGATAACGTAAAAAAATGAACGGATGTCCACTAAATTAAATATGCATTAAACTCAGATTTTAGGCCTGCGCCAGTTGTTATTTAGTCTATTTTCAATGTTTCTGTTCATAACATTTATATTTCAAATTCAGACACCGAAATCAAGGCAACGATGATGCATTTGTGTATATTTTTTCAATATTTCATTGAAGTATATATCGAGATCTTTATGAATGTATGCAGCAGTAAGTCCGTTTAGCCTATTTTGTTCTTTTGTAGACCGACACTTACGTTTAATTCTCGATAACTCGCTGAAGCTCAGGAGGGGATGTAACGCCTTGATGAGGATCAGAGACGCAACTAATAAAAAATGCCAGATGCCAGAATATTGATTATGGCAGAATGACAACAATGGAGAAATGAAATAATATTGAATATTGGATGAAGATCCAATTGTTTATTCAATGAACAGAAATAGTTTGTGAATAAGAAGAACTCTACAAGCAAGTAGCTGAGATGAGTTCGAACGATCATAATGGACAATCGAGGTAGATTGATTGTAATGAACAATCAAGTTGAAAGAAAAAGGTAATATGTAATTGATCAAAAATATGATTCTTTTTTATAGAGGAGAAAAACAGTAGTTTTTAGAAGAATAAGAAGAATTATGATTAGTATATCTCTGTGGAGAGATATCTCTATATCGGAGCTTGAAGAAACGTGAAGAGAATAGAATAATTATCTATTATATTCTGAGTCTAAGCGCGAAAAACGAAAAAAGGTGCCACTATTGAAAATAACAAGAGAGAACAACACAGGAGAAATAAACATACATAATATAGCAAACACCAAGATAAGATCAGTGACGTTACTGTCGTCACAGGGGGGAGTGACTTGAATCAACCGAAAATCAGGTAAAAAAGTAGATCTGTTCCTAATCGCTTCCTATCGCTCGAAATCATTTTCAAAATCATGTAAAATTGCTTCAAATAGCATCAAATAAACCGAAAGAATGGGTTTTCAGCAAGGGTGGAGCTGATTTTAATCAACCAAAAATCAGGCAAAAATCGCCGAAAATCGCCCCTAAATCAATTGATTTTCAGTGATGGTCGGTGATTGTCAACGATTTCCAGTCATCTCCGGTAGCTTTTAATTTGGTAAAAATCACTCCAAATTGTGAAAATAAAAATAATCTTTCCGCTCCCCCCCCCCTTGCTGCAATTTCTTTCAGCAGAAGCTGTTGGCACACTATACACATATACATAGACGAGTAAAGAAAACAAAACATGAAGAAGTCAAAATACAAGAAGTGATTCTTTTCTTCTTCTTTGCTGAATTCTCCACAGAAAGAACAAACAAAGAGCGTATGTGAGGTTCAGATGGAAGAAAATAAATGTAGCAACTATCTAATTCAAAAATAAATAAACAATTCGGAAAAAATAAAATTTCAATGGGCAAAAACTTACTAATAAAAAATACAATGAACAAGTCTCCAAATGAACTGGGCAATTGCCTATTTACCCCTTCCCTGGTTACGCCGCTGTCTGGCTTTACTACAATTGTGAATGCAGCGATTATTATGGGTGGTAACGATTCATTGAATACAGGTGCTCAAGTAGGTATTGGAATAGGAATATGTTTTGTATGGGCTGCTCAAAATGCATTACGTATTGATCAACAAGGCTGGTTGAACAATTTTACGGTATTTTTTCAACTCGGGTCAGCAATCACTATTGTTGTAGTGCTTTTTTCTATGGCATCTGAGAGAGTTACAGCTCGTCATGTTTTTACATCAACATACAATGGTACTGGGCTCTTATTCCCATATGTATACGTCATTAGTATTTTGTCGACACTTTTTTCATTCTCTGGTTATGAAGGTAATGATTAAGTATTTGAATTTGTGTTAGTCATCTCTAAATTTTTAAGCTGGTGCTCATTTGGCTGAAAAAACTAGAGGTGCAAGTCGAGTAGGTAAGAAAATATTTAGAAGACAGTGAACTTTTCGAAAAATTCTTAAAATACCGTTCGACTCTTTTCGTTTTCAAGCTCCCACAGGAATTGTGGGCACTTTTATATGCAGCGCTATTACTAGTTTCGTTTATCTTCTTGCTCTACTGTTTGCTATTTCGGATATAAACAATTTTATTATGAATAATAGTGGAGATAGTTCAACTCAAAGTTTCACTACTGATGCTTATCACACTGCCGTACCTTACGGAGGGGGAATTGGTGTGACAATTTGACTCATTATTAACTTGTATTTTGCCTGGATGTCATCATTGACAGTGACTACTCGAATCGGGTATGAAGGAATCATGTGAATATTTAATTTTCTTGTAAGTCATCAATATCTTTTTCGTTCTAGTTTCGCTGTGGCTCGTGATGGTGTTTTTCCACTATCGGTTTATCTACGTTGGATATTTGAACCGACAAAAACTCCATTGGGGAATGTGATATTCGTGTTCTTTATCGACTCGCTTCTTCTCCTACTTCAATTAGCATCGGAGACTGCTTTCAGTGTCATTCTTTCTATAGCCACACTCGGATATCAAATATCCTATTTCATGCCTATTCTATTCCGATGCACCACTGTCCGCCACAATTTCCTCATTGGTGAATTCAACTTGGGTCGATTCGGACTACCTATTGCTTTAATCCCAGCCACTTGGCTTTTTATCACATCAATAGTCATGTTTTTTTTCCGCCCGAATATCCAGTTACGAAAGATAATATGAATTATGCTGTGGTTATCGTTGGTGGAGTATTTCTACTTGCAGCAATGTATTGGATTTTTTCAGCTCGACATTGGTTTATCGGTCCAAAAGGAACTACGACAAATTCTAATGAATTATCGCTGAATCAGACTAGCATCAGTGACATTAATGAAATCAAAACATCACCCAGCTTAATCCACGTCCGGTTGTGAGTTTGGACGAGCTTTATATGTATGCTCATTCGTAACTGTCATAAATGTACTATATCGAGCATAATACAAAGTAAAATTAAGTGGAAATGTTTCGTTAATGGATGACAAAACTAGTTCCTTTCATTTTTTCCAGTTTTTGCTTAATGCTTCTTGAATACCGAATGCATGACAAGACATATCTAAGTATTTCAATCAGCCTTGAAGAAATAATATCTTGTTGAATCACTCACAAACGCAACACAGTCGGTCTATTATAACTCAAATTATATATTCAACTAATGAACATTCGTCTAAGGATGTGGGCATTAATCCTCATCTATTCTACACACCCATACCCTCAAGAAGAATACCGGTCACTATTTAACAATGATATCCCTATGCATAGTCTTGTTTTTTTTTCCTTAAGTTCTATTTGTATAATATTCTTTTTAATATTGCTCCGAATTCCATAAATGTTGAATTATAGAAATGAAATAATGTTTTATTTTCATAAAAAAAACAACAACATAGAATGAAAAGAAGAGAAGTTTTTTTAAAAATAGTCTTGACATGAGCATTGCCCGTTCATATGAAAGTGATGTATACGGTTGGCGTCACGAACAACTATTTCACATTGATAAATCAAAGCAACTAATTTAGTTACTTGATCTATTTAGAAAAAAAAGGAGAAAGTCAATGAGAAAAAAATAGATTAATTCATGACTTACGACAATCACCACATATGCGAAGATTTTTTGTCATTTGAATGCGTTTGGGTTTTCGATTACGGATGAAATGAGCAGCCATAGCGAGTCGTTCGCTGTGCCCGCAAAGAAGTGTTTCAATTGTTTCATCAGGTTCCACCGGTCTTACAACCCAACTTGCATCGTACTTATGCCCATGTTCAATGATTCTTTTTGACATTCGATCAGCTTGTTCATGAATTTCCGCAGATTCAGCATGTGATTGATCATGCGCTCGAAATCTCTATGAAAATACACCAGAATAATTTCAAATGTTTTGATAAAAAGATTTTTGCAAACTTACCCAGATTTTTCCATCGATATCAGTCATTGTTACACCAATTTGTTTCTTAGCACCTGATTTATGCAATTCCATTTTAATATCTGTTGATTTTTCAATGTCACCTGATGATGCATAAACATTAGCCAAAAGAATTGAAGCTGTCAGTAATGAACTTTTCAAATCAGGAAAAAGCTTCTTCATGCGATCAACAACATCTTGTGATAATTTACTATTTTTATTATTGCGAGCACCTGATAATAGTGCCGCTAGAATTAAAATAAAAAGAATAAAGATTAGGTAATTCTCTTGGTTAATTAAAAAGCCATTTTGCTATTTTCATTCATTGAATTTTCTTTTTCATTATCCAACTTCATTGTTCAGAGCTTTTTATTTAAAAAAAATATACACTTTATGAAATCTGCCACTCAAACAAGGATATACATAGCAATTAAATACTTTTATCTAGTTATCTCTAATTTAATAAAAGTTTTCTGAACTAACTGCAATTAATTTCATTCTACCATATTTGTTATTTGATAGAAATCTATTTCAATCTAATGTTTCTCCATGATTTGTATATTTTCTATCGATTTTCAATTCAACTATCTTGTTGAGCATTATTAGAAAAGAGTTTCTCCGAAAATCAATTCGATAAGCATATCGGTCACTTGAACTAAACAATTCTTTTATGTATAGGCACGCATATTTTATGTTTTTACTTCTTAAAAGGATCAAAAATAATTCAAGTCTGAAAAAACTTGTCTTTTTTTTCTAATGTATCTTCCGAGTAATTCCGTTACCAATCCTTATCTTACAGCATAAACTCCAACAATAAATTACTTTATATACATAAATTTCAATTAGATCTTAGTTATGTATAATCTCTATTACTTCCATGGAGTCGTCTCTCGTGATCTGTGAGATGAGGGAACTACAATTTTTTATCCTATGCATTTCAGCGTTCCTTTCAGATTTCGTTTGGTAAAAACGTTTTTTGATTACGTAAAGATTCATAATATATGATGATTTCATACTAAAATATGTTCAACATTACTATCGAGAACACGCTTTTTTTCTCGTCGACAGCGTACATAAAAGCACGATATAACATATTTTTATGCTCCAAAAGTATTTTAGGAAACTTAGCTAGAGAAAAAGTTTTTGATAAGAATTATTTTTAAGCTATATCAAAAAATCTGCTGGTGTTTAATGTTTTTATTCTCCTCTTTTGTTTATTAGATTGACTTTTTTAAAAATTACAATTTCATATTTATTGGTCTATAAAAAAAAACACATTTATGATCAAATCTCTTTTTTTGTTAAATGTTTTTCTGAACAAAATATTCGTTAATCGATTCGAATAAAATCACGTAAAAGAATAAATCGGAAATTCTATTAATGGTTTAAAAATTTGGTCAATACTGACTATACATCACTACTGAAGGTGGATGATCACGCTCAAATTTCTCCATTAATTCTCGTGCTTCATCAAAAGCAACTGCACGACTGAGACAATCAATCTAAATAAATAAATATAGAAAATTTATATAAGTTTGGCAAAGAAAAATGGATAATTTTTAATATACCATTGTTGTATATATTATTTCTGTTTTTGTTTGAATATTATTAAAGATCAAACGAGCTTCAGCAACAAGGCCTGAATGTGAACATGCATTTAAAACACAAACATAAGTTGATTCATGAATAAGTTCTTTTGGCATTTGACGATAAAATTCAACTGCTTCAACGCCCATCCCATTCAAACCATAAGAATTAACTATTCAACGCAAAACAAAATTATTATTTTCTAAAGAAAAACAACAAGAACAAACTCATTGCCGTATATCCAATGTGATCGGGTTGAGACATAATTCTAAAAATTCGTTTTGCTTCATCGACAGAATCAACTTTGCCCTAAATATAAATATCTTTTTATGAACAAAAATCGAAAAATGAAAATCTATTTAAACAGACCCACATATCAATCAGCGCATTCTGAATTCGACGATCAACAAGAAAAAAACTTGGAATACGTTGAACAAACGATTTAGCTGTTTCCAACATGCCAATCTTAGCCAAAGCTTTTATCATACATAAATAAATAATAATATTTCCATCTGCACAATCATTTTTCATTTTGGACAATAGATTAAATTCGTTTTTAGTATCATTTTTTCGATAGAATTCATCATGATGTATCCCATTAAAAATGTCAACTGCTTTTTCTGCCAGTTCATTTTTATTGAAACCTATAAAAAAAATAAAATTGACCAAAGAATTACTAACAAAAACTATAATATTAACCTGCCATCATAGCTGCATACATTGATAATGTTTTCTTTGTTGATGCTTGAAACACTGCTTGAGCATTTTTCATATCACCACATTTCATGAATGCATCAATAAGAGAAGTTACAACATATGGACTTGAATGAAAACTTTTTGAAATATTTGATGAAACAATTTTGATTAAATCTAATTCTTTATCTGTTCCTAATTGAGCACATGCATTAAAGAACAGAGTGACAATCACTTTATCTGGATCATGAATTTCCTTGAAAAGAGTAATTGCTTTATTCGGCATATTATTTACTAAATAACCTATGAAAAAGACATGTCCTATTAAAGAATTTCTAGCGAAAACGATAGCTTTACCTTTCATCATAGCCCCATACATCGATAGAGCTTTCTGTGTTGATGCATGAAACACTGATTGAGCACTTTTTATATCGCCACATTTCATAAATGCATCAATAAGAGAAGTTAAAACGTAGGGATTTGAATGAAAACCTTGGGGCACCTTTGATGAAACAATTTTGACTAAATTTAATGCTTCGTGTGTGCGCAACTGGGCACAAGCGTTGAATAACAAAATGATTGAAATTAGATCGGGATTTTGAATGTCTTTAAAAAGATTGGCTGCTTTATTAGCCAAATTATTTTTTATATAACCTAAAAATACTGGAATAAAGATGAGAAAATTTAAAATAAATTCTAACCTTTCATCATAGCTCCATAAATAGGTAATGTTTTCTTTGTTGATGTATTAAATAATGATTCGGCACGATTAACATCACTACATTGCACTTTAAGGAAAGAATATTAGATGAGAGAATACCGAGACTTATTTATTCAACAGGATTTAATATAACTTAGTCATTATAATGATATTTTAGCTCAATTTCATCTTCACTCAGACCCACATCCATATATTTTATTTACTCATGAGTCGTGTGGTATTTATCACAAACGACCTTTGGACTTATTGAAAAATTACGAAAATTGTCGAAAAAGATTATACTAGGTGCACATTTCTAACGATAGCTCCGTTAAAATCTGTTCATGTTTGTGAGAAGTCATTTATATTCTGGAAGAAGAGACTTCAATGCGTCTTTCTATGATTAAAACTCGATTTCGCTTTTTCGAAAAAATGTGTTTTTTGAGGAGGGAGGGGGCTTTTCGTAAACTTAATATTGGCTACATTGTGCTTGATCACTCCCTAAATTGACTTCCTGTAATCAATATTTCACACTGAATAATAAAAATAAACTTTTGAAATTGTACGAATAATATTAGACTGTGTTCGAATTTTGAATTATCACCATCTGAATAAGTTTGTATTGGGGATGGCATGGGAGATATATATGAAATTTTAGAAGTCGTAAAGATGCAAGAATTCTTATGACTGAAACGCTGCGTTATTTGGTGCTGTATAAATCGTAATACCTTTTAGACAGTTATTTTCTGTTCAAATTCGGCGAAAAAAAATCTGACTCAACTGCTGATCACAAAGCTGTTTTCTCAGCTTTCAACCAAGAAATAGTATTACTATCGAGAAAGAAACAAAAACTTGTGGAAGTATAAATAAAGTGCAAGGAGAGGGCAAAATTGGGCGCTACATCAAGTAACCACATTTTGGAATTGGTCGCATTCGTAACAGAAGCATAGATTTTCTTCAATTCCACATAAACTTCAATCTGTAGAGGTGCGATTCAGTGATATAGCATAATCTGATGGTGAAGGTGCTTTTAAGAAATGTGTATGTGTCTTATCTAATGAGCAAGTAGATGGTTCTATTGGGTAGTGGTAAATCTATATAAAAAATTTACCTCTTGAATATATCAGAATGTTACGAAAAGACGAAAACTATTTTTGTTATGAGGTACCGAGACCTGCAATCGATTAAAGTCATCAAGTAGACAAAATTATATGCCGTATGTAAACATTTACAAGTAAGTTGGTACTTGATATATTATTAACGTTTTATATGCACATACAAGAATATATTAAACATTATAATGTATATTTTTATTTGATGTTGTTTTTTTCGAATAAGTTATTAGTTACTTGCTCAATCTTTCTGAGGTATTTGTTTGAAATACTTTTAAAATGTTTAGAAATTTTATTATATCGCATCATGATCAATTCACATCGTGAAATTGTCTTTCGGGCAATTCTCTTGAAACCAATTGAAAGAAATCACCGAATTGTTTCATTCAATAGAGATGATTTCAATAGTTCAGAGAAAACTTCAGAAAATATTAATTTCTTATCAATGAAGACTCGTAATGGAGAAGTCATAATGTATTTCTTCTTGTTAAACTAAAACTTTAGAAAACACGTATCTGTGATGAATGTATAAGTTTTTACTATAGACAATAGAGAATGTTTTTATCGAAAACAATTTTTTTTGTCAATCATTAATACTTCATGCCAAAAAAATTAGCTAAATCGAACGGAACAACAGTCGGCTGATGGAAAATTCTTGGGGTCCTTTTTTCAATAAACTTACTATATAAATGAATTAATGATGGTAATACATAAGGATCATGTTTTAAACGAGATGAAATTAGATTGTGAATTTTCAAACCATATTGAACATCACATATCTGTGTACATGCTTTTAAAGCTTGAATGATAATCCAATTGGAACATTTATCAATGTTTTTTTCGTTGAATGCATCAAATAATTCAAGAACTTTTCTATGTTGTTTATTATCATTTAACATTTTCATTCGACCTCCGATGTCAACATTATTTTCCGTACTTGCTAAACGTCTTCCAGCAAGTATTACAAATCTCAAATAATTATTGATCAATATGTTTGACATGATATTATTATTTTTATAAGGAATAATATTATAGTGCTTTTAATAGAAATCTAAAAACAAAGTGCAATTAGGTAATTCATTTCTATTCACAAAGTATCTGTTGATATTTTGGTTTATATAATAAAGTATCGTGACAAAAAAAAATAATTTTTGAAAAAAAAAGTATAAATATTTTTTATTGTTTGCCTCTTCTAATGAAAAATATGTTCTTTTCGGAAGAACAACATAGATAAATTACAAAAACTGCCAAATTTTGATATGAACAAGCTTAAAGAAAACTTTACTCTTCCATGTATACAATCAATAAAAAGGGGACAAAATAAATTGTTATTGGTTTTCTTTTCTTTTCTTTAAGCAGTTTGTTTGTTACGACCGTCGTATACTGTCTTGAGGGTGTGGGTTGCCGCCTAATTGTGATATCTCATGACTTCTAAACCCACACTCTTAACATAAACATAGAAATTTTCTTAAATAAAATATGTACAAGTTAATGTTTTGAAGCCGATTTAAACTAGATATTGCTGGTGTACTTTTACGTGTTTGTTCATTGATTGAAATTATTTTAGAATTCAATATAGCAGAACATATTGTTGACGTTGATTGATATGTATCATTAGCTGAAGGACTATAGTTATAGGTGATAATGAACCACATTCAATTGCTAGCTGATGATTATGTGTATCATTTTCAGGACAGACAGATATTAGATGGCGAAAATCTATTTAAATAAAATGAATTTAATATTAAAAGAATTCTTTTTAAATTAAATAAAGCAAATTTGTTGGACTACTAACTAAATTTGCAGGAGTTGTTGATGAAGATGATCTTGATTACTTGTTACCATCAGTAATTTTAATTCACGCTCATGTAAATCATATTTTCATTCTAAACGTTGATGATTTTGTGCAACAGTCAATTCAAGCATTACACGTTCACAATCACGAATTTCCTTTGGGAAAATATTAATTAATAAAACACGAGGTAGAATGCTTTATCGTTTTACTTTTTCTTTAGGTCGTAATTCAACAAAAATATCTTGAATTTCTATAGGTCGATTTTGTTCTAATGTAAAATAAGTTTCTCCATTTGATTCCATATTATTTAAATCATTATTTGAATAATTTACTTCAATAATTTTATTGATCTGTTCATATAATTCACGAAATGTTGGTCGATTATCAGGAAGTGATTAGTAACAATCTATTGAAAAATAATGAAGAAAAAAAACAACAAAAACCTTTTATTAACTGTGAAAATTCTTTTGAGCATGTAGTTGAAATAGGTAAAGAATATTTATTTGTAGCAATACCAAAAGCAACTTGCTTTTGATCAAAATCTTTGTTTGGTATTTCGCCTGTTAAACATTCCCGAAGAAAAACAACAAAACTAAAAAGCAAAAAAAGAACGTTCTGCATGTGACTCAAATACGATCTAAAAGAAATTTTACAAGTCTCGATCTCCGATGACAGTCTGTATACTAAGATTATGTTTTCGTTATAATATATATGAATATAAACTACTACTTTTTTTCGTGTATTTATCGAGGATTAAATAAAAATCAAGGAAAAAATTGTGTCTCATGAGACAATAAAATAATCACCCCATGATCAGTAACAATATCTAGATTTCATTAATAGTTATGCGAATAAATCTAGACAGTATTTTTGAGTTTTTGTTCTATGTACATCGAGAGATCATGATCCGGTAGAAATAATAAAACTGATTGGTCACATAATACGAATTGCAAACAATTCGTGATCGGCTTGAAAACAATCTCGAGTCAACATATCAACGAATCAAGACATGAACGTGAAACTTTTTATTTATTATTCTTACCTGCATACATGAGATTTTGTTGAAAATTTATTACTACGTAACTCATCGAAGGAAATGTTCCAGTAGCTGACATGCTTAATGATATGTTTTTTTCTGCAATTTTTAATCTTTTATATAAAAGTTCATTTCTAAAATTATCTTTTTTTGTTTTTCTAAACTAAATATTTGAACATTTTAAATGTCAATGAATAATATGCTCAGATGCTTCATCATGTAAAAATTTCATTCAATCAGCAATTTCTTTACCATATTGAATAAATGCATTAGGAAGATAAAAATCAGATTTTCTTTCTTGTAAAACAGAACTTAATGCAACCTCGTGTATATTCCATAAGATAAAAACTTCTTGTTGATAACGATGAAGAAACACCAAATAATTAAATTATATTTTGATGTTTAAGAATAGTACAGAGACATGCCTCTCGTAAAAGACCATCAATAAGACTTTTTTGTGCATCATTCGTTGATTTATAATCCGTGCCATTTTCTGATGATAGTGCTTCAATAGAACTCAAGGATATGTTAGAGATTTGCAGTTTTTATTGCTACTCCAATATAACTAAATTTTCCGTAATGTACATGACTAAATAATAGGAGGAAAAAAAGTAGAAGAATATTTTTCTCTATAAAATAGGGCATTTATTGGAAATATTTATAGTGACTAAATTTTAAATGCGTTCAATTTAATTCAAAATACGGTGTGCTTTCCCCCTATGTGAAAATTGCCTTTTCATACATCTTACTGTTTATTCGAGATTTTCTCAGCATTAGTGAGAGATGTTGATTGTAATGTTTTTGGAATGTATCAGAAAACAGTCACATACGAACCACGATTATAATGTTTACGTACGTTTACAAAAATTCTTATCGATTTGCGTTATCTTTATAGAAAAATGTGAGTAATTTTTCTTTTTTGAGCTGACAGGTATTTTAGTTCTAATGGTAAAAACAGATCTATATGCCGATGAAAAATAGAATCGATTGAGATTGTTAAATTCTTAATTCTAGCTAAAATAGTCAACATAACGTGACTACAAAAAGCAGACAATGTATGAGTCATGAATTTACTACATGTGAACTAATGGAAAGATAGTTAGCATTTGAGAAGCGTCAAATATCTTGAAAAAATCTTGTATTTGCAAGCAATTCATATCAACCGAATAAATGGTCAAAATATTTTCTTTACATTAACGATCTTGTTTTACAACTATCCAATGGACCGTATAAATTTACTGTCGTTGTTTCATCAAGGGAAAACGTAAACGATGAACATCTAATTCATTCATTTATATAAACCTTTCACAAACAATTCTTACCCAAAACCACCAATACCAATTAAAGATCCAAATCATAATTCTTTTTCATCAATAATACGTAGATTTGGTTGTGAGCTTGCAAAGAAATTCGCAGGAAATACACCAACAGATTCTGAATCAACAAGTCTTTCATCCTTTTGAACTGGAGATTTTTTCATCTTATGATAAAACTTCTAACAGACTTCAGCGTCTTAAAAATCAATAAAAAAATTTCTTGGTTGATATTATTATACTCTGATTTTTAAATTTCATACTTTAATATTCATTCATAAATAACATATAAAATGTCATCTTTTTTTATTAGTCAAAGATGATAAATTTACTCATGATCAATTATGTATTTGTTATTAACAAATATGTCCTAGGAGGATGGATAATAATAATTGACCGAAGTGAACGCCGAAGACCGACCGAAGTAGCCGAATGCGCTGATTGGATATTTTAAATATATACATCCAGCGGTTTAAAAGCGCCAATATCTAATTAGATGGCGCCCTTATATTATATTTTAAAATGTCAGGAATAAAAGTCAGTAGATGAGCAAGAATATTTCTGAAATACATTTGCAGAAATATATTCTTTCAGATTGTAGATTAAATGTTATGTTAAATTCTGTTCAATATTGAAACATCTTATATTTCTACATCCGAGAACATTAAACTCTTTTTTATGAAAAAATATAATTCTATGAATCTATTTTAAACTAATATATTATCGTTTATTTGTGTCAAATTCTCTCATTTAAAAAAATATCCATTCATATCCAGTGTGTGGGTGTGAGTGGGTGTGTGATAAAATATAACATTCATACGCAGATCCAACCACACACCCACACCCACATCCTTAGAGCTTGTTGTAGATAATTCAAGGTTGTAATATTATCTCCAGTTTCCATATAAATAAGTCCAATCAAATGTAAACATGTTCCCAGCTTAGGATGATTACAATCCATATACGTAGAAGTTTTTTGCAGTTTGAAGAGCTCTCTCTAAATATGTTAAACTCACACTGTATTGTTCAAATTCAGCATAGTTGACTCCGATTCGTAAAAGACAGTCAATCATTGTAGGTTGATCGGATGATGACAAGTTACAATTTTCTAGTATGTTTAATGCTTGTTTAAAATAGTTCAATGATTCAGTAGAATCTTCAACTAAATCACCCATTGTCATAAGGATATCAGCGATAGAAGGATGATTTTCATCAAGTTGTATTTTTTTTGTATGAATCTGGTTTCTACAAAATTGCAAAGCTTCTCTAATCTTGCCATTCTCTTTATAAGCATGCGTAATTTTATTTACACTTTTGTTTATTTCTGAATACATTTCAGAATAGACATTCTGTTCGATTTCGTACGCTTGATGAAAGTATTCTAATGCATGTTCCAAATCGTGTTTGTTACTGTAACTCTGACCAATTCTCCAAAATATATCGGCAACATCCAAATGTTGTGAAGATCATATAGTTTTTCATATCTCGTAAGTCTATTAAAAATAGTCTAACGCAGAATCATAATCATTGAGAAGTTCATATGCATCACCAATATTCATCAATGTTGCGCCTTTAAGAAGGCTCACTTCGGTCGACCTACGATTCTGCAATAAGTCTAAGTCTAATACTTGATTGCTTCGTGTGTACTTCTATGTGCTTCTATTAAACCCATAGCATTTAAGATAAATCCAAGAATTAAATAATGATTGCTTTGTAATGTTTTCTTTTGAATTTCTAATTCTTTTCTACAGAAATCTAAACCTTCATCAAAATTTTTCTGCTCTTTATATAATGTCGCAATTGCAATTAGACTTGTATTAAATTTTGAATGATCGTTGGAATAAATTTCCCAGGTGAATCAATCCGATACCGAATCCCATCGGATTCTATGGAGTCCTACCATCCGACGATAATCCGATTGTTTCCTTGCGCCTTCCGAAGAGCTCCGTCGGATTTCAATAGGAACCGCTCGGAACTCATCGGATCCTAGGCTAGGATTTATTCTCATGGGATCCAACAATCCACATCCAGCTATACACAATAGTTAATACGTTGGATACACTTATCACTACAGAAAGACATGGAAAATAGCATTGTTGAATTCTTACGCCAAAACTTGTATGATTGTTTATTATTTATTAAACATGGCCACCCATTTCAGTAGAGGATTAGCAACGCTTACGTCGCGTTACTTGTATATTATCTGAACATAATATTTCGAGAAATGTGATCGTCCTCTCATAAAATCTTTTGAAATTTATACAATTCGTCTTACATATAGAAGTGGTAAGTATTGGCAGTTTTATTATTATTGTTATTTAGTAAATCTAGGATTATCGATAGAATAATAGTTTTTAATTACGCACGTTTAATATTTCATTATCAGCAAACTCGAGAGATAGCTCATTCATTTTCTTATGAATAGTGATTCTGAAGAAGTTAAAAACACAAGTTTTTTTCTTTGTTTGAATTTTTTCCTCTCTCTGCATTGACATATGAAATAAATGAGAATATTCAACAAGCTGGTATTAACGACGCAAAAACATTTAGTTTTGAAAGAAACTATGTCATAAATCAATAAGAAACTTTATATATTTTAGTAACTATATTCATATTGAGAATTTCGTTTGCATCTTTGGAAGAGATCAAACATTGGTAGTAATTTTTTTATAGATGAGTTAATAAATAAAAATGTCTGTTTTTTTTTAGAAATAATAACAAACATTTTATTTTATTTTAGGGTATTAATTAAATACTGAGGTGTTCATGAGCATTCTGACTGGAACGCCAGATGTATAAATAAAAATGATAAGTTTGTGAGCAGATTTATAGTGTATATGAGAATCTTGTTTACAGTCAAGTAACTAATACAATACCCAGATAACGATTGATTATTAGTATCAACCGAGCAACGCAAACGATAAATATAACTGACAAGAGTGACGTTCTTGTGTCAATTTATTATTATTCTGATCTTGAAAATATTCCTTTGAATATTAATCTAGATAAACCCCCTACAGAATAGAAGCCCATGGATGGCGTCTCTGTTCCGCAAGCTGTAATTTTGTAACAAAGCATGCCCTGATGCCAGTTTTTGCGTTATTTGATAGAAAAATGTTCACCCATTCATTTTTCATGAAGTAAACCTTGATTTTCAACGGACAAATCTAACCCAGGGGGTGGGCTTCTATTCTGCGTAGGAGTTTATATCTTTATCTCATATTGAAAAACTAAATTTATCTATGAAGAGTAATTGAAATGTGGAACCAAAAGAAAAAATGGCCGTTCTTATGCTCTGCTTCCGAAAATCTTCTATGAGAGCATTGTGAGGATATGTTAGACATTTACATTTGCCATATTTAATAATGACAGCGCAGTTGACTATTGATTTTGAAATCTTTTAACTGTCATCTGTCAAGTTCTGAATTATCTTAATAAAACTTTAATCGTATAACGTAATTGTTGAAATTTGAATAATTTTTCAATTATCCAAGTTCTTCTAAATAAAAACAATTTGCTATACTTTTTTTTTATTTAGAACAAATGAATGTATGTTTTAATCGAAAAAGATCCACGTCTTGCAAAATTCTTCATAATTGTTGTATTTCAATTTCTCCTCTCCTCTTCTCTATTTAAGATGGGTTGCATATGTGGATCACTTTATATCGAACCTTATCGTAATCAATATGCATCTTACTCTTTTACATATATGCGGTTAGCCAAGTTAAGAAAAACTTTAGCGAACGGCTGTTCTAATCTTACACATCTACCTTGTTCTCTTCAAATGGACATTAATGTTTACTTTTTCCGGTAGGAATTACTGCTGATTTATTATTCATTGGTCACCATTGGGACGATATATACTTGGCATCGAACTGTTCACGTGCTCTCCTGTTTTTTTTACTTTATCTGCTATCACAATTATCATTTTTGGTACTGATCATATTCTTTTTTATGATAAGATACTCGATGTGAGCTCTACATTATGTTTTGCACTAGTCGTGGTATTCACACATCTGGCACTGGCACTATGTGTGCTCAAGAATATCTAAGATCCATTCAGTGTAGTCTGTGGGTAACTGTCTTTACCTTAACCACACCTACAAACATGTGTTTATCATTTTTCAAGTATGCTCACACGCATTGTCAAAAGGAAGCTGTAAAAAACTTGACTTGTGAAACGTTGTATAATTACTAAGAATATAAATTCTCTTTTGAAAAACGTCCGCTGATAAATGTTTCCCTATTATAGAAATATTATTTTTAAGACTCATTGTAATCTATGTATATTGAATGGATAATAGTCACAAATAAATTTATTCAGTCATCAATAAGATCAAAGCATTCATGAGTCTTTTGTATTTAAAATTAATAATAGCAACCAATTTAAATAACTTTGACATAATCAGTATTTTCTATCGTGTTTGTTTTTTTTGCAGCAAGTGCAACACAACCGATTCGAACATTTGGTAAAAGTGTTGATGGTTGGCTTCGTACAGCATTAGGTTATTTACCAGAACGATTGAAAACAATTAAATTAACAATAATAAATGCATTTGCGATGACATTAAGACGTTATACACCATTAAATCATTTAGTTCAAGTAGCACGTGCTGTTCTTCTTAATGCAACACAAGTTAATCAAATGTTAGCTGATTTAAATAAAGTCGATTTTCATAAGGTTCAAGTTCGTTTTTTATTTGTTTTTCTGTTTCACCTTTTTTCAACAAAAATTTTTATTTCAGGAACAAGCATGGTGGGTTTGTGAATGTGATGATAATTTAATTTCACGTATTGAGAGAAAATTCAAAAACCATTTATCATCTCAATCAACATTAGAAGATTGGGCACAAGGGCTCGATTCATTATTAAATGATCTTCTTAAACCATATTCAAATTTCACAGCAGAAAAATATGCAAAACAAGCAAAATAAATTCTTTTAAATTGGGCTTTCTATTGTTCAATGGTTATTCGAGATTTAACATTACGTAGTGCTGCATCGTTTGGTTCATTTAATTTAATTTGTCTTCTTTACGATGAATATTTATTTTATTTAATTGAACATAGAATTGCATCACATACACAAAAAACTCCAATTGCTGTTATGGCTGAAGTAATTTTATTTTAATTTTTCTGAAAAACTAAATAAAATGATTTGTCCTTTTCTTATTTTAAAGTTAACTCTTCGAAATAAATTATCAATTTATGATGGAGTCAATTCATCAAATGGATTAGCATCAAGTACTTCCATTGAACGTCGAACTATTCAACCAAAAATCTCATTAGTTGTTAAAAAACATACACTTTCACCAGTAAATATCTATTCAATAAAAATATAAACAAAGTCTTTTCTTTCTAAACTTTTTTAATAGGCTCAAATATTAACATTATCTGACTCAACAGTTCAATTACCAATAATAAATAAATTAGTATCAGCAGCTAAATTGGCAAGTCAACCAACAACAACAACAACAACAGCAACAGCAACGAACTCAATTCAACAAAATGAGAAAGACAATAATAATCGTGATTCAGTTAAACGACTTACAACAACAAATGAACTTGTCGCTGTTTAAGTTTTGTTTTTCTGTAAATTTATTTGTTCGGTATTAGATTCTGTCTCCTTTTTTGTGTCTTCAAATAAATAACCGTTCTCTTTAATTAAGAAGATCGAGATTACACCATTTATTCAAGAAAATAAAAGCAATTTATTTAAGATAACTGATGCGAGTTAATAAATAATTTTCCATTTGTTCCAAATCTTCATCTTTATCATCGATCGTATTAATTAATGTAACAGCGGATTCAAGTAATTCTTTTGCTTGTTTTCCTTGCCCTGCTTGATCAGATTCTTTGGAATATATTTTAATTAAATCCACGATAATTTGTTTATAAAGTTGTTCATCAAACTGTATAATTCTTTCTGAACCCATCTTTCTCGCAAGATTTGTATCATCAAATTGATAATTATTTCCTTGTTGATCATAAATATAAATACGATAAATATTTGGCATTGCAGCTATTTTTTTAAGAAATGCTTCATCGGCAAAACTATCTGATGTTAAAAAGAAAAGACATTTGTCTTTTAGCGATAATTCAATCGAATCCAAACAGGAATTTGGTTTATCGAATTGGCGAATTGGCGAAAGAAGTTTCCGAAATTTTTCTTTTAACTTTTGATTTCCACCAGGTAAATTGCCACTGCGTCTATCTAACCAAACAAATCCTAATGATAATGATGACATTAATCGACAAATTATTTTTCCGATATGAAGGTAGCTCTCACTTTTTCTTCTACTTTTATATACTCAATGAAAAGTCTAGCAAAACGACAACGCCTTTTATTAGTTTAAAAGGCGTCGCGTATTGGCGGGATTCAATTGACTTCAATTAGCCGTTTTCTTATTTCCTTTTCTTTAAACTTGAAATCGAAAAGAAAATTTCATTCAATTTCTATAACCCTTATGTATGTTCTCTTTCTTGCCGAGAAAAAAAGTATTGAACAATAAGAACTAACTATTTGATCGTTGACTTCTTCCGTTTTTACCGATCGAAGTTAATCATTCTAGTTCAGACAAAAAAATAGGAAATCAGCTCAACTGAATGCAATCGTTCTTTTCTCGGTACATACAATCAAACGTTAATGAGATTTTTTTTTTATGTAGAAATAAAATATTCTTCAAACAAGTAAATGATTAATTTTTTAGAATGAAATGTAGAGAAACTTTTCTTTTTTCAAAATAAGATTTCTCGGTTCAGTTTAACACAATCTACACAGCTTTGTCTATTTATTCGAGAAAATTTTAACAATTAATTAAACCATATTCTATAACTGACTAGTAGAAATTAATGCTAACAACCCAAACATTGAGATCTCAACGAATTGTGTTTGACTAATATCCACTCAGTATTCACGTTGTAAGAGTTCTAAAAGCTTCCTGTATTTTGACACGAATAGGTATTTTGAGGATAAAGATTTATGTTTTACAAAGTTGTATATCAAATGATAACAACTATTCTTTCAATTTTTCTTATAAGAAGTTTCTGTATTCTCAGTAAATTTGAATGGTGATGTATACATTTTAAAATGATTTGATATATTTCAACAATTTTCGAATAATGATATGAACGGCGTTGATGGCTCGTATTATAGACTGTAGTTAGGAAATGAAATTCATACTTAAAAAATAACGAAGAGTAAAGTCAATCGAAACCATACAGATTGGGCTCGAACCCTAGAAGAAATGAGTTACTTTTATTTGAATTAATAATATTTTTCTCATTTAAGTCTAAAAAGTCTGAGGAGCTCTTCAAAGATTTTTATAGCAACATGAGTAGCCAGCTGATGCTACGGACCTGGGAGTAGCAGCATTTTTGAAAATAGGATCTCTTCCTTCAGAATCACTGTTATTCATCGGACGAATGCATCAAACAGCGTAAGTGTTGATAAACATAATCGATGGCTAATCATTTACAATTATTAAACTCAACAGCGATCGATTAAGTGAAATAATGTTTTTCAAGTAATCTTTAGAAATGCGATAGAGATGCTCTTTCACACATTGAAAGAATATCTTTAGCTAAATTTTGTTATTTTTCATGAAGCTCATAATACAGATTAACTAATTTATCAATTATGCTATACTTAAAATACATAACTAATTAATTTGCTATTTCTCAATTGCGTATTACTCATTGATTAATCTATCATTTCGACCTTATTGTGAGAATTAAAGTGTACTCAAACTTATCTTGAATAATCGCCTGTCATAATGTCTACCATCGTTAGAATTTTTCCAGGAAATGATACTGAATAATTTTCTCTCGTTGAAATTTTGATCACAACTTTCTTCTAGAAATCAACTTCACTAGTTGACGATCTTGACATCGTTCTTTCCAGATTCTTGTCCAAGACGGTAGCAAGATTCTTGAAAATCAGGTAAAATTCTTGCCTGATTTCTAAGAAGAAAAAGAATCTTGTCTGGCAAGCAAGAAAAACAAGAACCTGGACAGATCAAAGTCAAGACCGTCGACTAGTGTCGACTAGTAGTGTTTTTACATAACTGTTTACCTGAAAATATTCATCCATAGCCTGCGTGACTCAGTATTTCCAAGATAACAATGATAGTTGATAATTTGATGTTGTTTTGTTTCTGTTTGGAAGTAAATATTTGGTAAAGACTACTACCACCAACAACAACAAGTTTAGAAGACACCAAACTCGAGACTGATATGGGGAGAAGATGAGTTGATTCGATAACATGATCGCGCTTCCCGATGGTAATATTTCTCAATCGAGTATGCACATTGAATTTGCTATTCATGTTAATTATTTTAAACCATTTAAAATGATTATTATTTTTTTGTTTTGATTATTTTAGTAATATGATATTTTTCTTGAAACATATCGGAATAAATTGGAAGTACGATCCCTTACAAGTCTTAGCCATTTTACTCAGCCAGTATCATCAATTTGTTTATCAAACTCGTTATTATTTGTTGGAGCAAGATAAACAGTAAATTGATTTATGTTCATATTTTTTATGTATTCTTTTTAAAGATTTTCAAGTTCTAATGATTAATCTTAATGATGATTCAAATAAAATCAAGCGTCGGATGGTCAAGGATAAATGTTACCCACAATATATCGCTAATATCTTCTTTAATTTCAGTTGCCTAGACTTCAGCTTTTCCTCAAAAGATTTGTCGTGCAATTCTGCATAAAACGATATATTTCATTCAACAAGGCCATCTTTTTCTGTTTTTCGAACCCAATAAAACTGAATAAGTACATTGCGTGCAGTTTTCAAAACCTTCGCCTTTTCTCATTCGTTTTTGCAGAGCATTTTGATGGGCACGTCAACGTGGTCGCGTTGCAGCGTGTTTCGAGCTCCTTATGTGAATTATTACGATTTGAATTACTCTATCTAGGCCAAATGGATACATAAAATGCGCTGGAAATGCACCATAATAATGACTACATTCATATGTCTATTAAAATAGACTGCAAAAATAAATTAAAAGAAACTAAAGTTTTGAAAATTGCACGTGATGTATTTGTTTGATTTTATTCGGTTAGAAAAATAGAAGAATTAAACTTGTCGAATGAAACATACTGTTTTGTGCGGAATTCCACGACAAATCTTTTGAGAAAAAAGTGGAAGTCTATGCAACTAAAATTAGAGAAGATATTAGCGGCATGTTGTGGGTGACATTTTTTCTGGGCCACTCAATATTTCGATTGAACATCAGGCATCTATAATTGCATTAAATGTATATCAAGAAAAACGATGTCTGGTTAGTTAGTGCAGAACTGCGTGACCATTTCGTCGTGACCAAAAAAACAAAAAAAATCTTCAATAATAGTTTCCACGGTGGATGTGACAAAATAATTATATTTGATGTTTTCTATTCAAAATTTTGAACGCTTCAAAATGATACAAAAAAAGTCGAGCATATAATGATCTGCGACAGAGAAAACTACGGCACATTCGTCGTGACCAATTTTGGTCAAGACCACTCACGAAGCTTTCTGGTCACAACGAAATGGTCACGCAGTTCTCTACTAGTTAGAAAGAATTGATTTTTTTAATTTATAAAAAACGGGTGTGGGTGTGACTGAGGTGGCCACCGTGTTCTCAAAACAGGCAACGTTACTAAAATATTTAGAAAGTCTTCTTCGTAAGTTCTAAGCTACTTTTCGTTTATTATGCATGCCTAATTTATTTGTCCGAATCACTATTTTCCCCTAATATTAACATGATAATGCAATTAGTGCTAGTTTCAGCTTTACGCTACAAAGGTCGGGTTGCTTTTAAAAAGAAGATTTTGTTCTTCTATCACAAAAGTTTCGACCAATTTTCGTTCGACCATTTTCGTAGACCCGTAAGCAACATCGAGGCTGTTTAATAAAAAAAATGGCACGAGGAATCATAAAAATATTATTCTGTCATACATGTAAAGATTACTTATTTTTCTCTGCATTATAGGTGACTATTCAGAACGTTGTAAAACAGTACACTATTTCTTTTGTTCAAATCAAAATTTTGTAATTAAAACCCCGTGGCGTTTAAGTTATAAATACGTTACGCAGTCTTTACAAATTTTGAAGTAGCAGCGTAAAAAAAGATAATAAAAAAGTATTAAGTAATAGCATACGAACTTTTCATTTAAAATTTCCTCGGCAAAGATAACTGCACCAATCATCATTGATATCAATGTTGACAGTTGAATATGAACTTGAAAATAATTCATAATACAAAGAAGTTACTCAACTTGTAAATTTTACACCAATCAGACTCATGAAACAAAGTTTTATGAAAATCTTCACAAAATAATCAAGAGCAAGGTATTTTCTGCTGAAAAACTTTGTGTAATAATCTTTTTTTTATTTGTTTGACTAAAATATCCTATTTAGTCGAAAATGATGAATACGAAAGTGGCAATGCCATAATTAACACTCACTGCATTGAATCCTGCATCCAAATCAGAGAGAAATTTCGAAAGTACCACCGTTGTGTATTGAATTTTGTGGTACGACACCTAAGTACTCGAGTATTCTTGTAACATGTACTTTGAACTTTTCTTTTATTTGTATGTGCCTTTGACTTATATTTGATGATACTATGAGTTAACAAAGACAAAAAAAAACATCCAAATGAAGAACATTCAAACCATGTCAGTAGATCTGTTTGTTTTTATGTAATATTTTTATCATTTAAAAAGCAAAGAAAAGGAATGCAGAGCAATTATAAGAGAGTATACGATTAAGATATCATATCTCAAGCAAAGTTAGTCAAATATCAGGTACTCAAGAAAATTTTTCGAAACAGCAGCTGAAAACAGCTAGTGTATGTTACGAAGACAACTATTAATAGGAAAAACAGCTTACAATTTTACATAACTTTAAGAAAATAATTATCGAATTATTGATTAACGTATGAGCATTTTTATCTAGTTCTTCTTTCTCTACGGCTGTTACACGAGAGTGGTACTCATCGAATTTATTCTTATTTTCACTAATATTGGAGGTTTAGAAGTAAATAACAAAGCCAGAACGAGTTAATATCAAAGTTATATCCAGCAAGCTACTTTTTAATCCCATAAAAGATGAAAAATATAAACAATTGTCTTCTATAGCAAATAGCTATTCGAGTTAAATTAAAATAATTCAAGATGCGGGTCTCTAGCAGCCAATGGTGCATGACAAGAGAGTTTCAACAGGTAACGCTTAGTTCAAAGTTTAATGGGTATGAAAAATGGCTTTATCAACAGCATATTCGTGCAAAGATAGCAACAAACTTTTATGTCTAAATATGAGACAGTCACAATATTTCTAGTGCTTGTCATCGAAAGTCTTGCGAAATATTCATATAAAAGAAAAAAAAGAAAGCACGTTTTAGCATTTTTCATCTTCTTGACACGAAAAAAATTGAAGAAGCGAATTAATACTGGCGAAATCTGTGTGTGAAACAACGGGAACCGTTAACGTTCGGCATTGGTAAGCATAAGTAATGACAATTAATAGCAAAGTGAGTTTTTAACATCAATTTCATGGCAACCATTCAAGATTTAGCTTTCCTATAATTCTACTTTCGCTCTCAAATAACAAAGCACACAAAACTACTAGGTAAACTGCTATCACATTAAAAATATGTGTGCGAAATTCGCATGCATGGAACTATGAGTCTCGGCAAAAACAAAATTCCAAAAGCTAACCGAATATTACGATAAAAAATGCAGTCACATTGTTTTTTTTTAATCTCTCTTTGTAATAAAACAATGCCTTGAGTAATTTAATGGAAAGGTTTTTCTCGATTGTCTTAATCATTGTTTCATGTATCTGTCGTAACAGCGAATGCATAAACTCCGTTCTACCTTTAAAATGCAGAGTATCATGAAAGTAAAATGACTACTAGACTTTAACCTTTCGGTTACATGATCTATTGCGCGTGATGACATCTGTAGAAAATCGAGCAGACGCAAGAAAATGATTGGTATTATAAGCAGAACGAACCAATAATGACAAAATATAAATATAATATAATATCACTGGTCGTCATCTAACACATATCTCAATAAACAGAACAAAAAAACTTCATTATTTCTAATCTCATCAGTAAATTATTGTTTATCTTCATATTAATATTAAAATAAATAATAAAAATGAAACCCAGGATTACTGATGTAAGATGCATGTGTTAAAGTTAAAGTTCGCATTTTTAAACTTTGTCTAATTCGATATCAAATACTTGATATATTCAACTATACATATATATATATATATATGTGTCATATATTCATTATTCTTTAGATACATGTTTTGTTTTTCTGATTATGAGTACAAAAAATGGTTTTAATTATTTATTCCTGAAAAGATTTGCTCATCTTCTTCATGTTTTCGTTCCATTTTCTCGTCTTTCATTAAATGTTCATCATCCTGATGAACGAATTTATTCACATCCATTGATTATTGTTTTACTTATACTTATTAACGAAGGTATTTTACAATATATTATTTATATTGTTGGCTTAATTCCATCTGAGTACTATGTTGAATTAAGTAAACCATTAGATAAACGTGATTTTACAGTATTTCGTTGGCTAATTGTTCGTTCATTTGGTTTTGTAGCATTAAACGCATTTTTAAAGTCACTTTCAACTTTTTTATCTTCAATACTTTATGTTAAATGGCGTGCAAGACTTATTCTCTATTTACATTCATTCTATTTTACGCAAAATCGCTATTATCATTTATCGAACACAACTCAGCAAAATCAAAACCGACCCAACGATGAAAATATACCGGCATATGAAAATTATTCAATACAAACGTAAAATTAATAAAAATGAAATTTTCTGAACCATTGTTTCTTATTCAAATTTATTGATTTAATTTATAGGATAGAAGTAAGTGAGAACGATCAAGAAACAGTTGATTATATGCCAACATCTACCACTCAATCATCGTTATCGTCATTAAACCCACCGATTGATAATCCTGATCAACGTATAACTCAAGATGTCGATTTATTATGTCGAACTTTATCAATCATAATACCTCTTATTCTTATATCTCCATTTACGATTGCTTATTACAGTTATCTTACATGGAAAGTCACAGGCTATTATGGACCATTGTCAATAATACTCTACTTCGTAATATGGACTTGTATAAATAAAGTATTTATATCAGCTGTATCACGAACGATATTTCGACAAAATATATGTGAGGGCAATTTTCGTTTTCTTCATGCACAAATTCGTACACACAACGAGCCGATTGCATTTTATAATGGTGGTCCATTTGAACACCAACGATTTGATAATTATTTTGTTAAAACACTTGTACCGTTACTTTATCGTCGAACTATTCAAGAATTTTTTCTCAGTTTATCAACAAATCTTTTTGATTATATTGGTAGCATATTAAGTTATCTTTTATTAGCATTAGCAATATTTGTTTTTCATTTCTATGATAAAGTATCATCTGATGAATTAGTTAAAATAATAAGTCAGACATCATTTAAAACAATGTATCTTATTTATCGTTTTAGTCAATTAAATGATTTAACCGATAAATTAACAATAATTGCAGCCAATACCCATCGTGTTCAAGCATTTGTTGAATACATGAAAACTATTGATATAATATGGTCAGAAAGACGATTAGATAGACTTATCCAACAAAATGAAGCTCTTACCATTAAAAATCTTTCATATTCAACTCCAAACAATAGTAGACACATTCTTATGAAAAATCTCAATTTAACATTAGATCAAGGACAACGTCTTTTAATAACAGGTCTCATTTTTAGATTTGCTATCTATCATAATTGAATATTGAATACTTTATTCATGATTTGATAAGACTCAAAAATCATCTTTTTTTTTCTTAAATATTCTCTTAGATGAAATAGTATGAGTTATGTTACAGTGAAAATGTTTTCTTTTTCAAGGAGATCATATTCAATGAATACGTAAGGAAAATCAATATTCCAGTATGAATAACACAATGTAGCATAGAGCATCGTAACTAGCGTAATAATGCATTCTTTTTTTTTTTTTGAGAGTTATATAATTTCTCACTAGCAAACAATCATTCTTTCATGAACTGATGAAATAGAGCGGTATTTGTTTCAATTTGAGATGATTAAGTCTCCAATAATATTATGCATACTGAACGATTGAGTTTTCCGGTGAAAGATTGATAAGCAATGCTAGATTAAAAGAATATATGTTAATCCAACAAGATATGTGTATACATCGAAAATACATACAGGTTCTGTTCGATTCTAGAAAAGTTCACATAGTTTGAGGATATCATTAGTTTTACAGTTCGAATTGACCCTCTGGAGTTAAATGTAATACTAAATAAACAAAAGTTGCTCAGCATTATTTTTTAAATAATTCTAATAAAAACTGAAAGAATAGAATGCATTGTTTAAGATGATTTTAATTTATTGAAAAATCTTCACAAATACGCATAAATCTAGTCAAAATAATGGTGCGAAAGAAATAGTTTCTTGAATAGAATCTTTAACCTCAAAAATATAAATGCAACTAGTAAAGATTTAGTTGTCAAAGAAATCGGCAATAATTGCGATTTCAGCCATAATAGTCCTAGTAAATTCATGGCTATAAATACATAACACCGTACTACAAAAAGAAAATAGTTTTCAAATAGCTAAAACGGAAAAGGTGCTTCTCCGAATACTTATAGCTACTGGATCAACATAAGCAAAAGCATTTGATCTCTAATTTCTAAGTTTGTGCTAATTCTGAGATGTTATAACTCTGAAACTTTTCTCTCAATTTTGAAAATTTAGAACGCTATGATCTATTTCGAGCGATCTCCGCTTAGTATTACAAAAAAAAACTCATTTTCAAGTCAATCATTATGATTAGCGCTGGAATTTTTTCAAAGTAAAAGGCATTTCTACAGATGGAATTTATAAAAATAGAGTATCGCGTTAGAATTTGGCCATTGTTTTATTTTTTAATAAAATTCGTGAATATTGAATTTTAGGTGATAGCGGTATTGGCAAAACATCTCTTTTTCGTGTTCTTCACTCAATATGGCCGGTGAATATACATGGATCATTTTCATATGATACTGCTCATGCTTTTTTACTTCCACAACGACCCTATTTTACTAACCAATCACTTTATGATGAACTTTCGTATCCTGATATTAAAAATGCACCTACAACAGCACGACAAACACAAATCGAACAGCTTCTTAGTGAATGGAACCTTTTGCATATAGTTGAGCACGTTGAATCGAGCGTTTTTACATGTCCAAAATATGCTTGGCAAGATTTATTATCACCTGGTGAATTACAACGTTTATCGTTTATACGATTACTTTTCCGTCTATCTTCTCAAGAAACATCAAGAATTAATCTTGTTTTTCTTGATGAAATAACATCGTCTCTTGATGTAGATACGGAAATGAAAATGTATAATTATTTAGTTGAACGTAATCTTACTTTAATAAGTATTGGACATCGAGAATCACTACGAAAATATCATCAACTCGACCTTAAATTATTTAAAAATGGACAATATTCGATTGAACATCTTTAAATATTCGATTAAATATTGTTGTTTTTTGTTTTTCTTCTTTAGATCTCAGGATCAATGATCAGAAGTATCGATAAAATAGTTTAACGTAGTGCAATGAATTTTAATTTTGCTGCGATTTTGCTTAATAGTTAATAGAATAAACAGTCTTTCTTTTTTTCCCCACCATTCCCATGTATTGCGTACAAGTAGTAAATAATTTGACACAATATCATGATCTCTTTCTTCTATATGTATCATACAGCAAAAAAGATAGCATACAAATGAGACATAAATAAAGCGCGATTACTGAGCCATGCTATATCACCGATTCTCTACTTAGGGTTGCCACGTCTTCAATTTTTCTTACCTATTATACAAAATAGGAAGGACAGAACGAATATATTTGTATGTCTCCTGTATATCATGGCCCTTGAGTGGTTTTTATATGTTTGTTATCTAAACGAAATATGCGTATTTTTTTCACAGTATAGAACATATAATTCCGCGTATTTTTTGTAGGTGTAAATAAAAAAATATTTTTGATTAGTTTTGCTTTTAGATTTAAAATAAATATGACTTCAGAAACGAGCCCTAAAGAACAAAATGACCAAATCCCTAAAAATGATACATCGTTATTGTCAAATATGTTTGATGCAGATCAATCCATGGAATTAAATATTCGTATAAAAAATAATTTTATGTCTTATTGTTTTTCATTCTTACAAGACAATGAAGAAACACATCAATGTGTTCAAATTGTATGGAATAAATATTTACAATGTGTTGGTGATATTGCAATAGTAAATAAATAGAATTTTTCTTATTTACAAACAGTCTCATATCTTCTGTTTGCTTAATTTTAGTTAGCAGCGTTTTTTGACACACTTCCAGTGCATGTAAAAACATCTGTTCTACCAAAATATCAAACGGAAATCGTTCAATGGTGTGAAAATTTATTTCATATTAATTGTAATGCACTTCTTTGTTCAACATATTATTCTGAAACATTCCAACGTGTTATTCGTTATGCATCGAAATCGGATCAATTGAAGAAAGGAATTATTTATATTCCCATGGATTTTGATCCAAATTTAAAAATTGATCTAACTGCTTCATTATCAAATATTAAATTTGAACATATTTCAAATGATGTTTCATATGAGAATTTGATTGATATTAATCAACTTCAAGACTTTATTCAACGTGATTTAAATGATACACAATCATATCCATTTATGGTTATTGCCAATGCTGGTAGTTATTTTTCAGCATGCGAGATTTAAGTTTCTTCAGCGCTTAAGTTATTCTTTCACGAATTTCATATCGTTTCTGTGCAAGACAAAAATTCACAGTGTAATCCCTACAAAATCAATATATTACTACATATACTTGCATGAAGATTACCGTATTATATCTATTTTGAGATACATTTCTTGACGGTCTTTTCATTGGACCCTCGAGACACCTAGTAATGAAGTAGTTTATCTATTAAACCGAAACGGTTCTTTTCACATCTAGCATGTGATCACTTCTTAAGAATGCCTCACACAAACTGTGACACATGTAATGTTCATCATATTTGATTTGAAAGTTCATCAAGTGTGAGGGAAAAAAGTTCTATTAAGACTGTTTATAGGAGTCATAATGTTGTGAGACTATTCTATTGCCATAGTAATATCTATCAAAATTTCTAGGAAGTAGGTTCAAATGTCTTCAGTACTCTTGTAATGAGCTCTCTCATTGATATAACTTGAATATATTTGATATCTAATACAATATAAAAATATATTTCTTTTTATGTAGGCTCATCATTATTAGGTCATTGTGATCAATTAACACAAATTAATAAAATTTGTGGACATTATAATGTTTGGCTTCATGTTATTGGAGATTTATTAGGATCAATGGCTTTGTTACCTTCAATAAAAGACAATGTAAATATCAATTGTGATAGTTTAACAATCGATATAATGAAATTGTTTGGTATACAAAATCTTCCATATTTAACATTTTTTCTCCGACCAACAACAGGAGTTAAACAAATCGATGATAATAAAACATTAGTAACAACACATCCACTTTATGATTTCATTTTGCATAGTCCATCGATTAGTTTTTTAAGTGTATGGTCAATTAGTCAACGATGTTCACATGATACTGTTCTTTCTCACATGAAACAATCATTTGATTTAACAAATTTATTATTAAAAAATTTAAAAGGCATTAAACGATTACGAATTCTGAATGAAGATAATGATCAAGAAGTTTATACGTATCAACGTATTTGTTCAGGAGATGCACCTAATGAATCTTTGCCAAAACCTGTTGTTATTTTTCGTTATGAACCTGACGATCTATCAGAAGTAAGAGTATTAATCATACTAAAATCTTTTCGGAATAAAACAAAAATAATGATGAAATTAGTTTTCCTGAAAATCTTTTTGTGTACTCAAAAAACGAAAGTGAGTACACGATAGAATCGGTCAGGGTGTCCGGCCGTTTACACGATAGCTCCTGAAAGGCTGATCCGATTGTCATGAAATTTTGTCCACAGAATGATCTCATCAATATCTCAGTCGAGTTCGAAGATGAGAGAGATCCGTCAAGGAATGGCTGAGTTATCGAAAATGTTGTCACTATTGACCAGGCCATCCCTGAGGGGCGAGATACAGGGATTTTTTCAAAAAAAAAAGTTTTTTCTCAGTATTATTCACAACATATATAAATCGACTCAGTGTTTGCAGTACACATAACAATCGGGTGCAAATCCGATGTTTCCGCAGTTTTTAATTTGCTTTTTTGTTTTGAAGCTTGAAGAATTAAGAACATCAGCTTATAACCTGCACTAAAAGCTCTTTGGAAAAATAATATTCAAAAGAAAATTGTATTATATTATATTTTCGATCATTCAGCAAATTAACGATTAGTGCTGTAGTATATGTAGGAAAATGAGCTTGAAATCATAGTCACAAGGATTTTACGGATTCAATTACGAGTATTTTATTGCATGTATTGATTCGATTTCTATCTTGTTCGCTATCGAATCACTGACAAACCATGCAGAAAATATTATAATACTACTTGAAATAACATTGAAAAATACGCGTCGAGGAGATCTACGTACATTCTTAGATCGTTATTCATTTTCAAACTCTTTTTGATGATGAACAACACGAATCTTTCCTGGTTTTAACATCCAAATTTTATTGGTAGTTAAAATATTTTGCTTTTCATCATATTAAACCAAGTTATGTTGTATTGTTCGCTACTAGAATTATCTCGGGTGAAATTGCCGAATAGAGAGCAACAAAATACATTGAGACGTGCGCTGAAATAATTCAAAAAAATGATTCGTAGATCAATTTCTTTCGCTGCAGCTATTCCAATTAATTTTTTTCGAGAACATATCATAAACTGCCATTCAAACATTTGCTCAATTATTAGAAAATCAAAGTTGATAGAATATAATTGAGTATACACTGCGCAAAAACAACAATCTAAATCTTGGCCTCGATTTTGTTGTCATCTACACAACCTGTCTGGTAGTTTTATTTTACTCATCTTTCATTAATCTCTACTCAATCTATTATTAGGAAAGGATTTTCTGCTTGTCCTGAAGTGTTACGAAGAGATTTTTTGTTGATATTGATCCTGAAATAGTATGAGATCGATTCTATTCAGAAAAATATTTCAGAGTAATCAGCGCACTTGATTTTGTTTTAGTTACACATAATATTTTATGAGTAATATGTTCAATAATTTTTATTATTTCCAAAATTGCCTATGTTTAACAGATTTCTATACTCATAAAAACTTGTTTCTCATAGATAAGCATAAGATGATGTTGATTTGAAGATTAGCTTTACTTTCTTGCCGTTGCTAGCTACCTCACTACTCTATTTATTTTTATTTTCAAACCTTGAAGTCTTTCTTCTAAAATGAAAATATTCCATGCGCTGGCTAATTTCAATTGAATTTTAAAAAAAGCACGTTTTCTAGCTTGAAACTATGGATGATTCAAATGGTTATATTGATCTCCTCAATCTTTGGTTATTCGATAAACTTTCTCAGCAATATCCTAAAATGAATTTAGAATTACTTAAAAGTGTTCATTTTCAAATATTAAAATCTGATAACATGGATTTAAATCAAACTGCAGCTCATGCTATTCGTTTTGCACCATTAGAACATTTACTTGATATTATTGATCACAATGATATGCAGTCATTTGTTGAAGATATTCGACGTTACAGTGAAATTCTTCTTGCCACGATGAATGGACGTAAAAATCTTGCATCAATTGTCTCAAAATATGAGAATCTTATATGTATACCAATGCCACAATGGGCTGGTGTTGGCGCTGTACGTTATATTCCAAATATGATAAATCCATCTGAAACTAATCAACCATCAACTGCTGAAATAAATACGATTCAAGCTGAATTAGCAAGACAATTACAAAGCAATGATTCAGCATTTTCCTTAGGTGTCGAAGCAGATGAACATGATTCAATGTTCTATTTACGTTTAGGAATGATAAGAAAATCTGAAGACCTTGATGTACTATTAGAAAAAGTTTTAAAAGGTGGTAAAGAAACAGAAGCGTCATTGAAATATGTTGAAGACATGGCAGACAAAATTAGAATAGGTATTGAGAAAGTTCAAAGAGATTTGCAGGATGAAAATTTACAACTATTGGCTCAAGAAGGTCTTCTAAGACAATTACCATTGATTTCAAGTGATTATTTATTAAACTATGAAAGTTTCTTTTTTTCTTCATCAGTTTTGATTACTTTAGATGTAATGTCCTGGTGGAGTCCAGCACCATCGACATCAATGTTAGGTAAGAAAGGTCGATCATTTGATTTAAATTCTGGTCGAATTGAATCAACTGAAGATACTTATGCCTATCGAATGCAAGTTAAAAAGCAATCTCCACATGCACCGATGCATAATAATAACGATATAACACCGACTAATACTAATACTCTAGAAAATTCAACTGAATCAAATACTAAACAATAATCTGTGATATGCATTTCAAATTCTTTGAAATTTCAACTGAACAATTCAATCAATACTTACTATAATAATCTTCTTTTTCATTTTTTTTCTACTGCGTAGTAGAGTATCGACTTTTATAGTTAGCCTTTGTTTTTTTTTGTTCCGTTTATTATATGTATTTACTTCAATAATAAATTATTCGAATCATTCCATATATTCATAGGTTGCACACGATTTTTCTTAAATATAATTGGCAATAGATAATTTGAATGTATATATATATTTATTATATTAAGTCGGAGATAATATACTGCGTTGTATGATTCATGTACCATGTATACTAAGTTCATTCGCCATAGCAATATTATTATATTAATCGGAAATGACTTATTTTCTTATTATCGAAGTTTGACTGAATGTAGGCATCTACGAGAGTTTTTATATGCAAATCTTTGTTTGGATACAAGATTTGTTTTTGATGCATTATCTTTAAACTAGACTTGCTAAATTGCTTTTGCGATTTGATGTGATTTTTTTGACATTAAAAACGAATTATATATTCTTTCTTTATTTCTTTTTGATTATACTGTTTCCGAAAGATCCGAATAATTTATGTGTCTTATTATTATTATTATTATTATTAAATGTAAGCTATGTATGATCGTATTTAAAATAATGTTTTCCGAAGATTGATCTATCATTAGAAAGTTTTAATTCTCTAGAAAATTGTTTTATTACTTAAATAGAAAACAAAATGTATAATTATTTTTAGCAACATTTAATCTGATCTTTCTATCAGTCGAAAGAAATCATTGATTTATTCTGATCTGATGAGAATCTTGATTGTGTACTTGTAAAGTCATTGAATCACGAAAACCTTTTGCAGGCAACTGGTCGTATGTCAATTGGCGAGTTGAAGTATTTTTTGTGTTTAGTGCTCTCGAAATTTGTATTGGCAAATTATAATAATAAAATGATGAATTATATTTCGCGTGAAAAGAAAAATCTTTAATATTTCCCGAAGAGAATCATGAAGTTGTATTCTTAGAAAAAAGAAAAAATAACATAAATAATAAAAATAATAAAAAAAAATCTCTGTACTAATCTTATGAACGCTTGAATTGCTACTATTTGACTTTCTTTTATGAACTAATATTGATTGTGCATCGGTGAGAGCGACTATTGGTTTCCTTCTCGTACTGGAAGCGATGTTGTCAAAGGCGAAACGAGTAATTGCCTTTTACTGTTTAGATGAAATGAAGCAAAAGAAAAAGAGCTTTTTCTTTACGCTTTGTCTTATTGATGGCACAAATCTTGTTGTATTGATAGAAGTCATAATTTCATGTTCATATTTTGCTACGCATTCATATGACATAATTCGCTTGTGGCATGCTCGACTTCAATATGATCCAAATAAACTTCATACATTGTGTTTCCAAAGATGATTTCCTAAGTATATAGCATCTTATGTCATATTCAATCTGGATTAGTGTCATTAGTTTGTCGCTTTTCGTTTTATTCCACATCATCATTTTCTTTAGTAATATCATTTATTATCTAGCCTATGTTAAGGACTAAAAATTATATTGTGAAAAAAGTCAATAGTCATACATGAATTCATAGCGATTTCTTTTCTTGGCCTATCTTATAAGGAAAAAAAAACTCGATTTATTTTATCAACGGCTTAAGAGCAGTTGGAACCTCCGCTTTCTTCTTCTGACAAGGTTTTGTGTATGCTTTATCAATAAATCATTACAATGATGTTGTTTATATCCGTTTTTTTAAGAAAAAAAAGAACTTTCTTCTTTTGTCATCGCTCCAATAGGTTCTACTCTTATGCTAATATGAATGCCAAAATCTATCATTAATAATTGATTACGCGCCAAATGTTAAATGCTATGAATGGAAATTAGAAAGGGCAACTATTAAAAAATAATTATGTCATTCGATATTTTTATGCTATACAACCTTTTAGATATTAAATGTTCGAAAACAAGGTTATTATATGGATAATTAATAAGTGTAAATAATTGAAAAGGCATTGATACTGGAATCAAACAATAGTCCGACAATATGATAGCTTTTGATGGCATAGAATATATATACTTCAGAAGAAAAAGAGATGGATCATCATCATCATCGTCATCCGCCCATTATCATTAGCGTTGTTGATAGAAGATGAAAAAAGGGAGAAGACTTTTCTTATTTTTTTTGGCTATATGAATGGCAACATATAGTATGAAGAGAGAAAGAGAGAAAAACTCGAGAAAAGAGAAATCTGGAAATGAACAAAATGAAAATAAAAAATAACAAATCTACTATAGAGTATGTGATACATCGCGCTACTCGTCTATTCTTTTTCTTTCTTTTTCATCTGTCTATTTTTTCCTCATTGTTTTTATATCGGCATCTATTTTCTTCAAAACACTTGCAACACATAGATAGAGAGAAAGAACACGTGAAAGAAACAGATAAATTCATATAATTACCAGTCAGGTGAAGCAACATAGTCAATGATATCCATGAATGATCCAACTCCGGACTGACGAGTAGTCAGTCTTAGTTTTTATCGTAATGTACCATGCTTTTAATACAATTAATATTAACTTTTATGCTTGGTATTAACAATCAAGTGGCTTCTTCTGTTTCTCCAACAGTAACAATTGAAACGGCTGATTTAGAAGATGGTCATCCAAATCATCAACTATGGAAAAAATTGACTGATACGGGACGTTACTCATTTCCTGGCCGGTAAGTTTAATATCACTATCAATCATTCAGTCAATCTGTTTTGCTAGGTATATATTTTCATCTGGTCAAGACGTTCTATTTTAATTAGATAAATAGGAAGCTAGAAAAAGAATTCTAGACGACACACGTATAAAGATAAATAATGTTGATAATTTGTTCGTGAGAATATATGACAAATTTCTGTCACGTAATACATTATAAAATGAAATATAATCAAAATAACAAAAGTTCTGTTTTTCTCTATTCCCTAGAAGCTTATTTACATGAAAATTTAACCCCGCTATGACATATCAGTAGCAGTCTACTTAACGAGAAAACATACATGCTGAGCAATTATATGATCAACTGTTAGTAATAGTAAGAAGTGCTATATACTATGTCGAACTGAAATACGAATAAATTACGTAGAGAGTAAAGAAATGATGAGAAAGAAAGTTCCCATTGAGAGAATATCGTTTGAACTTTTTTTTATACATGCTATTAGAATATATAACACGATTGAACATACCGCCTACTAGTTTTTCTAAATTCATCCTCTCGAGATGATCATTAATAAGAGAGTCAAATATATTCTTGAATGAAATATAATAGAGACAAAACATTCTTTCTTATTATAGTCAAGTACTAATTAGACATGGAAAATTTGCTTTATTCGTTTAACATACATGCAATTATATGTCAAGATACTATCATTATTCTTTGTACATAGTGAAGAAAAACGAACATTTAGCCAGATTACGTACAATTCATAGATGTTCATCTATAATTCTGTTCAATAGTTTTCGTTTAAGATCGTTATTGGAGTGAATTTCTTTCTTGCTTTTCGGGTGTCTTCTGTGATTATTCAAAATTTATCATCGATATCGATTAATTTGTCAAGATTTATGCTAGATTGTTTTCTTTTCTTTCATTATTTCATAATCCACTAGATCCATATTAAATTCATACATATCATCGACACACATCCATTGCAGTCCTTTAGGGTGAAATCAATGAATTATTCTAGAGTATGTGCGTACAAACATTCTTATGCTGATCTTAGCGTATTTGCAATGAACGGGACATATGACGGCAAGTACCAAGCGATATAAACAGACTGTATTGGCATCCGTTTCGTGATTACAACAACAAGGTCAATAAATAGAAATTAGATTACTATAAAAGTCTGATGGAGAAACGAAAGAAGCCAATGGGAATTGCAGATTTTTCCACTTGCTCTAACCGATCTATCCTATTTAATAACAAGAGAAATGATCTATATATAGATTTTCTTTCACGCCATAGTAGAAATTCACATCTACGCAGCTCATTACCTTATTTGTCTTCGCTATAAGAGCACAGACGAGTAAACCATATTCGCCTTGAGGGACTTCAAAGAAACGTACAGTAGAATTGATGGTGCTTATGAGTTTCTCAATCTTTACGGATGATTATTACATTCGTTTATATCCACTTCATCAATGTCACCATCCTCTCATTTATTAAACATAGCAAGCGTTATGATCCATCGAAAGTTTTCTTTTTTAGTCTATTTATATGCAAGCAATGCCGATCATCATCTCTAAAAAAAACGGCAACAAGCAAAGAAGCAAGAGAAAAAGTTGAACACTTTCTGAGCGTGTTGACAAAGAAACGTAATCTTATATTAGAATTGCTTGTTTACGAAGAATGGAATAGTGTTGATGCAAATTGATTTTGAGCTTGACGCTCGAGCACAATACAAGAGAAAGTTGCAACGAGAAAAAACCTAGAAAAGAACGACTAAAGTGTAAGAGGGAGGGTAAAAGCAAAAACTCCAATCAATGCTTACATCTAGAAATCCTTCTTATTGAGTATGTAATACTATAAAGCAACTGTAAAAAGAAAAAAACTATACTACGGTGAGTAAGAAAAGAAAAATGAGTGAGCCAGAGAGAGAGAGAGAGAGAGAGAGTAAAGAGAAAAAATAGAAGAAAAGAAGTTGTTAACAATAGACGGGCATTACTAACGAGTAGTTCTTAAATGTCTGAATAAAGACCTCGAAGTGGCAATGTTCATCATCATCATCATCAATGCTTTTCAGTTATATTATATTCGCATTTATTTTAAATAAATCACTATATTGTCAAGAATTGTGGATAACTAAAACTCAAGATGATATCATTGAACAGTGGGTCATGTTTTTCTTTTATTATTTTCTTAGATAGTTTAAATATTGATTTCATACATAAATGTAAGTGGATTTATTGAAAAACAAACTTAATAAACAATAAGATAGTAGAACAATATTTACAAATAAAGCGGAATTTTATTTTTAGCAATTCTGAATATGTCAGGTATTAACATGTTAAATCGCTCATGAATGAAATAGCTATCACATAGTGTACTATTGATTTAGAAAATCCATATCTAAAGATAAGTTATTTTGTATCATCAAAGAGCAATTTGATATACATGTAGACAATCTTGCTCTGTGATTTTACTTCCCACTACTATTTTGTTTTGCTTCCGAATATTTGTTTTGCATTAATGCATATAAATACTGGTAACTCTCTATAGAACAGCTTGATATGGTACAAGGTTGTATTTCTTAAAGAGTTGTGTCGACAAAGATGCAAACAGTAATTGACTATTGTCAGTACACATAGAAAAACGAGAAAAAATATGATGTGCAGTTAACATTAGCGTCTTTTACGCATACTGTTAATAAAGAATGATATAATCAATGGAAAGATTGAGAGAATTCATAGAATGCATAGATTTACTACTCTTTTTAGTGCTCATAAGCAGATGGATTGGCAAGAATTATACGAAAAAGCAGCACGGAATCAACTTCCTGTTGACTGACTCGATTAGAACAACGGAAATATATTATTCTAAAGCTTTCTGTAATGTTTCAAATGTATTAGTTTGTTTTTTTCGTTCTTAGTTCTATATTTAATTGCTATGGCACCAGATGCTATTAAATAAAATTAAAAAAAATTTCCACTGCAAATTTATTCGTTGATAAAACAGTAGACATGGATTATTTCTTGAACTTGAGCGAAATAGAAATATCAATATCTAAGAAAAAAATAATTGAAAAGAGAAAACAATTGCTTTACGTAATGAAAATGCTAGATAATTTATCTCTATTTCCATTTGAGAATTAATTTTTCGCTCAATTAATTTTGGTTTTACATATATTATCTAGAAGAAGGACTTAAATAGATTTTCTAGCAATAATAATTTCACTTACGAATCATAGAAGTCATCATTTCTACGCCAGTTTTCCCTTTCCTTTTCTATTTCTCTCTGTCTCTGTCGCTGTCTGTCTGTCTCTCTCTCTCTCTCTCTCTCTCTCTATCTGTCCCTTTCCATGTGTTTCATTTCATCACTTGTCAGTTGTTGGTGCCCGTCATTATTGTTGTCTCCTGGTTTTGCGTTTATGTCGCCCCTACATCAAGAATATACATGCGAGTATCACCACTATTGGCGAATGTCATTCAAATACTCACATAAGTTTTGATTCTCTTACGATAGCATACACTCATATATAAAGTAAAAACCAAGAACATCTACCATAATAGATTGAATTACATAAAGATACATTTACTAAGTATTTACTTGTCCTTCTTACTTCGACGTGTCATCTTCGTCGGTGTCAATGTATCGTTAGCATTGGTTATCGTCTATATATTAGATAAGACGGTATTTTTGTTGTTTTGTCATCACTGGTAAAGAAGTTTTGGCACCTATTCGCTCTGTTTACATTCATTGATTGATGCTATATATTCTTATCGAAAAAACATTCAACAACACACTTGTATCATCGATAATCTAGCGTGTTGAATAAAATTATGCCACATCGTTCTGGTTTCCATACGTTACTATTATTCTTCACACTTATTTCTAGTGCGAATCTCTTACGAAATGATGCATCAATAAATACAGTAGAAGATTTTCTTGACACATTGATAAATTCAAGTCATTATGATAGACGTATTCGGCCATTTTTCGATCAAAGTAGTAAGTAATTTATTGAACAATAAAATTTTATGATTACTTTTTCTTTCAATGGAAGAGCCGTGTAATGTGACGATGACTATTCATATTAACACAATCTCAGCTATCAACGAAGTTAATATGGTAAGATAGAACAAATAATTATTTGTGGCTATTATTTATTCGCTCTCCCTCTGGTTTTTCTTTTTTTGTTGCTTCTAGGATTATAATACAGATTTAATTTTTCGTCAATCATGGTATGATCCAAGATTGAATTACTCTGGTACGGAATGGGCAAAACGATCACCAGAAATTACTTTACATTACTCTCTTATTGATCGAATTTGGGTACCTGATTCTTTCTTTCGTAATGCCAAAGAAGGTAAACGTAGTGATATAACAGTACCAAATCGATTGATTCGTGTCCATCGTGATGGAAAAGTATTATACAGTCAAAGGTTTGTTTAGGCATATAATCAAATTTCGAAATTTTTATTGTCACATTTATCTAGGCTTCTACTCAAACTAGATTGTCAAATGAAATTACAAAAATTTCCACTTGACAATCAAACATGTGTAGTTAATATAGGCAGCTGTATGCGTTCTTGTTTTTATTTTTGATTTACTTAAAAACTACATAAAGCAATATCTGACATTATTTAGATGCTTTTGCAACCAAGGATTTAGTATTTTATTGGGATGAAACTCCAAATGTAAGTGCTATCCGAGTTAATGAAGATCTTGAAATGCCCGACTTCGTACTAAGCAATTTTGAATCAAGATATTGCAATCGAACAACAGCAACAGGTTAGTTATTTTTTCTTTGCTTTTAATTTACTTTAAAAAGAAAAGAAAAAAAAAACTTTCTTCATTTGTGTCACTTTAAATTATGTGGTGAAACGATTAAAATTTTTCTTCTATAATAAGTTGTTTTACTCGACTCGCTCGTAGGCACATTTGCATGTATCGAAGTGCATCTCGCATTACAACGCAACATCAATTTATATTTACAACAGCTTTACTTACCATCAACATTAATTGTTGCCTTATCATTCATCGCATTCTGGATCGACTATAAATCCCATCCTGCACGAACATTATTGAGTCTACTCAGCATTGTTACTATAACAACAAAGGCTGAAGGTACTAAAATAATATTCTTTTTTTTATTCTTGAATTCGATTAGACACCTAGCACACATATACCCGTGTGCATTTTCTGCTTGCACTGTTTTATTCACCACACTCGTATCTATGCACTCTGTATTTAATAAGCATTTTATTGTTAATCGATCATTTTTATACGATAATTATAAAAATATATCTATTATTTGTGTTAGTAGTATAAAGTACGCAAATGAAGAAAGTTTTTTGTTTAATTATTTAATTCGTTTACATAATTAGACGATAAATTTTCTAGGCAGTTTTACATGCCTTCTTGTTGTTCTTCATTTAAAACGTCTATTTGGTTATTATCTTGGTGAGTTTAGTCGTCTTGTTTTTTTTTTAATGAATATGAGAAATAATTAGAGAAAGTTAAATTTCTATAGTTCAAGTTTACATTCCATCGATGCTTATTGTTATTCTTTCGTTTGTTTCATTCTGGATCGACCATAAGTCGGTAAGGTCGAAAATTAGAATAGAACTAATTTTTATCATCAATATATATTCAGGTTCCAGCTAGAATTTCAGTCGGTCTTTTAACTGTTCTTACAGTTACTACTCAAAGCTCAGGTAAAAAAACATTTAAAAACTCAAATACAAATTCCAACAAAAAGATATCATATGCATTAATGCACATCTGTTCACGTCATGCTCACGGCTTCACTTCTCCCTTTCATTTAAATGCTTATTTGCTTGTAATAATGTCGCAGTCGAGAAGAAAAATATTAATTTATTTTGAAAGGTCTTCTTGGCTATGTACCAAGCTTAATGCTGTTTTCCCTTTGTTCATCAAAATAGAAATAATATTCTCTTATCTAGTTTATTCATTATTTAGGTATTCGGTCGCAATTACCACGTGTATCATATATAAAAGCCATTGATGTTTGGATGTCAGCATGTCTTGTTTTTGTTTTTGCTGGTTTACTTGAATATGCACTTGTTAATGTTATTGCTCGTAAAAATGAATTAAGACAGCAAGTTCGATTTTCTCGTGAGGTAAGTTTAACAGTATTCAATGAATCCTTTTTCTTTAATTAGTTGTTTCAATGTGTGATTAATATCTATTTGGAAAATATTATTATAGAAAAAGAAAGTGGACAGAACAGCAAAAGTAACTTTAATACAAAATCTCCAGGATGGCTCTTCTTTTATAACAGAGAGAGTAAATTTATTTCTTTTAGTTTAATAGAATTTTTTCCTTGAAGCTTCTTCTTATATTTTCTTACATATACACACATACTCACACACTCGCACACGTACATAGACACGTATACACATACATGTTTTATTATCACAAATATATATATATATATATATATTTAATTTTATTATATAGATGTACTAGTTTTAAATGGTTGTTTTTTTTTTGTTTTGCTTTATTAACTTTTCCTTTTTCTTATAAATATTGCTTTGAAGGTCATTGGTAATCGTCTTGCTCAAGTGCATTTCTATAAAAAAGATGATACACACCACCAGACACCTGCTGAAACAACAGAGACACTTATGCATAAAATGAGTGTGGTCGAGAAAAACTTAACTGGTGCAAATACCGCTAGTTCACTTGTTCATAATCCATCATTGTCCAATACTAGCGCACCTGCACCGATACCACAGGTAATCTTGCCACCACCAGCACCAGTACAAAAAACTGCTAAACCTGTTCGTGACACTGCGCAATTAGTGAGTTAAAAAATATAATTAAACCAGTGGAAAGAAAACTTGTTTTGCTAATTAAGGTTGATCTTATCTCAGCTGTTCTTTTTCCTGTGGCCTTCATTGTATTTAATATTATCTACTGGTAAGATCGAATGAGCTTATGAAAACATAAATAATTCTTATTGTTTTTATTGGAAATCAACTTTAGGATGGTTTATCTTAATATGCATGTTGAATATATTTTGAAATAATGTCAACTTAACGAAATATTTGAAATCACAAATCACATCGAAAACAAAAACAAAAACAAAAGCAAAAACAGTTGAATCTTTGCTAGCGTTTCTGTTTTTGTTTGTCCGAATCAATCGAAAAACTAACGCTGTTTCGTTCTCCCTTCTTTTTTTTTAATAAAAATTATCATGGAACAATATATCTTATTATTTTATTTTTTTTAATATATTATGTACGCATTGAATATCTTCATAAAAATAGAGATGTTTGGAAATAATAATCATTATTATCTGCAATATTATGCTCTCTAATGAATTTCTAAACAAAATATGTTCATAAGGTTGAATCAATCAACATGCAACTGATATGTAATAAGATTTTCAAGATCGGCCGACTGACAGAATGAAATAGATCGAATTCAATTCGAAGAAGGTGACTATAGAAAATGGACTTATTTAACTTGGAAACTATTCTAAGAAGCTTCGGGCTTTCTTCTATGAACAACTACAATTTCTATAAAAAAAAAAAGAAAAGAAAAAGTGAATTCTCTTTTATTTATCATCCAATAGATATGCAAAATGTTCCTTCAATGCTGTAAAATCGAAGAATAATCTTTTCAATCAAGCTAATGATGAAATTCACTCTTAAGGGAATTTTCTTCCTTTCTATGAAACTGTTTCTAATGAGCACGAGCGATTGTTCGTTTTATGTTTCATTTCGATTGAATCACGTGGAAGTTCACAAAATAGATTTGTATCTATTCGATTATTAAATTTCATTCTCACACTTAAACAGACTTTCAATGAATGCGTGATCATGAAAAATCATATCTGCATAGGTCATTGCCAGAAAAGAACAATACAGTACGGAAAATAAAAATAGCCTATGGAACACATGATTTGAGCTGCAAGGTATTTCCGAAGATCAGTGAGTTCGATTCAATTTAATTGAAATATTGAACTTCTATTCATTGTAATGGAAGAATATATTTATTAAATAATATTTCAATAATGTTTCAAGAAGTACTTTGTCTAGAGGTGTCTCAATCATACTTTCATCATGTTCTTACAGGTAGTGTTGAGTATCTTGTTCAGCTGAGTTGTCATGCTCGGATAAGTGTCGTATTTTAAATTGCTCCAAGAAAAAAGACAAAAAACCATTATTTTTACAAATGTATTCAGAAGTATGACACTTAAGAGAGAGTCCATTAGGCCATCACGGATTGGAAGCCCTCGATAAAAACTATTTTTTTGATTTTATTAGCGCATTCGAAACTTCCATGTGTGAAACTAGTAACCTGAAAATTTTAGCTTCTAATACCGTTCCTAAGAAGAGTTACATAAGGATGACTTTGAGCACTATCGTAGTTTTTCGAGAAAAAAACAGTAAAAATCGCTTGCTTCATTTATGTCTGTTTGTGCTTCAACAGATCATCCAAATCTTTCAAGGAATACGTTAAAACATAGGTTATTCTGAGCTGAACAAGGATCGATATTTAAATTTTTGTATATCACTTAGTTTTTGAGACTATTCAGTCCAACAAGTATGTGCACTGACAGAATGTTTCAATTTTTCACGACTAATTCTTTTGCAGTATATTTGATCTCATCTCTTCAATTTAAGCGGACCCAAGCATTTTTTTGTACGGGTTTGTAGAACTTTTGATTCTGCACAAAACCATAGGAACATATTGAAAACAAGAGGGAATACTGAGACTGAAAAATGTCTAGCATTGCTTTTTACCTACTCAATACCCCATTGAAAAGTAAACCTCTAAGCTATCTATTGGTCATTCGCCGATGGAAATATTAGTCTCAGAGAAATTACAACTTCATTCTGAAGATAATGGCAGAGATAGTCCTTTCGAAAAAGAAACAAATTTTCGACCTCCATACCTGCCTGAGGGGAAGTACAGGAATAACGGAAAATTTCGAAAGAATTTTTTTTTTCTTATAATTTAATAGTGATTATCTCAAACAATAGAGGTTAAAAAGCTGATCACAATCATATACTCTAATCCTAATATTTATCGTTCTATATGACGATAAGTAATCTACTTTCATACTAAGTTGTGTGCTAAATGTGCTGCAGATATTGCATGGAGAACTGATTTTTATCGTATAATAATCAATTATGTTAGGGTTATAATATATGATTGTGATCAGCTTTTTAACCTCTATTGTTTGAGATAATCACTATTAAATTATAAGAAAAAAAAAATTCTTTCGAAATTTTCCGTTATTCCTGTACTTCCCCTCAGGCAGGTATGGAGGTCGAAAATTTGTTTCTTTTTCGAAAGGACTATCTCTGCCATTATCTTCAGAATGAAGTTGTAATTTCTCTGAGACTAATATTTCCATCGGCGAATGACCAATAGATAGCTTAGAGGATTACTTTTCAATGGGGTATTGAGTAGGTAAAAAGCAATGCTAGACATTTTTCAGTCTCAGTATTCCCTCTTGTTTTCAATATGTTCCTATGGTTTTGTGCAGAATCAAAAGTTCTACAAACCCGTACAAAAAAATGCTTGGGTCCGCTTAAATTGAAGAGATGAGATCAAATATACTGCAAAAGAATTAGTCGTGAAAAATTGAAACATTCTGTCAGTGCACATACTTGTTGGACTGAATAGTCTCAAAAACTAAGTGATATACAAAAATTTAAATATCGATCCTTGTTCAGCTCAGAATAACCTATGTTTTAACGTATTCCTTGAAAGATTTGGATGATCTGTTGAAGCACAAACAGACATAAATGAAGCAAGCGATTTTTACTGTTTTTTTCTCGAAAAACTACGATAGTGCTCAAAGTCATCCTTATGTAACTCTTCTTAGGAACGGTATTAGAAGCTAAAATTTTCAGGTTACTAGTTTCACACATGGAAGTTTCGAATGCGCTAATAAAATCAAAAAAAAATTTTTTATCGAGTGCTTCGTATGCTGGAGACATCCTTGATGCTCTCATGGACTCTCTCTTAAGTATCCTTTCTTGACCTATTATATATCAGAAGTTCCTATTCCAGGTCGCTGTGCTAAAGAACATTAGATTGGATTGATGTCGTTTACTTACCAATATTGTACTAGAACTCTCTATTTGTTTATAACAAATTCAACAAAGATATGAACTTTCGTTCATTTATTAGGTTTGCAAGATCTATAATCGTCTTGAGCACTATATTTTAAAGTATTTGTGAAATTTCGAAAATTATAGTTTGTCTTATGCTATATCTAGAGCAGTATGTTTGAAATATTTCAATTTTTTTATTGACACTTTCTCGATGTAAATCATTGCAATATTTGAGATTTTATCTAAACTGTAAATTTTTTATTTTTCTTTATAACAAAATGTATCGATTAAATTTAGCTACTACTTAATCTTATCGAGTCACTTTCTTTGTGACACCCAATAATAAATGTTGTCATAACTGCTTACAATATCTCGATGAGATATTATCTAGAGATTGCCCAAACATGATTGCTCAAAAAAAAAATAAATATAAATTCTTCTGTAATATTTAAAAAATATGTTTGCAGATTTAATACAATCAAGTGTATTTCATTATTTTATTATGTTAATAACCACAAATCGAGTTGTTAAATGACAAGTGTGTTTAATTCTTTTATCGAAATTATATTTACATGGATAATAAACTGTAAAATCTAATGACAGCAAAAATGCATGATTGCGTAGTTTATTTTATATTCCACTTGGCGGTTCACTATTGCTAATTTTATTCATAAATTCTGCTCGATTTTTTTCGTCTTTACGCTTCATAGATCGTCGTCGTTTATAAGGTTTCCAAAATGTCCAAAGTAGTATTAGAATTTGATAGAGACAAAATATAAAAGATAAAATTAAAAATCCATAACGATCAATACGACAAATAGAATATTCTGGATAAAGCGAAAGTTGTAGTTCACTTGTATTCGTTGGTGTTAAATATGTAGCTAAATATATTTGATTATAATATAAATAACTAACTACACCATGAAAAACATTTATTATACATAGAGCAACTATCGATGCTATAGCATAAACTGAAAATAAAAATAAATTCCAAAAACAAACCAGAAAAACTGAGCTTTATTTACCATCTAATGCTGTTAAATAGGATATTGTTCTAAATCATATCAAAAAACAAAATTCACCAAAAAGAATTTTTTTTCTATCGAGTTACTTACGGAAGTGATTTATTAACAACCCATCGAAATGTAACAGATGTTAATAAAAGAGTACATGTTATCTGTAAACGACCATGAGAATTAGATGGCGGTATGGCGAACGTACAAAGAGATGATGATGTGATAAGAAAAATTAAAAAATATGCATTCCTACTCAAAACAAAAACAAAAACAAAAACAGTATAGATATTGTTGGCATAAAAAATCAAATCAGAGCTGTTAGTTCAATCCCTGTGGAATTAAAATGGCAAATGTGATGCAGTTGTTGTTGCTAATCACTGGGAAAATCGTGTTATTGCATGCATCCAGGGACATCTTTCTTGTACTCGTCTTTCCGAAAACGCAATAAAGAAATATTTAATATATTATAATAAGCAATTTATCATCTAGAGTCTGTAGAGAAATAACGTCTACACATTTTTGCCTCTTGTATATTGACACTTCATTTAGATTGTATTTCTTAAAATTAATTTACCAAATATAGTAACCACATTTTCTTCCAACATGACATGTACAAATAAGAACAGGATGAATTTGATCATAATCTAAGGAATATTCTTCTCGATATTGTTCAAATGAAAATTCAACATGTTCATATAAGTGCCAAGATTGTTGATCGCTAAATACAGTTCGATTAACACCTGATGGCTTTTGTTTATTTTCAACAAAATAGATATCATTTATTGTCAACGGTGTTGTCAAGGATATTGATAGTTCTTGAACATCATATGGAAAATGATTTAATTCCATACGTTCCCAAAAAATGCCTTTGAATTTATGATGTTCCGTTATTTCTAATAGACCATTTGCATTCGTTTTGTTTATTGAATACCATTTCTATTCGATACAAAAACTATTGTATTCAACAAGTAGAAGAAAAATTCATAATAAGCTCAATAATTGCATATTTAATTCATTAATAGATTCATATTTTCTTGAGGGCATGAAATTATTCAAAGTCTATTTCAATAATTACTTGCTCGATAGAAAAAAAAAACTTACATCATGTCTTAGTGAATCTCCCATATTATTCAACACGACTAATTGTGGATTGAAATTGTCTGCTTGAGTATCATATTCTAATTCGGTTTTTGGATCTTTTATAAGCCAAGATGCCTCGAAAAAAATTTCACTTGTGTATCGTTCATTAAGTGTATCGATTTCACCAACACGTAAAAAGATACAACGAACAAGAATTTCAATGGGCGGATGCTTTTCATGGGAATTCGTAGCCGATGGTCTCCTGGATTCTGTGTATGAACGAGATGATTTATTCATCGTTTCATCTTGAACATTAGATTTTGATATCGAACAACTTGTTTGTGAAAAGAGATCATTTAATTGGCAAAGGCTTGCAGAAGCTGCGAGTCCTTTACACGATGATGATGTTATGGCAGAAATTGAAGGTTTTTTTCCTAGAAACTGTTCTAAACGAGGATAGGATGTTGATGTACATAGAGATATCAATGGAATCATAGTTTGAAATGATTGAGCAGATGATGCCAGTTGATCGATTCGAGAAATATCTTGCTCTTCAGTGTTTACAGTTTGACGACGAAATGATGATAGAGTCGGATGAAAATGTGCAGCACCAACTGTAGAAAGTAAATGAAAAAGGAAAAATAAAATATTTTTTAAATATAATATGAATTCTACGTTCTCACGTAGCTAGCTATTGTATTTGCATTCGAAAATTGGAAACTTACACAAAAGATTGTTGGTTCCATTTAGTGCCATTTTGATATTGAATCCCTGTCCTCGATATACAAAAACAAATTGATAAAGTGAGCAAATTTTCTTTTCTACTTATACTATTGAAATGCTAAACATGTTTTACTATAATGATGACGCTTCTTCTATGTCGGATATTCTGCGGAAAACTCGAAACTTTGACATTTAGAGCAATTAACATGAAATAGGAAATTCTGTTGAACTAGATGCTATTAGTAAAAGTAAACATTTGCGTGCGTCAACACTGATCCAATAACATAATATTTTGGTGACCTAGAAAAATAAGACTTTTGCTTTAATACGAAAGTAATAAGAGAAAGTATATATGTCAATCGGGTGACGATGACAACTATTATCAATGCAAAATTCTAAACTTATCTGTAAATATTTTGACAGGGGTCGTTTAGCTGAAAGTGCAGTTTCGAGTGCATGACAACCTTTTATGCATACTGTACATAGAGATTTCTTAATTGTTTTCATAATTCCGACTGACACGAAGGAGTTTTTATAAATTCTGTTAGAAAAAAAAAAACATGAAGCCAATGCTAAAAATAGGGGCATCACTCGAATACAGATCACTGTAGTTGTAGAAGAACATATTATGCTATGAATAAATCAAAATAAGTATTGACTAAGTTCGAAGATCATTTATATATCAATGACACTCTACATCAAAAGTTCGAAGATTATTTTCTAGAATTCTATTTAAGAAGCCTCACATATTCATTAACGTTTTTTTTTGTATTCAGGATAATACATGCCATAAATCATCAAGTTTCACTCACACCGAAAGATATTTCGATGTTAATGAACTACTTGTAGCTAAAATAAACCATAGTCACCTAAAAAAGAAAGACAACGAAAATACTGAAAATTGTCATCGTATCACGCGAATGACAGAATTTCATCAACACCTTGACAACCTATCACAGTGACAATAACGCATCTCCAGATAATAACAATACCGAAAAAAGAAATGTAGCTGATATATTCTGTATACTTCTTTCCATGCTATATCTGGTGTTCTTTATTTTATTTATTTACATAAGAAGATCACTAGAAATATACATATATGTACATTTATTTTGCTGCTGTTACTAAGAGCTATGGCATGTGTACTCAAAATTATTGGCCGAAAGAACAGAAATATACATATTGTTTCATTTTTTTTTTTTTTGGTTTATGCTCTTTTTATTGTCACACTCGGAAGTGCTTACAAAAACAGAGAAACATGGAAGGACGGGAGGAATAGGAAGTAACAAATAAAAGAAAAAAGAAGAAACAAAAAAAGAAAAGTAAACAAAAAGGGAGAAACAAAGATAAAGATACATAAAGCAAATGAAAGCGGTAACGAGATGAACAGAGAATACAAGTAGCAGGTGTTATAAAGGTTGAGGTAGAATGTTAAGTGGCTGTTAATAACTAGGATTTCGTGTTTCCTCTTTCCTATATTCCTAATTATCACTTTGTTCATTAAAAATCAAGCCAGTCTAGGAGAAGGGAGTGGTGTTTTAACTTTAAACGTTTAACCCGTTTCAACATAAATAGATGGCCAACACCATCTTTAGCTTGCTTATGGAAATTATCCCATAGGAATACATCTTCAAGAAATAGGGAAGAACCTAAATCTGAAGAACACATCTTTTTTAATCTTTTCGACATATAACGTTTGACATAAGTATCAAGCGGTTCTTCTCGGGTAAAACTCAAAAGGTCCTTAGCGCGAACAAATGGGGCACGGTGGACTAAGCGTATTGCTACTCTATACTTTCTTCTAAGTGCCTCTTGGTGTGTTGTTGGGAGAAAGGGGGAAAATGGAACATATTGTTTCATTATTCAAATAGTGTTGTTTATATTTGAAAGATTATCAACATTCAGTCAACTTAATTGAGAAAAAAAGAAAACGATAATAATAATATTAATACTTGCAAATAGGATAATTACGGAAATTGTTTTTTTATTTAATAAAGTTACGTTGTTATATGGATTTATGAGCGTAGAATCTTTCGATTCATGGTATACTTGATAGTTGAGAGAAACTTTTAAGTAATATAGACAAGAGCATGTCTTAAGTTATTGTTTTTTTTTTGTAAGAAAACAATCGATAGTCTATCGAAAAACTGATGTTCATATCTTTCTTTTTCTGCACTTCGTGATTGTATAGCACGGCAAAATTTGCTTTCCTAATACTTAATTGTTATCATCAGTCTTTAACTGGAGTTCTATCAAAAAATCAAGTAGAAAAAATACGAAAGAATATTGACGATGAAAATAATTTTCAAATACATATTTGATAAAATCATTCACGAACACCGTTGATTTACTATGAATACTATTGATTCTAAACAGATCAGCCTCCTTAAAAATCAAGACCAATGATGACATGAAATCTATTCAAACTGACGCAATTTTTTAAGTCAGATTTTAACAGCTGAATAGCGAAAATTTTTCATCGAATGATGAATAATAATAATAAGAAAAAATCTGAAGACTGTTGCATTATTGAAATCTTCTGGAGATTTCTTTCAGCAAACTTTGTTGGCGACAGTTTTTTTGTTAACTATTTCATACTGAATAGCGATCAAAAAATGATATACGCATATCAAAAATTGAAAATTTTGCAAGTGAAGTTCTATGTTGTGTGCATGATAATGATTATTACTGGACGAAAATTACTTGTTTCAATATATTCCATTGTTTTGGGTTCAGTTCATCAGAAGAGGTCCGATGTTAAAATATCAAACAAGAAGAAAAACTAGATTTTGTACCCCAACGAGTCTCATAGTAGTTAAAACGTTTTCAATGGCGATCCAGCAGGAATACAGGATCAACCAATTCCGAAAAAGATTTACTCAACGAAATGGTGCGTGATATGTCACACATCTTGTTGTCGCCAGAACGAAATTTCGAACATACATACTCTACAAAGCATTTCATAGTGATACTTTCATGCTCTATCTGATAAGTATTCTTTTAGACAATATAAAGGTGTAATTATGGTTCAGTTGAGCAGCATAGTAAAACATCTGTCGAAATTTTGATTTTTGTTTTATCTGAGTAGCTACCTTCAGATTGTGTTTTTTTTACATATAATTCTCGTTACTGTCCCAATATTTCTGCTCTATCCTTTTTTTTAAATAAAAAATAATTAGAATCGTAGGCGGGATATAGAAATGGACTCACTGCTGCTCTCTTGTTTGCTAAACAATTTTCTAGTAATCATAAATGAGTCGTTTCTCGATGCTGACGTGAAACAATATCAAATGAGAGAACTGGGTTACATTGAAAACACATATCTGAATCTGCCCATGTTTGAAAGCTGTGTATTTTATTAGGATTTCTCTGTACGAAAGAGTTACTTGTAAAACATTGGTCATTAGTTTTGAAACTCGATAACATTCGAGCTTGGCTCAAATACGAAATGAGTGGGAAGTACGAATTTTAGTTTACAAAAGAACAATATATAATAGAAAACGAATAATCATATTTGTAAAGTATCATGAGTCGAGTTGATGCTATTAGAATGGTTTCATTTCACTTAGAACAGTTATACAATTATACCGTTTGTAAATCGACATTGTCATTTTAGTTATCTCGAAGCTGGAAACGGCAAAGTATCTTGTAAATGCATCATTTTGGAACGATATGCTTACAAAAGAATCGACAAGATTTGAAAAAATATTTCAGCAATTCGATCTTAACATTGCATTACCTTGTGTTTGAGCCAGTGTTGTTTCAAAAAATTTCCGTTCTCGAGATGCATAAACCGAGGAAGTGAAACGAAATTCGCGAAGAATCACATTAATGTCGTGCTTCGGATCGCGTTAAAAATAGTATTGAATGAAAGACATATCGCTATGAACTCTTTCGCATGGAATGACTCAATAGTTTTCTTTTTCGTACTGTGCCCTCTGCAGTTTTCTTTTTCGTACTGTGCCCTCTGCAGTTTTCTTTTTCGTACTGTGCCCTCTGCAGTTTCATTTTTGCTCTTCTCTTCGTTCTGCTTTTTGCCAATCTATTTCAGTTCGATGGTTAATATCTCTTCTATTTTCTTGTAATTTTTCTTTTATATAAAAAAAAGTACCATAAGTTAAATTCTTTCTAAATACCTTCAAATTTCACAACAAATCATAGTTATTTGTCAAAAAAACAAGCTTTATCATTGTATCAGAGACTAGAAAACTCGAGATAAAGCTACAGTCGATGAATGATTTCTGCATGAACATACACAATATACAGCAGCGAAGATTGCTAGAATAGTCACTGTGTTCAGATTGACAGATTTGTTTTTCAATTTGCTGTAGTGGTAAATTATGGAACAGGAAAATGACACTCATTGGTTGAACTAAACAATTAACCACCATGAGTCATGCAACAGGAGCTAGATTATTGTTTGTTTACATTCTTTTATTTCCATGACAAGGCAAAAAAATGATATAAGACAGAATGTTAGAGTCAGCATGACCGAGCGAAAATGTTAGATATGAATCAACAGTCGCTCCTATAAAAGCTCAGAGACCGTTACAGTTGTTTCTCATTATTTCTTTTTGTTCTTTATTAGAAACTATTCGAAAAACAAAAACGATGCCACTAGCTCTTATTGTACGTGAAAACAAGCAACTTGCCGTCGAGGAACTCGCAGTATGTTTTACTATATCTACCAAAAATATCGTATGATTCTTTTATTGTCTATCTAGCTACCTAAATATGGACCGAACGATCTTCTGATTAAAGTAACACACGTTGCACAAAATCCAACTGATTGGAAACATGTTCATTTCGGCTTTGCCAAGCCTGGTTCAATTGTTGGCTGTGATTTTGCTGGTGAAGTCGTGGAAGTTGGAAGAGAAGCAACAGGTTCGTATTTCATTACCAATTTTATGGAAGTTATCACGAAAATTCCGATAAGCTAATAGTTGATCGGAGGAAATCTTATTTATGGGTGTTACTCAGTGTTTATTTTACTTTCTAATAGAGAATAAATATAAAGAAAATCTCTACATCTAAAAAAAGATACATCAGAAACTTTTTTGCGTGTTTTTTCTCATGCACTAGCTTCATTTTTCAATAGTATCATATATCGAAGTGGCATTGTGGATATGAAATTACATCGATTTAGATATCGTATTGTTATTCTAGTTGTCTATTTATCAATGATAGAAAAAATTTTCCACTATTTCATTTTGTTTATTGACTATAGAAAATTCATTTATATTTACTTTAGAAATATAAAACGTTTGCGTATCTTTGCTATAGAGACAGAAAGATTCTATTTCATAAAGTAAACAGAAAGTAGGGCGCGTATTCTTTCTGCGAAACTGTTTTGATATATTATAGATAAATAATTACTCTTTGCTTTTTCTTTCAGGAAACTACACTAAAGGTGAACGTGTAGCCGGTTGTGTTCATGGTGGTCTAGATGCTTCATTTGATATTCGTGGTGCTTATTCAGAATATGTTGTACAGGATGCATCACTGGTTTTCCGCTATCCATCGACTTTATCTTCAGAGTCAGCCGCTACAATACCATTAGCCAGTATTACTGCAGCACTTGGTCTCTTTCATGAAATGAATTTACCATTTCCTCCTGCTACTTCTGGCAGTTCTATTCTAGTTTGGGGTGGTAGCACAAGCGTCGGTCAATATGCTATACAATTGGCTAAAGCAGCTGGTTGCTTTGTTATTGCAACTGCATCGCCTGCTCGTCATGCATATTTGAAAGAACTTGGTGCTGACGCCTGCTTCGATTACAAGGATTCGAATGTTGTCTCACAAATCAAAGAAGCATCGAAAAATAATTTGGCTTACGCTATCGACTGTATTTCTGAAAATGGTTCAACTGCAACAGTGTGTGCAACACTAACTGGTGCGAATGCACAAGTTGTCACTGTTCTACCTGGTGTATCAAAAGAAGTTCCATCTCATGTAACAGAACGTAGCGTCATGATGTATACAATTTTCGGACGTAAAATGCACGTCTTCGGTCAAGATCATGAAGCCAAACCTGGGGATAAGGCATTTGCCGAGAAATTTTACTTACAACTCTCAAATATCTTACTACCTCAGGGTCTTGTCAAGCCGAACAAAGCGACAAAAATTACAGGTGGACTCAATGGAGTTGAACAAGGATTTCAAATGATGATGGAGAATAAAATAGCTGCAGAAAAATTGGTGTATACAATGGCCGAGACTACTAAACCATAGACGTGGACATTCTATACAAAGACTATTTTTTTCTTTCATATTGTTTGTTGTCAAGTGTGACTAGCATGCGTCTAATCAATTAAATAAAGAGAAAGATCTTTGAAAGATTGAAATCAGGCAAACCTCTGGTAACATGACTTCATCTGTTTGTGAAAAAAATGCTGTGACTTTTCTACCGATACTATAACAGTAAGCACATATCTCTCTTTAGAATATTGAACATTAATTATTTCATCAAAGTAATTAATTTTATAAGACGATTGTTAAAACCGAAGACAATACTCTATGAGTTGATGATTAGAGTGTACGTTTAGTCTAAGTAATAGTATACTTTATTTGTAAGCATTAAGGTGGAGTCCTCTGATTCCTTGATGTGATTCTTTAGCTTTGATTGTATTTTATTCCAAACGTCATTGATAAACTGGTACTACTAAATTTCATTAAGATCAAACTATCAATAACTCATGCTCATTCGTTTAACTAAATATTTAGTGTTTTCTTTAGAATAGTGTTTTAAAGTTCTGAACAATCCTAAACAACAGTAATATGTAGCGGTAAAAAAAGCGTGAGTATCAGTGTGGACGTTGATGACATATCATTCAATTTTGATCTGTAAGAAGATCTACGTGTCTAAATAGATTCTTTCTTTTTAACAAGAATCAATCAAAATATAGTCTTTCATATACAATGTACACGTCCTTTCAATCGAAGTATTCGATTGTTAAGAAAATCTTTTGATCTTCTCTACATATCTATTCAAGATGAAAATATATGTCCTCTTATACCCAGGTCGAACAATCCGGCCTGGAAACGGCCGGTTCCGGGTAGTTCCGTTGATTTTGTGGAAGCAGTATTCCGGTTGGAAATTTTTAGCATTTTTTATGGTGATTTCCAATCAATTGCTGCCGGAAAGCACCGGAACTTGGAAACAATTCTCCGGAAAATTCCAGCCGTCTTTTTGACCGGAATACTGCTTCCATGTTCCAGCGATTTCCAGTGTTTTCTTGCAGGATATGGTGACTTTCCCGCATATCCCCTGGAGTATCCTACGGGATCCGCTGGCCGGAATGTTCGACCTGGGTAGTGTTATTTTGAGGTTCGATGAAAATATCTTTTTCACAGAACGGACGATCGGCTACAACAGTCAGATCTTTTATTTGCTCTCTATGCTACAAAAATAAATCAATAATATTCTCCTAAACTTGATTTGCATATCAAAGTAGTTTGCCTTACCAAATAACGAGTGAGAATAAAAAACAAGAAGTGAACTAGTAAAAATATTTTTGCGCGATATTGACTGCAGATAGACGAATACAATTGTTTCATACGTATAAACGGTGTCAAAATGAATAAAATTCATTCTAAAACAAACTATTGCTTAAATTAGGTAAACTTTACAGAGTGATTGAGCTTCGTGGCAAAGTTAAATCTACTATGTCAATTAAAATGTGAATACCAGCAATGATCCGTTATACTTATATGTATTAAAGACACGATACAATCTTCCGGATCTATTAAACGAATTACAAAACGCAATATTGCATATATCAAAAACTAGCTCATTTTATTTTAACTGAATCGTTTATTAAGAATGCAACGCAAAGATCGTCAGAATGTCTAGAGAAGTCTAAAGTTTGAATTTTTTTTTCTACTAAGTGAACATCGTATACATTCATTCAAGTATGCGCCCACATCTGTCTGGCTATCCGAAACAACGAAATCCAACCCATGATCGCCATTGAAATCTGAGAGAACCAACATGAGCGACTGATGATGTGAATTAAACAGTTGCGGTTTACCCAAAGCTCCTGTGCCATCACTAAACATCAAAGAAAAATGATCTGATCCAAATAGACTAATCAAGACATCAAGGTGATTGTCGCCATTGAAATCGCCGATCACACCTGAGGCCGAGCAATCGAAATCCATGTAGGTATATGAAAGACAGAAAGTGCCATTTCCATAGCCCAAAAACACATTGATCAAACTATTTCCACAATTCAAAGAGATTAACTCCATGTTTTCATCTTCGTTTAAATCACCAGTACCTAATGCTGCCGGAGCGTCTGTAGTAATATAACTACAACGATTCAGAAACGTACCGTTGCCAATACCCAAATGTACAGTCACACTCTGACTCACATAATTCGCAACAACGAAGTCAACATGATTGTCGTGATTAAAATCAGTCGTAACGATTGAATCTGGCATAATTCCTGTGACAAACGAATTCTGTGGTGCAAAGGTGCCATTACCATAACCAAGAAGAACACTAGCAATGTTTGCGACCGTATTCGTCACCAATAAATCAAGTATTTGATCATGATTCAAATCTGCGATAGCGATTGCATATGGACCACTGACAACTTGAAAGGTCATTGGTTGGTCAAAAGACCATCACCTCGATCGAGAAAGACACCAATGTTCGCATTACTTATGTTACAGACCACTATATCAGCGTGGCTATCGTCATTCAAGTCACCGCCAGCAGTGTTACCGAGCAGCTCTTCGATTTGACTAATAATTGGCAATTGAAAACTGCCGTTCCCATATCCAAGAAAAATGTGCATAGTCAAGTCTTGAGTACATGGAACAACTAAATTCATATAATTATCATCATTAAAATCACCAACAGCAACAAAAAGTATGTAATTTGAATATTCATATGAAAAAGATTCATCAAATGTTAAATTGCGACAGCTATTAATCTAAATATCGAAAAGGGCAATTTTTTAATTAATTTTAATCAAAAACTAGATACAGCGCCCATTTCCTAATTGTGCCAATTAGCTTCCCGTGAAATTACTCATTCTTATTTCGATTTATTCAGAAAGAACTACGCAACTAATGTGAGATTGATCTTTTACTCTAATGTTCTCCATGGAGATCCAATTAAATATGCCAATTGAATTTTCTATAATTTAATTACTGAGATTTGATCAATGGAGACTACAAGAAATATCAATAGTCATTCAACTACAACGACTGCTGTTTGCTTCTCATAAAGTAGTTACTTGGAGAAAAAGGCAAGCTGGAAGATTGGTGCTATTCGCAATTCGATGCTGAGATTTTGATCTCTTATCCTTGAAAATATCAAGAGAATATAGGTTTTTGCCATACTTTCAGTATCTATTCGAATGAATCAAGGCAATTACTTGCAACAGTAGAAGTTGATTGAGTAGTACTTTCTGGTGTTGCAAAAGCCGTGAAAATAACACTATTGTTGTTTTCGTATAATAACCTTGCTGTAGTAGTGGTATTTGCTTGACTACTTGTACCATCTAAAATAATATATTTGAATTTTGCGATAAGCAATGTTAGCAGTAAGACTGAATGTGTTCTCAAAACTATGATAGGTTACTTATCTATCATCTCAGTCATGTTCTGTCTCGTATCAATAATTGCTGTTGAGATGATCGATACTGATTTACGTGTGATCTAGGTACTTTCTTGTTGTCATTTATCTGAATGAGTTTATTGAAGAGAACGTTTCTCAAAAAGTCTATCGATGTAAAACAAACTCAGTACTATAATAATTTCGATTATGGTGGATGCTACAAAATTGATGATTCAAATAGAAATATAATCAACTGATTACTGGTTGACTCCAACTCTTTTTTTATTCATGTCGACAATCAGATGGAAAACCGTAGATAGTATTAGCGTGTATTAAAGACTGTTAAAACTCTCATAATATGATATGTCCAAACTAATTTTCGTTTCCGAACAAGTTATCTGATCATTATGTTCTTTCTGATAACTGATTTCTGTTCTTTACTTTACTGTCATCAAAGTAGTCAATACGCAGTATGAATGCAACGAATCGAAGAGCGGTTATCAGCTTCTGATTTTTCGCAGTATGTGGAACTCGCTCGTATCAAATTCACTCAATTGGCAAGAACCTTATCAATGTTACCTTGCATTCATGAAGCTGCCAGTGAAATATAGCGATACCAAAAACAATAGCTTCCTGAATTATTCCTTTAATGTTTTCTGCTCCTTGCATTATTCAACTCTTTGTGATTAAATGTACTATTTCAGAAGACACTTTTTGTTGTTATGTCAGTACGATGCAAACTCTATCATGTTCATTATATGAAATAAGTTTTTGATGTATGAAACTATTAATTTGTCAGGTTCTTTCAATATAAAATCAGTATCGATGTGTGCGATTGGAAACCTTAGAACATGGTGGAATTATCCAAAAGTGAAATGAAATATTCTGATCACTACTTCAACATTCGAAAACATGTCGAAGCAAACTTCCGGTTTCATAACATACTTCACAAGCGCACAAGTTCTAATATAATTAGATAGCTATAATTCGTGAGTATTAAGTCTTATTTATCATATACATTTTTAGATGACACCGTCTTTTATTGATAATTGAAATATATTACATATTAGTATAATCCAACGTTTGACTGACATATCTGATGATGATTTTTCTGTTGTAGAGATCACTTGTTTTTTGTGATTCACAGTCAACATAACAGTGATTGCCGTAATGATGACACCTAACATACCTATCACGCTCAAGAGAGTAACTAATTTTGCTCTGGCTGTGCAGCGTCTGCATAAAACAATAATAAATGATTTTAAAAGAAGCTAGATTGACCTGAAGACATGTGTGATCTAAATTAAGGATCTTTCCATTGATGAACGATCTATTCTCTACAAGGAACAGAATTTTGTGGTACTAGATATTCGATCTGTTGGAAGTTTGCTTATATTATTATTTTTTAAATGCTGCTGTTTAATGATGAATGTCAGATGGCAACCATTGAAGAAAAGAATGAACTCGTTTAATTTACATACTACTCGATAATATGGAAAAATATGATTCTTTAAATTTCTTTCAAAAGATTGTCATGAACAATAACAGGTGGTATGCGATTCGCATCACTGTTAATATACATAAGCAGGGACGGTGCGAAGCAACAAAAATATAGGGGGGTTACTTGAAAACGGGAGGTTTTTTTTCAAAAATCGGAGTAAATTAATAAAAATTTCTTCTATTTTCTTCAAATCGGAGTAAAATTGAAACAAAAATTTCCAAAGTTGGGGTCCCCTCCCCCTCAGTTCGCGCCGTCCCTGTACATAAGTACCGTTCTCACCAACATCTTGCAATCATGAAGAATAAATTATCGAAATAGAGAAAGTAAACGACGAAAATTTGAATTGAGAAATGATGTAAAGCTGTGTTGAGAATGTCGTCCTTATCATTGATATTTGGCCCAATCATTTCAGCATGTTTCATTTTGAATTGAAATCGATACTATAGAAAGAAAGTCAACAGAATATATGAAACGTCACTTTTGTGTTAAACTCTATTCTTTTGATGGAATAATAATTACGAAAAACCTTTCCATAATGTGCACTCAAGACATTACTATACTAGTTGTAAAAAAACGCACTTGACGGTTGTCAGATTTGTTGAAGCTATTTAACACTGATACTGGTAACTCTGCGATACTAAGTAACATCCATATTACGATAGCAAATTTTATTCCATCAGCCATTTATTTATATAAGTGATTGAATGAATAACCATTCAACTAAGAACATCTTCTTTGCAATGTTTCAAACAAATAAATATAAAATTCTGAAGAGAAATATCTTGGCTTGTTATCGTAATCTGTTTCAAAAATGATGTACTTCTAAATTATTTACCCTTAGCAAGAAACGTGTATACACGGCATGTCAGTATCAATATACGCATGATAGAAACATTGATAATCAAATAAATATGTATATTCTAAAATTAGTTCTAGAAAAGTTTAGTCGATTGCAAGATAATATTCATTTGACTATTACATGTAAACAGCAATACATCTATGGCAAGATTTTGCGGACTATTCATTCGATACGATTCTGATCGATTGTTCAGGGAAAATATCTAATATATCATTTTTCACTTCTTACATTTTTGTTCCTTAAAAACAGCGAAACAACCCAACATCAATTCAATGGACTGGTAGGGAACGCCATCTTCTCCGTTCCTTAGAGGCTATTGTATAGCGTAAATCCAATGGCGTAGAAAAGCGTCAGTAGCAGCTAGCTTCCTTCAATTTCTGTCTGTGTGGTTCGATCCGTGTGTTTTTTTCGAGAACATGCCATACATTAAGCAGTTAGAAACAAAAAATTGCATATATTTTCTTCTTTGAAATAGAAAAAGAAATTTTGAAGACTTTTGATAAAGGATCGAATTGACTTTTTTAACAACACACCAGATGTCTCAGTCCGTTACTATATCAATACAATGTTAAGAGCAAAACATAAACGATTAGAACTATTCATTGATTATCTTTTCAGAGTAATTCATTAAATTAAGAATGCGTTAAAAATACTATGAAACTTATTTTGTTATTAGTTGGAATTTGAGAGAAGAACTTTATCTTCGTTGTTGAATTCAGTAAAAGTCGAATGAGAATCTTTTTATTCAACTTAAAATGATCCTCGTTTCTTTTTCAGATCACAATCAAATATATGGGTGTTCACTATCACCGTTCGGTCGAATATTTGAAGACTATTCAATGTTGACAACAAGCTATTTGAAATGTCTTCTTATGAGTACAATGAATTTAATTCAAAAACAATTATAGCGATTTTCTAGATGATGATATCAATCGTTTGAAAAACAGCTAAAAGTTTATAATTGTGAACTAATGAAACGACTAAACAAAAATAATTGAGCTATTCTGATTTATTGAATCGTTATTTTATTTTTTTAAATTTTTTATTGAAGATATCAATGAAAAAAACAACCTCATGCAGTAAAGTTCGTGCGAATAGAATTAAATATTTAAAATTGTTTCCATTATTTATTCATGATATTGATCGAGTAAGATGAGTATATACTTTGAAAAGATATCACTTTATTCTATGCATAATAGACTCATGAAGATGAAAGTCATTGGCCCTGTTTTGAAGCGAAAATTGTTGATGATCTCATTATGATTCCTGCTGTTGAACACGGTGATAAACTTTTTAGATATGTAAGTTGCATGAACAATTTTTCTTTTAAGCATTTTCTATACCAATCAACATCTATCTCGAATCCATGGTTACTGAATTACTAATATATTTGACTGATAAAAGAAAAAATAAAATAAAATGAAGAGAATTCTTAAATTTTGACAACTAAATGTTGACACAATCGAATATGGAGTTTTTCGTATGTGCGATTGTGAATGTCGATTTACATTATCTTATCGCTAAAGTCGGGTGATCTTATTTTTTGTAGACTCTGCCCTGATCGAGAAAAAACAATTCTAACTCCTATTTTTACTATGAATCATTCTTTATCGATTTATTTTCGACTTAGTTTTCAATTGAAAGATTGTTCGCTATATTTATAGGGAAGTTTTGGTAAAAGTGAATTTGTTCGAACTACAACTCATGTTTCACCATCAACACCATTAGAAACAATACCAAACGATAGAAAAAATTATGAAAAACCTTACCGATTACGATCCATTGAAGTCAATAATGGAAAGTTTGTTATTTATTATTTTATTTATTTATCATCTAATCAATAAACTATAGTTATCAACAAATGGAAATCGATGTAGAAACTTCTAATTTTGAAAAAGAGTTTCTTAATGAATTAAATCGAAAAATGTTTCCATCATCTTTCGAACAAGTTCGAGAACAAAATCATCATGAATGTCAAACAATTCTTCAACAAGCAAAAATCTTTCCAACCATTGATTCCAAGCCAATGCAAGATAGTAACATTGAAATTCCAACATCAAAACTACTTATCTACGAACATGTTTATCTCCTATCCGAAGAAGTTCGATCCAATTCTTCTTATTGTACTTAAGTTTTCATCAATGTTTTTAAAGGCTATTTTTCTTCAACATGCTCTTGGCTGTTTAAACGTAAAAAATGAAGATAATCAAGTAAGACAAAGCATATCTTAATAATTTTATTCAAAAACATAATTTATCAAGATTTTATCTCCAGATGAATTATGGGCTAGATTTTGTTTAAAAGATAAGAATTTTCCGATCAAATATGCGGTCTATTATCATTACCGAAGTATCGGATGGATTGTTAAATGTGGTTTAAAATTTGGTTGTGATTATAGTAAATAAACAGAATGATTTTCTTTCAGATATAAATTTGTTTATTAATTAAAAATTTTCATTTTAGTGCTTTATAAATTTGGTCCTAGTTATAATCATGCTAGTTATTGTTTATCCATAGAAAATTTTTGGAAAACAAACAGTTGTACGTGGTCATTTATTTCAGGTTTTAATCGAGCATGTTTAAATGCAGGTAAAACATTACTTTTGTCCAATGTTGAATTACCACAAATAGTGACGAATTCTATTGAACAATTTCTTGAACAAACTAAAGTGAAAACAATCGAAATTAATCGATGGATACCAACACAGAATCAATTTTTAGAAGCATCGAAATAATACATTGGTTACTTATTAGTTATTTTTCTTTATTCTAGATAGTTAAAATCTATTCTCATAATGACATGGCTATGGTGGAGTTTTATCTTATTCATTCTGATGTGTACGTGAAGCTGCTCTGATTCTATTGCGGCATGTTAGTCGCATTATTTTTCTCACTGAATTAGTTTTCACTTTCATTTGTTTGTTTTTTTTTTGGGAATTTTCAGTCATCTTATATGTTTCGAATAAATACTATTGGTCGGGTACATCATGTCCGTCATTCGATCGAATGGACGGTAAAACTGTTGTTATTACTGGAAGTAATACTGGTATTGGAAAATATACTGCTGTTGAATTAGCAAAACGAGGTATAGAAAATTTGTCGAATGATTTGAAACAAATAGACGTTTTTATTTATTTTTTTATAGGCGCTCATGTTATTTTAGCATGTCGAGATCGAAAACGAGCAGAAGAAGCTCTGAAAGATATTTGCAAATTATCAGGAAATAATAATGTAGAAATTGAAGTGCTTGATCTTACTTCATTAAAATCGGTTCGAGAATGTGCCAAGCGACTACGTGAAAGATTATCAAAATTAGATGTTTTAATAAATAATGCAGGTAAGGGCAAATATTCATAGAGTTTCATTTCATTTCATTCCATAGTTATTTAGCAAAAAAGTAAATTGATACGATTCTTAAATAAATGTGTGCTGTCTAGATGAACTCAAAAAGAATTTCGTTTAGATATGATTAATATAGATAGGTGGTCTGCTCTAAATTTTCAATAAAGTAAAAGCATCAGTCGTAATGAACATTATGAAGAAACATTATTAAGTGTTAAATTACTTTTTGGTTGAGATTATCTAAATTATTTAGTTACTCTCGAGAACACAAAGAAAATAAAGCTTGCAATACCAATGTAAAACTCTACAGAGATAAAGAACTTCTGTCTGTCTGAAAATTTTGTCTACATTATTTTAACATGTATTCTTTTCATGAGCCTATTTCTGCAAATTTTCCAGTCGAAATTTGAAACTTGGCTCACCTGATGTTCTTGAGAGCGACTCAGAAGTCGTATGCGATTGGTAGAATGATATCAGTAATTGATTTGAGTCGATTCGTTATTCTATTGATAATCATATGGATCTTTTCTTTTGTGACCCTTAATCCTTTTCTTTTTCCATTGTTCGTCTACGCCCGTCCCTCTTTCCGTTTTCTACTTACCGCACATGAAATAGTACAATTTAGAAGTATGTGTTAGAATTTCATTACAATTACATTTTAAAAAGTTCCCGATTCTGATCTTAATTTTTGTTGTAGGTGTAATGATGGTTTCAGGAAAATCAGTAGATGGTTATGAAATTCATTTTGCTGTCAATCATCTTGGCCATTTTTTATTTACAAATCTTTTATTAGATTTAATGAAAAAAGCCTCAACAGCTCGTATCATCAATGTTTCATCTATGAGCCATTCGTGTAAATTCTTTCACTTTGAACGAATGTAAATTTTACTTTAATTTTTCTTGAATTAGTTTTAAATTGTACAATCAATTGGGATGATATTAATTTTGAAAAACCACATTTGAAAATGTATGCTTATTCACATAGTAAATTAGCAAATATTTTATTTACAAATGAATTGGCACGAAAATTACAAGGTTTTTATTCTATCTCTAAATATTGGCTATGTTTTTATTTCTATTATAAAAACATTTTCTAGGTACAAATATTACGGCAAATAGTCTTCATCCTGGTAAATTAATTTTTAAGAAAATAATCATATATTAATGATAATTCTATAGGTGTTGCTCGAAGCGAAGTCATTCGATATATGTGTGGTCGATATCAAATAGTATTACATTTTTTACTTTTTCTTATTACACCTTTATGGTGGTGTTTCACTAAAAATCTCGAACAAAGTGCTCAAACATCAATTTATCTTGCGTCTGATCGTCGTTTAGATCATGTTACAGGAAAATATTTTAGGTTAGTTACTTAGCTACTCTGTTCCGTTTATATATATATATATATATATATATATACATGTATATAGTGATTGCAAAGAACGTCAATCATCGGCAATATCTTGCAACGAACAATGTGCCAAACGTCTTTGGCAACTTAGTGAAGAAATGACACATTTAAATGATGCATTAAAAGAAGTTCGAGATCAAAATAATGATTAATCGAGAACAATTTATTTTCTATTTTCTTTTGAGAATTTTGTCTTTCATAATTCACACAAGTAATTCTTATTTTTAGATTATAAGAGAAAATGATAACAACTAGTAATGAATATTGTTCGTATTGTCAACATTCATCTTTTGTACCTCTTCGTTCAACTTGGGCAAGAGCTGTTTTGAACAAAATGGAAAGTGATCGATGTTTGAAAAATATCGATCGAAATAACTGGTATCGATTATCACGCTATGATCTTTTACGTAAAGAATATCAACAATGTTTTGAACAACTGTATGAAGATGAAGAAACGACAGTATTCATGAAAGAAAGTGAAAAAAGATCAGATAATGTTCCTTTACAAATTATTCATAGTCTACTTACTTCATTGTTAACTCTTTTTATTACGCGCACATCAGGTATGATCTTATTTAAATCGTTTTGTATGAAATTTTGATTGGTTAGATAAAAAAAACTACATCAGTTTACTGATTGAATTAGAAAGAATATTTTTGACATTGACATTTTATCGCCGTTAAATATTTTTAAATGCCAATAATTAATAAGAGAAAATATTGTGAAACTTGAATAAATATTCAGAAATTAAAATTTATCATTCTTTCCAATATTTATTTGTCGCTGATGGATTTATCGAACGTTCGAGTTTCTGTTACATTTTATATTTTAAATGTCATTTCAATATATTAGAGATTCAATATCGATATTTATCATGCGAACATCGATGAACAAAGTTCTGGAATTTATTTAGATTTTATTTTATTTTTATCTATTATAGCCAATGGTTTGATTGGTCGTGGTCGTATGTTTGTTTATTCGAAAGCTCAATTTAAAACTTTACTTAACATAGAATCACATGAAGAATCTTCTCGATTCAATAGTCTTCTTGATATTGGTGCTGGCGATGGTTCAGTAACTGAACGAATGTCTAGTCTATTTAAAAATGTTTACGTAACAGAATTATCTTCAGCAATGCAATGGCGCTTATCAAATTATGGTTATACAGTTTTAGACACGGATCATTGGCAAAATTTAACATTTGATGTTATAACATGTTTAAATGTTTTGGATCGTTGTGAAAAACCATTAACATTACTAAAACAAATGCGTCAACATTTAAATTCTAAAATTGGGCGTTTAATTATAAGTCTTGTTTTACCATTTAAACCTTATTTTGAATATAATAATAATCATTATCCCGATGAGACCATAGCAATAGAAGGCGATTTACCCGAAGAACAGATAAATAGTTTTCTATTAAATGTTCTTCAACCGCTAGGTTTTCGTTTAAAAAAATTAACACGCTTACCATATTTATGTGAAGGCGATATTGAACGTAGTTATTACTTTCTGTATGATTATATATTTGTACTAGAGATGTCATGAGATACTGTTCGTTTCTGTTCTGTTTCTATTGCTTTTTTTTTGTTTTATTTATTCTTTCTAATGTTTTACAATGCACTACATCTTATTGTCATGACCTTTATATAGTTGAGTGCAGATATGGTGACCATGAATTTGTTTTGCTATTTCTAGATTTCTACAGATAATGAGCAATACTTCATTTGAAGATAAATTAAAAGATCTGAACTTATCCAATGATGAATTAAAACGTTTTTCTGATGCATTTAAAAATGATGAATTTCGTAAATTATTTATTGAATATGCCGAGGAATTGAATGATCCAAAAAGTCGTGAATTATATGAAAAAGAAATTTGTGCCGTTGAAGCACAACGTGGTCTTGATGCAAAATTTGTGCATCCTAAACCAGGACATGTAATTAAGACAACAATCGACGGTACAAAGAAATGTTTTATTAATATAGCAACCAATGAACATGTTGAGAAGCCATCCTATAATAAAACTGCTGGAACAAATGGTAAACAAGGTGTAAGTTGGAGTTTACCACATTGTTTAGCTGGCCCACATGAGGATATTGATCATGAATCTAAACCGTGTACGGTTTATGATGTTATTTTTTCACCCGATACATATAGAATGGCAGAAACAAATGGAAGATTTATGAATATGCTTCAGGATTCAGCATTAGATTCAGTTGAAAATAATTATCATTGTAAACTTGACAGAAATAATGTTAAAAAATTAAAAATGAAATTTAAAGGTGTACCTAAAGCAACTATTATTAGAAAAAAGAAGGAAAATCAACAAGAAGAAACTGTACAAGATACTGAAAAAGCCTTGAAAGACGAAACGTAAGTACCGATATTAAATTTAGTATAAAAAAATGTACATGTGATGATTGAAAATCATACTGATTATAGAAGCAGCACTATTCGATAGAAAAATATTTAGCGAGCTCTCTAATGAAATTATTTAATCTAATAATATCAAGAGACATTATGAAATCGTTCTTCTTCCACTCAAAGCTTTTCATGAAACGCGAAATGTAATTAAAGTAACAAAATTCTTTCGTCATAGTGACATAATCAGACGGAGGCTTTAAGAGCACTCAATCTCTCAATATAAGTTTTTTTTTCGGATAAGAATTAAGGATGCATAGTGTTTCTGTAAATACTAGCAATTATCTTTACTAGAACACTATGATAAAATAACACTATCAAATAATAACGTGCTTTCCGTAATGTTGTACGTTAGCTATACTCAGTATGTGGTCAGTAAAATAGAATTGTATATCCCTAGTTACACTAATATTTTTGTTAGCAATAATTTTCTATTTTATTTTGACTCAAATATGAATAAATTACATTGACAACTCTTTACTTCTTGACATAGATCAAGTAGAATTATTTTTTAATCAAATATGTGAATAGTTTATACGCACGCTGATTGACATACGTATATAATTACATTCAGTCAAAGTCACTTTACTATCGAGACGTAGAATAGATCATAAAATATTCATTCTACTTCAGTGATGTTATTATTGAACTAATGATTAATTTGATTCTTTTTTTCATTTTCATTTATCTGAATAAAACTTGAGATAATATGTGTATAGGTAACAATTTTCAAATTGAAATTAAATCTTTCATTGCTAGGATCGTATCGATATCTTGCTCAGATCAAAGATCATAATAGAAGCTATCGGTTTTTAAATTCTATCGGCAAGAAATTCTGTAACACACAGTTTATTCTAACAAGAATTGAATATATTTGCGAATTAGTGTTCACAAAAAAGAAACAGTGTACCAAATCAATAATCGTTTAGAAGTTTGATACTACTATAATTGTCTTCTAATTATTGTCTTAACTTGTAGTCTAAATAGTGAATTTCTAGTAGCTTTTATCAGGCAAAGGTAGCTTTAGATGATAGCGATCATTCACTACCGGTAAGTTTGACACCAAATCAAATGTCTTTTTTTTCTGTGGAGACATTTTTCAAGCTATTATTATTTTGAGTACTTAAAAAAATCAATTCTATTTTTGTTCAAGTGATGATATTATTGAAAAAGCTATATCAAATGCTCAAAACCACAAAGTCGTTTTATCAAGTCATAATCGGGCTGTAAATCCTCCGCCATCAAATAACATGAATCAAACTGAGACGACAATAGCGCCTCGTACGGATGAAAATGGATTTACTATTCCAACATATCGAATAATTCACCGTGGTGAATTCGATATTCAAGATTGTTCGAATTCTCTTGTAACACAAGTTCATTCGATGCGTCCAAAAGAGTTAGTTGTTGAAATTGATCTGCCATTATGTGCATCATCAAGTAACGTGGATTTGGACGTATGCGAGCGTACACTTAAACTTAGTTGCAATGCACCCAAATATTCTCTTGATCTACATCTGCCTTATCCAGTACGTGAAAGTGATAGTCATGCACGTTTTGATAAAAAACAACGGAAATTACTTGTTACATTAGCCGTAATTAAAGAAACTCCATCCATTATCCAAATGGATACGAATGTTGATATGGACGAAAAAAATGAAGAGGCAGAAGCATCAACAGAAATAGTTCCAACTATAGAAACAACTAATGAATCGGTTTCATCAGATGAAAAAGCTTCAAGTATAACTTATACATGCATTCCATTCGAATATAAACAAGGTTTAGCTCATATAGCATTAGTTTTATATGTTAAAAACATTGACAAGCCAACTTTAAAAATTGAAAATGATGGTCAACATATAACTATAAAATTATCATCCTTAGGATCAGGTTTTTATCCTCTATATCATCAACTTTATCTTGATTTTGATGAACCCATGGTATTTGATACAACAGAAAGTTCATCAACAATTAAATTTAATGATGATAATGTTTTAATATTATTAAAGAAAATTTCGAATGATAAACACTTAACAAAATTTACAAGTAGTGTTAATGGCGACGATATGACGGTAAACTATTTTTCTATTTTCTTTAAGTGATCTTGTTTGCAGTTCCGTCTAGAAAAGAAAGTCACTAGTTCAATAGTGAAGTTGTTTTTGTTATTTTGCACGTAGATAGAATTTTGTATTTCAAATGTCAAATATAATGGATCATAATATACTGATGTGTCATTATTGCCATAAGATTAATATAACTGATTAAATAATAAAATTCTGGAAAGTCAGCTATATCAGTACGTCTACATTTATTCAAATATGAAAAGAAAAACTTTTCTAAGACTTGCTTCCTGTATAATGGGCTTATCTACCGTTTAAATAAATAATACTTAAATTGAGATAAACGAAGTAGGAAAATAAAAGTTAGAATAAAAATGAGAAAAATAAAAGAATATTTGCTCCGAGTAAAGAAATACGTAAGACATATCGATTATAGTGGAAAGACGACTACAATCTACGAGATACTTTTTAATATAATTTATTCTTTATCAATATAATGAGACTAACGAATATATGCGAATACGATATTTCAACCATTGGAAGGAATATGTGCTGAGAAAATATTTTAAAACACTCTATAAACTTGTTAATATTCTCGTATGTAGGTCAATTATTTTCCTGCTTCAACTGCTATGGAGACATCAGACACATCAACAAAGCAACGCATGACAAAAGAAGATTTTATTAGATCAGATTCATCGTCATCATCAAGTGCTGATCAACAGAAAAAGTTGAGTAGAAAACAGGCGAAGAAAATGGCAAAAGAGAATCGTAAAAAACAAGAAGTTCCCGATGATAATGAACAACTTGTTAATGAAGTTTCAAAAATAACACTTCAATCAAATCAGGAAGAAATAAAATTGGACGGTACCAATGACAATCGAAAAACAGCCTCCGAAGAACACGATGATGATTTATCCGACATGAAAGCAGTTGCTTCACGTCCAACAATATATCGTCGGCACATGTCAGAATCAAATGTCGATCTTCAAATGGGATCCAACGGAGAATTTAAGCTTAAAGTAAATCAATTAGAATAAAATATAACAGTGAACTTCAGCATTCTGAACATTTTATATAAGTTTTCCCTAATATTTTGAATATAATAATCAATGAATTGAATTCCTCTTAATATTATATTCTTTCTTTATAATCTTTTGTCTTAGTTTTTCAATTACCATAAAACTTGACTATGTGAAGCTTGAGGTAAAAAAAACAAATGATTAAACCTGTTATCTATGCAACATTCTTATTATACGAGGGCTTCTGTTCAGAATATATCTGAGAAATGATTTAAAAATCTCTCTATTAGCTTCATTCTTACTGCACGGATTTTGAAGTATCTATGGATATCTAATTGTCTGAAATCCTTCTCCTAATATGATATGTTTACACTAAGGGTTTATAGGAGGGGGTGGGGGTTGGCTAGTGTGTTTTTGCAATATTTATTCAAGCTATAGTACGTTGAATTAGGCTAGCTATCCTTGAAGAGCTACAGTAAGTACAACTGATATAGGAAATATATTTGATTTATCAAAATATTTCTTTGTAACGTTGATCAAATTCTTAACCTACAAATAAGTAATTGAATTTCAAGAGAATTCAATTAGACAACCATTTTATATTATTGGATGACGTATATAATATCAAAAAAGAAATAAGCATTCAACAAATTTCTTTTTAATAGGCTTATTTTGCATGTTTTTTTAGGGTATATTAAAAAATTCAACAAAATATCGTTCATATTCTGAATCCTTAAATGAGCCATTCAACAATATTGGTAATGATTTTCAACGTGATGAATCTGCGTTCGAAGCATCTTCAACAGTCGATGATTTAACTAGTAGCAATGAAAATAATAGTATAGTCACGTCACCTGATAGTAGTGGTAGCAATAGTTTTTGTACTACATCAAATTCATCGGTGAACGTGAAGCATGTCACATTTAACAATCAAGTATCAAGAAAAACATTTAAACCAGGTGGACCAGTTTCTGGTATGAGAAAATTATCAACAAATCAACAGCGAAAATTAAAAAAACGTAAACGTCAAGATTCACTGAATTCTCAGTCAAGTGATCAAGATGATACAACTAATGAAAAGAATAAGCCTAAACAATCTGGTACATACAAAAACCCTGTTGAACTTCAAGATGTTATTGCTTGGCAAGCAAATGGATCTCAATCTAATAACGACGAAAATAAAAAGGGAACAACAACTAAATCAGCTGTTCGATTTACAAATCCGCTTATATTTGAATTAGACAATTAGTCTTTGAAGTCTATTCTTTTTTTTTGTCTTGTGATGAGCATGTGTTTGGTGGATTTTCTTTTTTTCCTCTCTTTTTCTTACTATTGTAAATATTTAATGCATTATCTACTATACACACTAGCTTATAGTTGATCGTGTTTTAAAATGAAAACGACATTTAAGCTTTCTTGTGTTCTTTTCAGATGTCGGACATTGATACAATTGATTTAGATCTTGTGATTTCAAAATCACAATATGCTCTCTATGAATATCATTTTGCACAAGCTGATCCACATGATCACGGCATAGTGAGTTCAATTGAAGCTAATAATTATTTTCAACGTTCGCATTTAAAACCAGACCAATTAAAAGTGATTTGGAATTTAGCTGATCCGTATGGTCGTGGTTATTTGGATCGACGAGGATTTTATATAGGACTTAAATTAATTGCATTAGCACAAAATAATTTAGACTTTCATGATTACTCATATATAGCAAAAGATATTGTACCGCCCAATTTAGGAGGTGACATACCACAATCGATTACTTTGTCTGTCGCTGATGTTTGGACAATAGGACCTGCAGCACGTTGTACTTTTGATCGTGCTTTTGAAAAATTAAGTGGTCCCATGAGTAAAATTCCTGGTTCATCAGTTAAACCAATATTTCTTAAATCAGGTTTATCAGCTGATCAATTACATAAAATATGGGAACTAAGTGATATTGATGAAGATGGTGCACTTGATAGAAATGAATTTTCTGTTGCAATGTTTCTTATTCATGGTTTGAAAGCTTCGACACTACGAGAATTACCTGAACGTTTACCACAAAGTTTAATGCCAATACGAATGCGTCGTGCATCAGCAGTTGACGTTGGTGTTGCACTACCAAATATGATGGCAATTGGAAACATATTACCAACGCCAGTTCCATTGCAGGTTTCGCCATCAAAACGAACTGATGAAAATTGGATTGTTAGTGCAGAAGAAAAGCAAAAATTTGATACTTTATTTCAACAAATAGATCTTGATAAAGATGGTTTTATTACAGGTATACGACGGGAATAAAACAAGAATAAATTTTTATGGCACTGCTTTTTCTTCTTCTGCAGGTGGAGATGTTTTTCAGACATTTCTTGCAAGTGGTTTACCAAATTTTGTTCTATCACATATATGGAATTTATGTGACATTGGTCAAACTGGAAAGCTGAATGCAGAACAATTTGCATTAGCATCATATTTTATTAGTCTTAAATTAAAAGGTTTGTTTCTTTTCTTATTTCGACTACCTAGATAACAAATGAAATAGAAAAGAAATTTTGAATTGAAAAGATAATTTATCTACGAAGTTATTTACTGCACAAAACACATGCAGTACAGACTTTACAATGTTTTCTTTGCAGAAGTTGAATAGAGCAATGGAAGGTTACATAGTTGTATACGACATGTAAAAGAGTGTTTGTTAAATAGATACATAAATACTTGAAAAAGACGATAAAAATTTCTATGAATATAAAAAACTTCTTCACAAGACAAGAGTTTATATGTGATCATTTTGAAGACAGAACAAACATCACAGCATAAAAATGTGTTACTGACAAAATACTCTTACTCGATTCAATATTAGTTCAAATCTTGAAGATTAAAATAAATAAAATGAGTTTGATCCTATTTAATATCGCACGAAGAAAAACAAGAATTTTATTATTTTTGTTTTCGACTAGATTAAATTATACTTTATAATTTTATTGTAAAAATTTATGATAATTATCTAAATTTTTATTTAATCTTTGAATAATCTAATTGATTTTTGGAAGACGTAGGATTTGTATTAGATGACAAGTAACATATCGAAAATTCATTTAAATACTTAAACTTATCATGCAAAATGCTTAGTGTTATAAAAGATGTATAAAATCATGATCTTCTACAATCTTCACACATTTTTGCTGTATCAATACTTAAAAATCAACATAATATGATTTCACACATTAAGTCGGATTCAAATGTTCACCATATGTTAGTAATGATGAATACATATATATTCTAATGATATTTAAAGAAACATTACACTCCTAGCAAATGAATTCAAACTAAATAAAAAGAATGTTTATGTTATTCGAAAAATAAATCTAATTTAAATGAAAAGTGTTATTTTTACTTTGTTTCTTTCTGTACAAATAGAGTCATATTGGTTCTTCTTTTCTTTCTAGCTCCAAATTATCAACTTCCAATGGAACTCTCACACGAAATGATTCCACCATCGCTTCGACCAAAAACATTTTCAGTCAATGAAAGTGATAATGCTGAATTACAACAATTATTAAACGAAGTAAATACATTAACAAGCGAAAAAAGCTTATGCGAAATTCAATTTAATGAAAAACAACAAGCAGTTAAAGATAAACGTGCCGAATTATCATCACTTGAACTTCGTTCTGGTACAGTCAATGCAACATTAGTTGAACGTCAACAACGTATGTCGGAAAAACAGAACGAATTTAATGATATACAAAATCGAAAAGATAAAGCTGTTAAAGAGATCAATGATATTGAACAACAAATAAAAGAAGAAAATCATTTAATAACTGTAGCGCGTGAAAAAATCAATGAATTATCTGTTCACACAGATGCCCAACAAGAAGTACGCCAAACATTAAATAAAATAAAAGAAGAAAAGAATACTATTGAAAGTCGTCTAATGAATAAACAACAACAATTAGGACAGATTAAACTCGATCTTGAACGTTCTCAACATATTGTTCAAAGTCAACGAGCTTTAATTGAAGAATATATGAAAAGTGACCAAAAAGATTCACCAACAGCTATTACAGAATTAATTAATAAATTTAAACAGGTATATAAATTGATATCAAATTTTCGTTTATACATAATATCATCTGTTTTTTTTTCATTTTTATCTTGTAGCTCGGTGAAACTCCTGCTAAATCAGCACCTTCTACAATTAGCAAAATAGCTTTTCCTCAACAACAGCAACTACCACCACCATCTATGCCAATACCATCGGCCAGTACCTTCTCGGATCCATTTGGTTTACCAGCAAACACAAGTAATACATTTAATGCATTTGGTCGTACTGATGATCCATTCGGTAGTAGTCGAGCTGATGATCCATTCGTTTCAGCAACATCATCATCAGTAATCGCAAATCAAAAATTAGACGATTCAGATCCATTTCGTCCTGTTGATTTCAATGCAGCACATGATCTTATTAAAAAATCAATGGCTACTCGTTCGAAAACACCCGGCGCAAATATGTTCGGTGGTCATGATTTTAGTCAACCTTCTGCACCATCGACTAATCGACCACAATCAGCTACACCGTGGGAGCCAACGCGTCAAGCACCTCCCCAACCCGGCACACAAGCATTTAACGATCTCTTTGACATTTTTGGTTAACATAAAGAACTTCTATTCATACGTATATGTGTAATATATATATATATTTATATTCCTTTTTGATTCTCTATACTGTCTCTAGTCTTATATTTTATTTTGGATGTTGTCTAAATAATTATTAAAAATAGAACTCATTGTATTAGTCGATTAATAACTGATTTGAAAGCTTGAATTAAAGAAATAATAATAATATTGCATGTGCTATCAACATACAAAAGGGCATCATTTCGAATCGAAGGCCAAATGTCTCTTAGATTTTTTTTAATAATAGGTAGGTTGTTTTCGTTTCTTTTTTTATCGTTTTTTTTTCTCTCTCCTCTCGGCTCCCTCAATCATTCTCTCTCTCTTGTCCAATACAATCGATGAAGAATAAATGCGTAAGAAACGAGAAACGAAAGGAAGATTGATTGCAGATCGAGAAAAAAAGGAAGAAGGTCTATTCTAACGGCACAAGCAAGTCTTTCATTTTCTTTTGATACCACTTTCGGCGTTGTTGTTATTTTTCAATGCCAGGTAATATTTTATGTCGACCTAAGCAAACGACGAAAGAGAGCTATTTAACATTACGACGCACTAATCTTTTAAATCTGCTATCCACATGCGCAAGTGTTTTGTGTGTATTACTATAAGATGCCATATATTCGATTGTCTGTCTTCAGTGTCGAATATTGATAAGTGAGAAAAAACACGTATTATATTTACTTTTCACAGGTTATAATAAGAATTTATGATGTGAAATAAATCAAGAGGCCCTCTTGTGAATTTTTGATGTTATATACATATAATACTAAGATCGATTTGATTACAAATATATTTTTTTCATTGAATTGAAGACGGCAAAAAAAACATGACTTTTTGCTTATCAAACTATGGTTGCGTTTATGAAAAAGATATTAGTTTATTTTTGTAGATCAATAAATGACTGTTTCCGACGAAGAATTACTTGTATCTCTACCTCCGCAATACCAGCCAAGAAAAACCTTATTACGTCCTGCACCACCTCGACCTATTCATATTGAGTGTCACGCTGAAGAACGATATTTTGTTAATGCTTCTCCATTGAAAATCAATGGATCAGTAAAACCTATTCGTTTTACAACGGATAATCAAGTTAAGCCTGAACAATATCGATCTGAAATCGTTGTTCATAGTAATCCGGATGTTGATTTGTACATCAAACGACTTCGTGTTGCTTTCGATGCTCATGATGATTCTTCAAGGTGTATTTCAAAAAATGAACGGCCATCAGCACGTAGTCAATCAGTGAATTCTTCATCACAAGAAAAGCAACGTCAACAACAAGGAAAATATCGATCAAGTTCATTACCACCAAGATCGGATTCACAAACAATATTACATCAATGGATTGATGATATTTGTTCAAATGAAAATTTAATGAATGACGATGATATATGTTTTTTTCTTAAAAACGGTGAATTTCTTGCTAGAATTTGATAAACTAATTTTTCTTCGTGTTTTTTTTCTCCTGTATAAGATAACAAATATAATTAATAAACTAGTAGATTTTGTTTCTCGCTATATGAGACAATAGTTTAAAATAAATCATGTTACCTTACAATTACTTTAACAAATATTGAAATAGTGCATAGAAATCACAATCATCCTTTATATTAACAACTCTCCTAAAGAAACTTTATCACTATTTATTGTTCGAAAACATATTCGAGATGAGAATACTTTCAGCTAAATTTTCATCATGTTTAGTAAATAACTATCGTGTATAATTCAATGATACATGAATTTATGAAAAACATCTTAGTATAATATCAATAGAACGTCATTGTAAGTATTTACCTGTGTCTTGATAGTTCTAACTGTCGACAATTCAGATTAATGAGTTTAACGTAATTATTTGACATCAGAAGAATATAAGGAAATTCATATCGAAAAGCTAACCTTTTATTTCATTGAATGAATCAAGTGTTCAAAGTTCGAAAGTATTAAAAATACGAAATTTATTTGAACAATAAAGATTTGCACAGCTTGATCATCAACAGTTCAGAAACAAAACAGTTACTGTATTATATCATATACTTAAATACGGTAATCGTTTTTTTTCCAGTACAAATAAGTATGCTACCTTTGCATGGTCTAACTTGTGTTTACGATTAGAACCGTACAACAGTTATTGCAGTATGAGCTTAAATTTTTCTCAAAAATAATATTATCATAACAAGAACGAAACAGTAAATGCGAGATTGCAATAGACATATTTTTTTATAATTATGCAAAATGTAATGAAGAAAACAAGAATATGTGCAACAAATATTTCATATTAATATCATAAATAATTCGATGTAGAAGATTGAGAAAAAAATATATACATTTAGGAAGAGGATTTCCTAAAACCGCGTAGTAATAATATCAGGAGATGATGAACGTTCCTCTGATTTGTGTCTATTATTTTGTTGTTGCGATGGATTCAAATGATTTAATCGATTATAATCGTTTGAATTTGAATCTTGTTGTTCATCTTCAATAATCTGCCCATGACTTCGTTCCGTTATCGAATTAAATAAACCATTCCATCGATTATTATCTTGTAAATTATGCGAATCATTATCATCGGTAGTTACTTTTTGATGAACTATTGAACTTTCAAAAAAATCATCATTGTTATCAGCAATTGACGGTGATTTCCTTTCAATCATACGTGACATATAAATTGCTTGTGACGAATTATGTTTATCTTTTCCGTTTTTTTTCCTAAAACCATTTTGTTTTTCAATACGTGGAGATTTTTCCTGAAGTTCTCGAGAATTGACTTGATGATGAGTATTTGCATCATAAGATTGAATATTAGATAAAAGACCAGAATGGCTGTACCACTCAAGAAATTCATTTTTTGTTATAAAATCGTCACTATTTAAATTTAATTCATGAAATGCCTCATCGATACTTTTTTGTAACTGTGCTCGTTTATTCATATGACGTTCATTTGAATTATCAGCCTCATTTTTTCTATCTGAATCCGTTACAGCAACAAGTGTATGTAGCATTTTGCCGATTTCATCTTTTGTTATTTTTCCATCATTATTCAAGTCAAACATAGAAAAAAGAGTTTCAACAAGACGAACACCATTGACGCCAGAGGCAACCGATAGTGCCATGACAAATTCTCTAAATAAAATAATTATTTGAAATAGAATCTATCTGGAAATCATATATTGTCAGAATTAATATAAACTCTACTATTTTCTTTCTTCTTCTTTCGTTTCAGCTAAGAATTTTTTTCCTACTTTCCTTACCTAAAATCTATAAATTGGTTTTTATCTTCATCGTAAACATTGAACATATGCTTAACATAATCCAATGTTTTTTGTCCAAGTTTTCCCATTATTTTTGAATATTCATGTTGAAAATGTTTCAGCGTTAATTTACCATTGGGACAGTCTTTATAAAAATTTCTGCAATAATATATGCATGTCAAAGAAATCTTTCAGGAATAAAAACAAAGCTATTTAACAACATACGCGTGTAATCTAAGCAATTCTTCTTCTGTAAACCCAGTGTCTACACAAAGTTCTTCTATTGTTTTTTGACTAAGGGGTTCATTTTCATGTTTACTATGTTGTGATAATTTAATACCCATTAATTACTTATTGTTTATGTTTTTAAGCAACACAAGCTATCTAAAAAAAAAACATGAATAGCTTCAGTCATAACAGAATGTACTTTTTCTTTCTTTGACACCAATATCTCTCTTTAGTCGGTATTTCAATAGAACGAGAAAATGTCGAAGAAAACCAATGTCGACACAGAGATGCAATGGTTGCCGTAGAAAATCTAATAGTGACACATGGCTGTGTTTGCGTAGCATATTTATATATATATTTAAAAAATAACGAAGGAAAGAGCCGTGGAAAAATGACGAATATATAAATAAAATTGACATCCATGTAGAAAAAATGGAATATTAAAACTTTTAAAGAATTATATATACGGATACAATATATATATATATATATATATGTCTGCAAGTTTTTAACAACAATAGAGCGAGAAAAGTTAGTGTCATAATATTCATTGAGAATCGTGGGAGATTTATTGAACGCAAGTTTACGTCTCTTAGATATAATTTTAAAAGTTTAATACGTGACTATTGTATACCTACTTTTGCTTCATTAAATAGCATCAAAACGTTTTTAATAATCTAAGTAAAAAAAGGAGCAAAAAAACTATATTTGTCAATATTAATTCCGAAAATTACAATTGTCATAAGCATCGTATCCGGAAATCCTATTTATACGCCATATTTCTCCTTCTCAGCGCACGTAATGATTAATTCTTTTTTTGTCTGAATTCTTTCTATGCATCGCTCAGAATGATTATTTTCAAATAAGTTTTCTTGAATTTCTATGCATATACTCATTAACGACGCATCAAATCACTGCATGACGCTTCTTTGTTCTTGAAAAAGAACTACTTAGAAGTTCTTTAAACGAGAAAAAAAATATATGCAGTGATGTTTTACAGAGATTCATACTGTTAATGGCTTATTTTTTTATCAGTTTCTCATAGTGCTAATATATCATGTACTTCTCTTATTGAGTTAATAAATGACGTGATCAACCAGGATTTGTTTGAATGATTATTATATATCGAATTCGTGATGGTATTCTAAATGAACATAAACATATTATTAATGCGATGCTAAGCAGAAGCATTTCTGTAGTTCGTCGCGACATTTCCTTTGCTTTTGCTTTCTCGACGTACGCATCTTTTTCACCATTTTGTGACCCGATGATCTCGAGCGCCGAAACTCATAGAAAACTCATTGAAACGGGAGATGAAAGTATCGAGATAGAACTTCTGACATATTTTTTCTATTCTTTAATCTGACATTCTGTTCACTCACAAATGTGGTTCCAAAATGATGAAAATTAAAGAAATTTGTTGCTAGATAATTGAACTGACGTCATGAACATATGTTAGCCACTATAGCCTATTCATTTACAGCTGATCTAAGATAATGAATCATGGAGATAATTAATCGGTCAATCGAAATCGACCCTTAAGAATGTATCGCTAAGTAAGAATAGAGTTTTCTCAGTGATGAATTTCATCATGTCGAAATAAAAAGTATTCAAGAATTCTCTGAATTGAAGATTTTTCGTGAAGACTCGATGCGAGCTTCGCATCGCAGTTCGTATACGAGTGAAACTCGAATACCATATAGTTTGATCATGTCTTCCTCACTCAAGATGTATTTTCTTGATAACCAAGAACCAAGAGACAGAGCACATAAAAACCTTTATTAACATTCGGAGTGAAATCGTTTTATTTATTCACATTGATACGGAAATTTGTTTCATATTTTATTTTGAATATAAAAATAAGAGGAAGAATTGAATATACTCAAATATTCATGTCATTCTAGTAGACTATTCTCTTTTGTCCTTAAATGTTATGATTTATTTTCGAACAATAACAAAAAGATGTGTAGAATAATTAAATTTTTCCGCTTCTGTTGGATTCAGATGCTTCATTTTTTATGTTTGATTGGCTCTTCTCATTATGAAGATCTGTAACTGATTTTGAATTCTCTGGATTTTCCCATTTATGCGTCAATAAATTAATTTCTTTAATAATCTGACTTTCACCTTCTTCTTTTGTGGTATCCATTAAATATCTATGTAAACATATGATCAAACAAGAAAAAGAAAGTATCGATTTTCCATACAATTTATTATTTTTAGTTGCGAGACCATTACTTGTTTTAAAATTAGGAATATCAGCTATAACTTTCCATTTTTTCTTTTTCATATCATATTCTTCAATTTTACCATCTCAGTAGTATCATTTTTATAAAAATAAAACTCTAATTCAAATACTACTTACAAGCTACAACTTTTCCTTTGCTATCGAAATTGTAGCCGCCAGCAACAATCAATGTTCTATATGCACATAGAGAAATAAGATAGCAGGAAAATATTCGAAAAAGATTTACGGTGTATCTGCTTGATCAATGACACTAATCAGTGGTCGAGCTCTTGGAGTATCGAGATCAGTTAATGTTTGCCATCGTTTCTTTTCAAGATCCAATGAGAGTACATCACTATAAACGCATTACGTCATTCGATGCTGTTTATTGAAAGTAAATATTTTCTTTTTACCCATTAGGGACTATTTCATTTCCAATAAAATCAAATCCACCAATTACATATAGAAGATTATCAATGACACTAACACCTGGGCCGATACTACCATCTTAAAAAATGACTTGTATAATATTGGATTTAGCTTTTAATATAAAGTCTTACTGGGCATATTCGGTAAAGTTTGCCATTCAAGTTTATCCGCTTGTGTATCAAGCATAGTGACATTTGACATTGTTTCATAATTAAAATTATGTCCACCAACACAAATAATTTTATTATCCTCAGTTGATGCTAATCCAAAACCCATACGACCATTACCAGGTATTCCAGGAAGCAAGATTAATTCTTTCTTGTTGCTGTTATAACTATATACGAATGACTCATACAACAAAATTACTTTCACAAATATTTGTTTCTATGACATGGAAATGTTTTAAAATGTCTATTAATTCATTTATGCCTATATATTCCATCTGGTAATTGATTCTCTTGATAGAACACGCGGAACCCAAATAGCACGTTGAATTGATTCAAATCAACACTGTTGCCATTTGCAACAACTATGGCAGTTCCATTATTGTCTCCTACTCGACATCGTCTTACTTCATGTTTATCATTAGTGCCAAATGTGTAGAAATATCTCAGATCATTCATGAGTAATGCTCGACAGCTGACGTTCTCAAGAGAGAAATTACTGAATACACCAATGATAATGGTTTTATTTCATGACCAAACAAAAAAGTGAAGAACAGAAAAAGAAAAGAAAGTCTTTCATGAATCAATATTGATCTATAAGTCGTTGTCCAACACCATCAAATGATGTAACTCAGCTTTGAGGGCACTGATTTCCATCGATAGATTGTTGAACTGTTGGAACTGTGCGGGTGTCATCATATGAAACGGCGTTTGGTTAAACAAATTGTCAAGCTGAAATGTTTTTCGAGCGAAATCAAAAGTCAACCGATTTTTCTAGAAATAAACAAACGATAAAGTATTAGATATCAGAACAGATCGTAATTGCGTAAAAAACAATTCAAGACATACATCAAGGGTAACAATAGCCATTGTTCGAAAACAAAACAAGTGTATGGTCTGTCGTTATCGCTTTATCTTTCTCTATATATAGGCGAACACTCGGCTGTTATACTCATTATGCAGACAAAGAAAACAACAAACCAATGGACAGGACTTTCTCTTCTACACACTAGCTGGCTACTGCTCTTCTGTAGTAGCATTTTTGTAAAACATTAGGAACTTAATGCTGATTAGATGATGATATTGTATGAGAGAATGATTGAACTTAGAAAAACTGATTTACATGAGCTTGTTTTGTTTGAAAATGAAATGATCGGTATTGATTATCATCTTCCCAGGTTGATCAAAACGGACTCGTTTGCTGTGTGTTTATCGACGGTAAACGATGTCACAACGGTATATTTACGGCAGTAAATAGACCGTATTTGCCCGTAATACTTGGCACAGTAATAAGGCACCGTAAACGGGACTGAATTTTCACGGTTTATGGCTGTTTGTGCTCCATACTCCTATGATCATACAGTCCATATTACTGCGCCAGATATTAAGGTAAATTTTCGCTCGGAAAATACTCGTAAAGTAACCGTAAACGGCCGTATACGGACCGTACTATTCGACCTGGGTAATTGATAAGCATTATAATGAATAACACGATTCATGGTATCAAGTAGGTTTAAAATAAATAGTTAAATATCTTTATATCAGCGATTCGACGTGGATTATATGTACGACTAGCACAAAAGAAATGAAATTTATTCAGAGAGATAAATTGCTAGCATACCGTTTGCTGATGTTATTGTAGTTTGTTTACATTCTCCCAAGTCGAGCATTACCACGACTAGATACGGCCGTTTACGATGACGTATACGCCGAATTTACGACCGTATACGGGCCGTAGTTTAACGTTTTGGTATGCGCCGTATTACGGCCGTATATCGTCGTGTCGTATACGGTAGTACACACCAATCGTTTCGAATCCGTGTCCGACCATATACGGCCGTATCATAAACAGGAAGCGACCAAAACACTGCAACGTAAACGACCGTACCAACATCGTGACCGACCGTATACGGCCGTAATTCTGAAGAAAAAAAGTACATTCCTAAGCTTCTCTGATCAATCGTGCGCACACTACAGATATCAATTCTACTACATTTCCATAGGAACCACTCTAACCAAATGCAAGCAGCAAAAAAAACCTACTCAAAATCACACAAAAATAAGAGCAATCATACTTCCAACAGATCTTGTCGGAGCACTCCCTATAACCTAACATGCTCGCCCGCATCTAAAGTAAACTCCATATGATTTTCCGCGTATCCTGCAGCAGGGATCATGAGAAACCGTGAAAATACAAAAAGCATCAAAGAAATCCTGCAAAAATCACCTTTTGAACGTAGGATTAGTGAAGATGATGTCAAAAAATACCAAAAATCTAATATAGGGTAATAAAAGTAATAGCATGCTTGGAAATGGATGAAAAATTTAGAAGAATCATCGAAATCTCCTTTATGTTTGTTACGGAATTGGATCCTTCCGATCGTATNAGAAATCCTGCTTTTGGATTTTTTCAGTGAAACTCATCTGTATGTGATAGGCTTTGTCGCAGATGCTCTATTAAGGATGGAAACAGATGATTCATGATACTTCCTCCCAGTCAGACAAAAAATAAAAAATAACGCGTTAAAACGCATCGAAATTTTTACGGCAAAAGATTCCGAAAAATCGCACATTTCTTTGACTTTTTTGCCGTTAAAGTTTATCAGTGCGTTTGTTTTCGTTCAAAACTTTAACGCGTTTTAATTCATTAGAGGATTGAACGAAGTAAAACACATTCATAAAGTTTAAAGATAAAAACGCTAAACAGACACAATTAAACTCTTTGGAATTCACGAGATGTTGTAGTACCACGAGCTTTTGGAACAATCAAATTTTCAATTTTGACTCAAATCGTTTCATATTTATAAAGAGCTTACTTACATTGGTTTTCATAAACACTACTTCGTTTTCAATGAAGTCGCTCTGCGATATGAAACTTTTCAGACGTTCTTTTCCATATGGAAGTTTCGTATCGCAGAGCGACTTCATTGAAAACGAAGCAAATGTTTATGAAAACCAGTGTAAGTAAGCTCTTTATATATATGAAACGATTTGAGTCAAAATTGAAAATTTGATTGTTCCGAAAGCTCGTGGTACTACAACATCTCGTGAAAGATGATATTTAAAGAATATATTAGCTTAGTAAAGCTTAAATGGAATCTAAATAAAGGAACAAGATATGATTTATTTATAATTTATTTAAATAAATACTTACTTCTTAAGTGTGCATTGGAAGTTATCTAAAGAAAAGAAAACAATAAGAATTTATATAAATAAACGCTTACTGCTTGTCGTAATGTTAAGATCGATCTAAATTTAAAAAATAATTTATTTATAATTTATTTAAATAAATGCTTACTTCTAAGTGTGCATTGGAAGTTATCTAAAGAAAAGAAAACAATAAGAATTTATATAAATGAACAGCTACTGTTCATCGTAATGTTCAGATCGGTCTGACTTGAAAAATTATATACTACAACAGTCTAAATATACTGTCAACAGAGGTCAGGCAAATACAAACTCAATAAAAAAAATTTTCAACTTTTTCATATCAGAGTTTTATATTTTTCTTCGTCTTTATGAGTAACGAAACGTAATTTTTAAATAAGTTCTAAAATTTGCAATATTCACGCCAAAAAATGATTTTCGTATGATTAATTAAAACTATCAGCCTATTGTCAAACTGTAGATTTAACTACATAAAGAGAGAATAATGTTATTGAAATAAAGAAAGAAAGTAAATATTCTCGGACTTGATATACAAGAAAATCTTTTTGTTCTATAGAACAAGAACCGGCAGATATGATAAGCACAAAGAATTCTTTAACATTTCAATAAATAATAAAGCTATTCAACTAAGAAAACAAACAAACATTAGTCTAAATCGATCTGAACTATTCCGTGTGATTTATTCGTTTAAAGACCGTGTGATATTTGTAGTTAAAGTGTTCTAGTATTAATGCTAGAGTTTTTTTCTTTTATTTGTGTAAATATAAATATAAGCATATATATATATATATATATATGAAATTTTAGGTCTATCTACCTCTTCCATCATTTGTCAATCTTTTTGTTATACATACTTGTCGATGCTTATCAATGACTAAAAGAAAATACAATAGATCAAATGACTGCAAGAAGCTTGAAGTCTCAAATTCTTCAACAACAAATGTTGACGTTCATATAAATACAAATGATGTAACAAGTGCACCTGTACAATCAAATGATGAAGATTTTTTAACAATATAGCAGTAACAATGAACAAAAAAAGAAAGCACGTGAACAGTATCTATAATGCAAGAAGTGAACCTGGTTAGTTTTAGTATTCTCAGAACTTGAAAAATATTTTTAGAAAAATATATAGAAAAGCATCGTTTTATTTTTCTTTAAACAGGTTTATTTGATAGTGTATATAATATATTAGATGATGATGGTGAATTTTTAACTTATGGCCTAAATAAAACAATACCTTCAAACAAAATACATCGATTGCAACTTGCCCAACTCAATTCAACGGTTGCGATTGACCCTTCATCAACAGAAAAACTAGAAATAATTAGTAAATGTTGCACGCAATAAAACGTGTTAAGAAAAGTACCCGTAAAAACTCGTGTAATTCGGGTTGCTAACAGAAAAAAACGCATAAATCTAAAAACAGAGCTACATATTTTAACGCTTAAATATTCCAACGCGTTAATATGCGTTAGAAAATCGAAAAAACGGCGTTTCTACGATTGTCTATCGTTAAAACAGCGTTTTAACGCATTCTTAACTCGTTTTAACTCGTTTTAACGCGTTTTATTTAGAGATTTGTCTGACTGGGCTTTTGATAAATGATGAAAGACTGAAGAATACTGGAAATTCGAAGGCACTCAATCCTGCTTCCGGATCCCGCCGGAACACAACGGAACTAGCAACGGATCGCTGCAGACGCCGGTGTGTTTCCTGTCGGATGATAAAACCGAACATTGCCGCAACCGATCGATCCGGACAACCGGATGATTCCGGGTACATAAGGGCTACAGCACATATTTGACTGGATCCCACCAGATTCCGATGACAACGACCACATAAAAAATCTCTCACACGAGCGTTCTTTAATCACAAGATGAATCACCTGTACTACTCAGAAACACGCACACCAACCGAAACGACTACGCCTCATGAATAAGC